ATAATTACAAGTCGAAAATATGTCTTAAATAAAGCTATTTTGCTTTTTCTTTTTACCAACGCAACGAAATAAAATTGGTTGGCCATGAATGTGTTCAATGTACATTTTCTATAAATGCATATGCATATATATATATGTATGTACAACTACTGCGTACTTGCATACGCCATTTTATTGTCTACACACTTCAAAATGGCGTCGAACAAAGAACAAGTGCAGCTGACGTATACACACACACATGCACGCATACATACATACATCTTTGTGGGGGTTATTGAAAATAATTAGTCATTCTTTGAAGTGACTGCAAAGTTGTGAAATTCAAAGTACGAACCAAATGCAAGCTTAACTTAAGTTGTAGTTATGCATACATACAATTGTGTCTATACTTGTTATCAGCTAACTATTTTAGTGTGCGCAGGCGTTTGTTCCGTTTTACAAAACTAGGTCACGACGCAGAAAAAAAAACTTGCTGCGCACTTTCTTTTGAGGGTAGCAAAGAAAGAAAAAAAAAAAAAAAAAGAAGCAGCGCTTACTCGTATAGTGCAGGGTTGCATGCGTCAGTGTGACCTCATATTTGGCATTTAATCGATTTGTCACTCTATACCTGAATACACACAAATACATATTTCCATTTTGGTTTTTGAAATTTTCTTAGGAACAGGAAATATGCAGATCTTCGTCAAGACCTTGACTGGCAAGACCATCACCTTGGAGGTGGAGCCATCCGATACCATTGAGAATGTTAAGGCCAAGATCCAGGACAAGGAGGGTATTCCCCCAGATCAGCAGCGTTTGATCTTCGCCGGAAAGCAGCTGGAGGATGGACGTACTTTGTCCGACTACAACATCCAGAAGGAGTCCACTTTGCACTTGGTGCTCCGTCTGCGTGGTGGCATGCAGATCTTCGTCAAGACCTTGACTGGCAAGACCATCACCTTGGAGGTGGAGCCATCCGATACCATTGAGAATGTTAAGGCCAAGATCCAGGACAAGGAGGGCATTCCCCCAGATCAGCAGCGTTTGATCTTCGCTGGCAAGCAGTTGGAGGATGGACGCACCTTGTCCGACTACAACATCCAGAAGGAGTCGACCCTTCATCTGGTTCTCCGTCTGCGTGGTGGCATGCAGATCTTCGTCAAGACCTTGACTGGCAAGACTATCACCTTGGAGGTGGAGCCATCCGATACCATTGAGAATGTTAAGGCCAAGATCCAGGACAAGGAGGGTATTCCCCCAGATCAGCAGCGTTTGATCTTCGCTGGCAAGCAGTTGGAGGATGGACGCACCTTGTCCGACTACAACATCCAGAAGGAGTCGACCCTTCATCTGGTTCTCCGTCTGCGTGGTGGCATGCAGATCTTCGTCAAGACCTTGACTGGCAAGACCATCACCTTGGAGGTGGAGCCATCCGATACCATTGAGAATGTTAAGGCCAAGATCCAGGACAAGGAGGGTATTCCCCCAGATCAGCAGCGTTTGATCTTCGCCGGCAAGCAGCTGGAGGATGGACGTACTTTGTCCGACTACAACATCCAGAAGGAGTCCACTTTGCACTTGGTGCTCCGTCTGCGTGGTGGCATGCAGATCTTCGTCAAGACCTTGACTGGCAAGACCATCACCTTGGAGGTGGAGCCATCCGATACCATTGAGAATGTTAAGGCCAAGATCCAGGACAAGGAGGGCATTCCCCCAGATCAGCAGCGTTTGATCTTCGCCGGCAAGCAGCTGGAGGATGGACGTACTTTGTCCGACTACAACATCCAGAAGGAGTCGACCCTTCATCTGGTTCTCCGTCTGCGTGGTGGCATGCAGATCTTCGTCAAGACCTTGACTGGCAAGACCATCACCTTGGAGGTGGAGCCATCCGATACCATTGAGAATGTTAAGGCCAAGATCCAGGACAAGGAGGGTATTCCCCCAGATCAGCAGCGTTTGATCTTCGCCGGCAAGCAGCTGGAGGATGGACGTACTTTGTCCGACTACAACATTCAGAAGGAGTCCACTTTGCACTTGGTTCTGCGTCTGCGTGGCGGTTACTAGATTTGAACACTATTAAAAGAAGTCAATATATAAATCTTTCAAATAACTAAATGTACTCAAATAGACAACATAAATGTATTCCCTGTAGTTCATGTTAATTGGCAGTAAATTATGGTCAAAATTCCAAAATATTTAAATATTCAATAAAGTTCTTCGTGCGCGTTCAAAATTTGTTTATTTTTGTAGACAATTCTTGATGATTTTTAGGTATGTCGATTTTTGCAGGGTATGCGGCGGTCGTGTTCAATACGTTCGGGGTTCTGTTATGTCAGCAACAACAGACTGCAAACAAATTGCTGCATTATGATAACATACATTCTAACAGGCGTGTAACATTCGAAGTATTTTCTGCAGTTATGTTAACCAGCAGCTATTAACAGCAACAAACGCAAACGGTCACATACATAGGTCAGCTAGCAACATGTACTCAAACAAAGTATCGATATGAACGAGTCGGCTCAATAATCGATATATTGACGTGCTGCCATCACTGACAACAGCTGTTGTCGAAGTTAAATTCACAAACACTTCACACACGCACACGACTTAGTGCACAGGAAAATTTTGATATATATTTGTTTTGTAATTTTGTAGTAAATTTGGTGTTGCGTAGTGTGCAGAATGAGCAAGGAAATCAGCTTGGCCGAGGTGAAGAAGCACAACAAACCCAACGATTTGTGGGTGATAATCGAGGACAAAGTCTACGATCTGACCAAGTTTCTGAAAGAAGTGAGTGGCAAATAAGCCAAAAATCAAATAATTTAAAAATTAATTGCTTACAGCATCCTGGCGGCGAGGATTCACTCAAATCTGTGGCTGGTCGTGATGGCACCAAGGAGTTCATCGATGTGGGCCACAGCCAGGAGGCGCGGTAAGCTTTCAAGATAACAGCAGCTGTTAAATATCTCCGCCCCCTCTCACTCGTTACGTCTCTCTCTCACTCTGTCTCTTTCAGTCAGATTATGAAGAAGTTTCTTATTGGCAATTTGGCGGCCAGCGATATTAAAAAGAAGAAGCCCGTCGGGTAAGTTTGGCGATTAACAGGAAAATTGAAACAATCAACAGAAGAAATTGGCGTCCGTTTTGTGGCAAACAGAGCGTGATATGATATTGTGTGCATGCAACAGCATGATCATCAAGAACATCATCATGAGCAACAACATTATCGAATTAACCCGCACGCGCATACATTCTAAAAGGCATGCCCGAGTCAGCTGCAACTGGAACCGGTTTCCAATTAGAGCGCGATCAGCAACAGAATCCAATTGAATCCATTTGAATTAACAGTTCGTCCTTAACCTAGCATAATTCTCGTATACTCTGCATGCTGATTTGCTAATCGGGTATATATCTATATATATTCTATTTGCAAGCTTCAAATTCTTCGCCAGCACCAAAGTGAAATTCTACAAAAGCTGATCAACCACTCAATTCAGCATGTAAATTTATAATAATTTGTGAAATCGAAATTAAATGTGCACATTAACACAGGCACACGCACACAAACGCACCAATATACATTTAGGCATCATGTATGTAGATAACATTTATGTTACAGCTCGTGTTGACAGACTCTGTTAGCCTGCCTAACAGCGCAATTTCACCTGCAAAGGTGAAAAACGGGCGAATGTTCTGTTATTTCAAATGCACTCACAGAGCAAGCGAGAGTTTTAATTTGATGTTATCCATTATATTAAAGTGAAAAATAGACGGAAAGCTCTGCCGTCAAATTGACTGCATTTCCAATGCTTTGAGCGTGTGTGTGTGTGTGTGTGTGTGTATATGTATATATGTATGTATTAGTGGCTGCATCTTATCAATGCTCGACATCTAGCACGAAGCACATCATGCCAGCACGACACCTCTCTCGCTCTCTGTCGCTCTCTCTCTCTCACTCTCTGATCAGTTTTTATTTTGATATTCTTTTTGGTTTAATTAGTGCCACGCCCACTGCCAATGCCGATGCCACTGACAATGCGAATGCGAATGCTAGCGCCAGTTTTGAGACTGCCACGCCCAAACAATGTTGCATCTTGCATTAATCCAAATCGAACACAATCTCCCCCCACCCCTCTACTAATATTGCCCCGTTATCTTTTATGATGTATATATGTATACTATATATGATTATGTGCTTTGTTTTTGTCGCAACAGTTGCCGGGAAATCGGACTGGCCGTGGGCGGCATTCTGCTGGGCGTGGCCCTCATCTATGCCTTCAAGTATGCAACGGCCAAGAAATAGTTGTGCAGCAGGATTCGAACCGGCAACCACTCAACTTCATTCCGTGCGATGCGTTTGATAAGCTAAAAAAAAAAATAGTTTAAAAAACAGTCTTTTTGATATTGTAATTTTGTAAAGAACATTGATATTAAACCTGTAAACTCGCAAATAGAACAATTCTTATAAAAACAGAAGCAAATTAAATGTGTTATTATTTTTGATTTTCTGTCCCGCTCTCACATTCAAAGGGCGCGCCACCAGCTGCATAGATATTTATCAGCTATCTCTTTCTAATTCAAAAAAGGCCCTTTTTGGGAAATTTGTTAAAAGGAAATTTTTAGGGCATTTCTCTTGCAGGATATGCTTGCAAGCGCAGCGTTGCCAGCTCTCGGCCAGAATTGACTGTTAAGTGTAAGATAGCAAATGTTATGTTAACATGAAAGCAGAATGTTACGTTAATTTAATGGGAAAATGTTATGTCAACATGAAAGGAGAATGTTACGTTAATTTAAAATGGAAAATGTTATTTTAACATGAAATAAGCATGTTATATTGAACATAACAGACAAATGTTATGGGAATTTAAATTTATCTTTTTGTTGTGTATTTATTTTATTAATGCTTTTTAATGCTTAGGGTTTGCGTTGAGTTTCCGTTTGCTTAACTTGTGAGTGTACAGAGTAATATACTTATTACTTATGTATATATATATATATATATAATTAAATCCAGATCAATACACACACACAGACACACACACACACAGACACAGACACACAATTCCGAGTCCTAATTCTCATCGTAGAGGGGCGTCGAGTCGCCCAGGTTCATGGAGTGCGGCGATGTGTTTGTGCGCGGCGTGCTACGCACCGACGACTTGGATGAGGAGGAGACGCCGCCGCCGCCGCCGCCGCCCGTGCCCAAGGCAATGCCAGCACGACTGGCGCTGCTCGTATGATATTCATTTGTGGGCGTGGAGCCGGCGCCGCCATAGCCAGCGCTGGGCAAGCTCAGGCCCAGGCTCATGGCCAGGCCCAGTTGTTGTCCTTGCTGTTGCTGTGCATGTTGTTGTTGTTGCTGGGTTTGATGTTGGGGCTTGCGACGCGCCCAGGAATCATTGGCCAGCTGCCAGTCGAGGTTCTCTTTGGCACGTTGCTGTAGATGCTGCTGCTGCTGGTGCTGCTGCTGCTGGTGATGATGTGAATGTGCATGTGGATGTGGATGTGGGTGCGCATGATGCTGGTGCGAATGTGGCTGCTGATAGAGGCTGGCGCTGTTGTAGGCATTGCCGCCTCCGGCCATGTCGTAGAAGCGTGGCGTGCCGCCGTAATGATGCCCCCGGCTGCTGCTCGACTGTGAACTGGGGCTGGGCACGTTGTGGCCATAGCGTGGCGTTTGTGTTGCATGCGGCGTATAGGGCGTCATGAACGGTGTCTGGCCGCTCGGCGTATACGGCGTATTGATGTGCGCGCCAAATGTTGGCGTGCTGCCGCTACCGTAATGTCCGATTCCGGCGGCATTTATGGGCATGCCGGCGGCGCCGCCAATGGAATGCGTTACGGAGTAGGCGCTCGAGGTGCGCATATCGCTGCTGCTGATGCCGCTGCGCGGTGTGCCGCCCGAGATGCTGCCCGAGCTGCTGAATGCGCCACCGCCACCAGCTCCCCCCAAGGAGCTAAGTGAAGCTGAGGGCGGCGGTCGCATCATGTTTGTTGGCGTATTGCTGGCGGGCGTGGCACTGGCTGACATGCTGGACATGCCCGCAGTCGGATCGAGCCAGTGCTCCTTGAACCAGCGCAATAGACTGCTGACGGTATCAAAGATTTGGCCACGAAACCGATAACCCTCGGGCATAACGGTCACATACTCGTGCCGCACCTTTGTCTTGGGCAGGTACGAGAGCAGAAATTTGCCGGGCATGCTCTTCGAGGCGGTAAAAAAGTAGTGTATCTTCTTCGGATCACGGGCCTTCTCGTCGCGCAACAGCTGCTCCATGAAGTCGCGCTCATTAACATTCGCCGGCGCCGTATTGGGCTTATAGTATTTGTATTGAAGCAGTTCGCGTGCGGCCAGTGCCATGGGATTGATGTGTCGCGCGATGATCTCGTCAAGATCCTCGAACTCCTCGGTGCCAATCCATAGACTGCGGCCCAGACTGTACTCATTCTCTTTGCCCTCCTCGCGCACATCGATGTGCTGGAAAATATCATCGGCCACTTTCCAGGTGGCCGTCAAATGATCCTTGGACTTGCTGCTCGGACGCAGCGCCACCTCGCCCTGATCCGCCTCGGCCAGCATGGCAATTACCTCCGCATACGATTTGTTAAAGAAACTCGGATGGGCAATAACGCGTCGCGCATAGGTTTTGCGTTTCATTGCCTTCGCCTTGGCATCTGTCACCTTGCGATTGTCCAGCTCCTCGGTGACAAAGTCATAGAAGGCATCGCGTCTCGGTCGCCATTCGTTGTTCACGTCCTTGAGGTCGGCCGACTTGGAGCTGCAGTCGACGGAGAAGCGATCGATATCGATCTTAATGATGCGCACATGTATCATCTGAGAGACACGGACACGCTCCTCCGGATTGCGTACCTGTTTGTCAGACAGATTCTTGATGTGTATAAAGCCGGGCAAACCATTCTCGAGCCGGACACGCACACCCGACGCCTGACCCGGACAATTGTTGTCATCGAAATGATTCCAAACATCGGACAATTCGGGAAAATCATCCTTATGACAGAACGGACACTGCCAGCTATCCGAATCGTCGATGCGCACCGGATTGGCATTGTCAAGCTGCTCGCCCTGCGGCCGGCGATATGTGAAGCCCGTGACCATGGCCGTAACACATTTGCCCACATAGAACGAATCGGGCGTCTCCTTGGTGAGCATATCGAAGAGCTCCTCGGCGCTGGGTTTCATATAGGCGGAACGATAATCCTTGTAGAGGCAGCTCAGCTCGTTGCGTATATCGTAGAGCGTGATGCTTTTGCTGCCGAAACCCTGACGTTCCAATTCGACGGCAAATGCATCCAGATCCAAGTCTTTGAGTCTTTCCGGTGATTCCAGTATCTCCTCGAGTGCCCCAGCCGGATTTGTCTCCTCGTCATCATACTCCATGGCATCGATGGCCATTTTGCGTGCCCATTCATAGGTCTCTGGATGCACACGCGATCCGTCCAGCACCTCAACATACGCCTCTGTGCTGTCGCCCAGCGAACTGGTATCGATCTTGATGAAGCCGCTGCAATTGATGAACACCTTCGGTCCCAGATGACAGACGGTCACCAACTGTGTGCGATTCTCTAGACGCTGATTGCTCTGCTTGAGCAGCTTGAGCAGCGCCTGACCCTTGCGCGGACCCAGACCGCAAATATACTGCAACAGATTGACCGTTCGCGAATTCTGCACCATCAGATTGATGTCGAGGCCGACCTCGCTGGTGCGATTGATGAACTCTAGGCTGAGCTGTTCGAGCAGCAGCTCGCGCGGCACACGCTCCTGCAGCGGATGATAGCGCAGGCAGAGTATCTCGTCGTCGGCATCGCACAATTGCGAATATTCCACCAGCGGATCCTGCATTTTGCGTGCCAGCGAAGCGGCCTGTTTGAGCAGCGGCGGATATTCTTTGAAATCGGATTCACCCTTCTTGGAATTGGCATAAATCTTGGCCAATTCGTTGTCAATGATCTCCACCTCGATGGGCGGAAATTGTTCGTTCGCCTCGAGATCCTTCAGTATCTCGCGTATGTCCGTCTGTATCATTTGTGCATCCCGCGACTCGGCGCCAATCACAATCACGTGCGGTTTCTTTAGTTTAATAAAATCGCACAGCTTGCGCAAATCGGCCAGCTTTTGGGCCTTCTCCTCGGCATTGTACGAGTTCTTGCGCTTCAGTATGCTCGGCAGCCGCAAATAGTCAGAGATGTCGCCCTCCGGGCTGGCAATTGCACAAAACGCAGCCACCGACTGATCCGGATCGTAGGCCAGGCCCATGGCACGAATGCCGCGCAACGTGCTCCACTCCTCGAAATTGTGATGCTGCGGCATCTCCGGCTTGTAGGGCGCCACCTTGAGCCATTTGTAGAGCTTGGCTATGCAGGAGCGCAGCACAAATTGTTGCGCCTCCTCGTGCAGTGTGGCGCGCAACTCCTTGATCAGATCGGGTATGACCCACTTCTTCAAGGCCAGCTGCACGCATTCGGCACGCAAAGCATTCCATTCAAGCACATTCTTGGCAAACTGATCCAGATGATAGAGCTGCGTCGCCTCGGTCACATAATCGCCGGGTGGGCCGTTCGCATTGGCATTACCCTCGAATTCGTCGAGAAATTTAATCTCCAGCAGCTTCTCCTCCTCGGCCATGAGCAGCTTAATGAACTGATCACCAAAGAGATCACCGACCGGTTTTTTGGCCACATATTTCATCGAATAGACTGGCGAATTCTCATCGATCAGCACCATGCCGTTCTTGGTGGGACGTATATTGAGCCGTGCCCTATCGAAGTACACCTCGCGCATGGTCTTGCGCAGGAGCGGCTCCTGCGCCAGCTGGCGTGCGACCACATATTTGGCAGCGTGCAGCACCTCGTCGACGGTCATGAAGCGCGGCGACAAATACTGCTTGGCCATCTCGGTGGGACTGAGACTCTCCTGGTTGACCTCGTTGCGCTGATAATTGTCGCGCAGATTCTCTGCAAATTGTTCGGGCGTTAGCCCAAAATGCTTGGCAAAGCCACAGATGCCCGCCTTGCGGAAGACCGCATAGGGACTGCTGTTGGGCGCCTGCTTGAGCTGCTCATCGGCGGCCAGTTCCAGCTCCTCAGCCTCGTCCAGGTCAACGCTATTGTCCGGCTTGTCGGGCACAAGCGTATCCGGGCCGTTTGTCTCGCCATCGCTGCCCGCACTGGCCGCAGCCTGACGGCGAGCACGTTGCTCGCGTTTCTCCTGCAGCTGTTTGCGTCGCAGCTCGGCCTGCATTTTGGGCAGCTCGTGCGAGTAGTTGAGCAGAAAGTACATGTGCACATCCTTGAGCTCCTCCATGGACTGGACATCGTTGAGACGCTCGAAATCGCTGTCCAACATTAGACGCACATCGTCCGGCAGCGGTTTGTCGGGATCGGCGCACAGGGTTTCCAGCTGAAATTGTCGCATCTTCTCGAACAGCTGCTTTAGCTTCTTTTTGCGCTCGTTGAGCTGGCACCAGCGCTCATCATAGTAGTAGACCTTCCACAGATCATCGATGTTCAGCTCGGGCTTTACGTACTCCTTGCGATAGAATGCTATAAAGGGCACCTCCAGCTGTTGATTGCGTATGAACTCCAATGTTTGTTTGATTTTATTGACAGCCGTCGGCGGTTTGCGCATCTTTTCGCGATTATCGGCCTTCTCCTGCTCGGAGACGGTCTGTTTGCAGAAGGCGAAACGATATATCCAATTGGCCTCGTCGTCCAGCTCGTGAGAGCCCTCCGGCACCGCTGTCACCGGCACCTGGCGCAGCTGCATGCGCTCCGGTATATCCGTTTTGCGTATCTCATTGTCCAAGTCGGTGAAATGGCCGCGCTTCAGTTCGCTCGGCTCGTATATGTCGAAGATTGTCTTTTTGATTGCCTTCTTTTTCGGTGATTTCTTCTTTTTAGCCGCACGAAAATCATCGCCGCCCAGCAGATCCTCATCGTATTCATCGCCCTCCGACTCCTCCTCGTACTCATCCTCCTCGGGCTTATAGAAATCATCATAGTCAAAGTCAACGCCAAATATATCCTGACCCTCCTGCAGTGAGCTGTGCGTTTGTGACGAGAAAACATTCAATCAATCAATCAAACGATGAATTACACAACTTTTATAATATTAGGTTTGTAATCCTATCAATTAGTCCTATTTTAATTCGCATATTCATTGACAAGCAAAACATTCAATCAATCAATCAATTAAGAATCAATCAAGCGATTAATATAAAGAGTGCCATCCCATCAATCAGTTCTCATGCAGTAATTTTTACTATATTCACTTTTATCGTTTATGTTGCACTCAAGTCAATCAATCAATCAATAATCCATCAAGCGCTAGTTTTCTAAAAACCAAACAAAGTGCAGCTAAACCCATTTGCTAAGCTCTGCAAACTGTTTGCATAATCGCATTGATTGATATATATAAGTAAGTCAATCATTTGTGTATTAAATCAATCAAATGATGCAAAACAAGATCTTTTGCATCAATTTAATGGGTATTGAATTCTATTGACGTAGCTGTATGTTATTTTATTTATATATAAAATATTCCTTGATAATCAAAGCCTTTGCTTAAGTCCATCAATCAATCAATCAATAGATAACCTATATATATATACCCTGCACCGATTGAAAGCTAATGATTGAAAGCCGGAAAGAATAGATAAACCAGCAAAATAATATTGAGTCATTATGCAATTAAAAAAAAGAAATAAACGCGTTTCGAAATCGATTTAAGCGATTTAGCAAAACGATAACAAATCGGAAATAGATTTGTTTTTAACTTTTAAGACAAAACGATTTCTGAATATGCGAAGATTTTCAAAGTTATGCAAAACATTTCGGCAAGTCGAATAAGCACAAATTGAGAATATTTAAATTGTTGTTAAACTTTTTGGATAAGCTCTATTCTTATAGACATCTCTTATTGGTTTTTGGGGAAATGTGAATTGGAAAATCTTTTAAGGTGATTTTTGGGTCCCTTAAAAAGTTTCTCACAATAGATTTTATTTGGGAATATAAGTTTCTTCAGAGAGAGTTGGGCAAGAGCTGGCGTCCTATACAGATCAGAGCGTATCAAATAAAGATGATTCACTAGAAGCTCGAACATAATCTACCTAGTTGCATGTGCTTAGTTGGCCAAGGATTTGAATCGCAGAGTTTGGCTGTACTTACGCATCTGTGAAGATGGGTCGACGCTTCTTTTTCTTCTCGGCAATGGGACGACCATTGTCGTCCACAATAAAATCATCGGCATCCGATTCGCTGTCCTCGTCATCGAAGGTGTCGGCCTCCCGGATGCTGCGCTCGCTGCGTCTCTCGATGCTTTGCTGTGTATCAGAGAGAATTATTCAAATAAATGTGGTTTAGTTTTAGGTATCCGGACAGCGTATGCTTACGTCATCGTTCTCATCGAATAGCTGCTCGGCGATTTGTTCGCGCGCTAGTCCCTCGTCCACGTGCTGCTCCTCGCCGTCGCTTTCGTTGTCGTGAATGCGTCGCAGGCGCTTGAAACGTTTCTATGCAAAAGAAAATGGGAAATAGTTTGGGGAGATCGGAACACTTTCGTATGGAACTTACGCGTCGTTCGACTTTAACGCCCAGATTCTCCTCGATCAGATCGTAATCGTCGTCCTCCAAACGATCGTCCAGATCATCGTCCTCATGCTTTTTACGCTTTTTGCCGCTGCCGCCATCCTCGTCGCCACCGCTGCCCGTGTCCGAATCATTCTCGCTGGCATCATCCTCCTCAATGGGATTGTCGTCAATTAGATCCTTGAGCTCCTCACGCAAACGTTCCTCATCATCTGCAGCAAGTTCGGAATGTTAATGTCTCAATTTAATATATATATATATACATAGAATAAATATTTGTAAGAAGCTGAAGAGACTTTTATTTCTGCAGCTCACAAATGAAAAATCAATAAATTGCATTGCGCCTCATTTTATAAATAAAACACGGCAAGTTTTCCGCACTTTGGAAGTTGCGCAAAAGAAAAGGGACTTGCTATTGATTAATTAAATATGCTTAATACACTATGCCGCAGCAAGCAGACGGAAGAGCAATGGAGACAGACGGGCGGGCCGGGCCGGGCCAGAGTAGCTCGCATGTAAGTGTATATATGCATTTTATATGTATGCGTTGCGCATTTTATGACGCAGTGCAAATACCCTTTGCAAAGGGTATACAAAAAAAACACACGCACATAACCTCAAAGTTGTAAACAAATGACAGACACCTGCCCTGGCCGGAAAACTAGCTTCGCAATTGTCCAGGCCCAGACAGACAGACAGACTGTGCGCATATGGAGCCCAGGGGCGGAAAATTGGGAATTTTGGGCGACGGGTTCATATGCATGAGAATTGTAGTTTTGGCGTATTATTTGTGGAATTGGGCGGGATTTATGTTGGATACGCACCTTCCTCTTCCTCGCTGCTGTCGGACACAGCGGCTTTAAGCTTTTTTAGTTTTTTCCGTTCGTGCACATCCAATTCTTCCTCATCCTGCAGGCGAAAAGAAAATGCAATACATATATATATACATATACACACACACGCGCCCCTACAATGGAGCGCGTATCGCATTTTGCGCGCTTGGAAAATGTGCATAGAGACATACCTCGGATTCAGCGGCTTCCGAGTCCAGAAATTCAGCCATTGTAATAAATTAAATAACTAAATTATATGCTAAAAACGAATTTAACTAAAATGAACACACAATAAACGTCGCTTGCAGTGTCACAATAAAAAAAAACGCAAAGATGAAGAAGCACAAATGTCAAAAACAGTGTGCAACAGTGTTGTTAAATGCATGCAGCTCTGTCAATGCGCTGAGGGTTGCATTTGATGCTATCGATATAAAAAAAAAAATGCCGTATACGATATGCAGTCGGGCATTTTACACATCCCTAAGCCCATGTAGAGCATAACAGTCCTATTTGCTCACAAATCATCATGTGCCTCAAGTACTGACAACTTTTGTCACAGTGTTGGCAATGCTGTCAAGCGGGTAGCAAGAACGAACCATCACTCGATAATAATAAATAAGCGGTTCGTGTGTGCGCGCTTCTAAGATCTATCTCTATATACATATATATATTTATATATATATATATATAGTTTATTATTGTTCATATAATTCCTATTTTTTTTTCTAATACGGTTAAGCTTAACGCAACTGTTCGGTTAACTCTGATATTTTAAGTGTTCTGCACGCAGCCTAGTTTCCTGTGCGTCCGGCGGCGGCGGCGACCACTGTGCTTGTCATTTTCGGCGGTTAGTTCTCAGCGTGCGTTGGTGTGTGTGTGTGTGTGTGTGTACAGAAGTGCTTGTGTGCTTGCCACTCGCAACGCGTGGTGGATTTTATTTAATATATATTTTTTTTTGCTCCATAAATTAATGTGAATGCAATATCCGCACATGAACACACACAAATATAGCTATGTATACGTAACATATATGTACATATAACTGACAACGACGACGGCATACCAAAAAAGTATGAAAAAACACTAGGCAAAAAAAAAAATAAAAAATAAAGAAAGAAAGAACAAAAGCAACAAATCAATCAGAAGTCAGGCCAAACAATATAAAAGAATTTGAACAGAAAAGCCAACAAATAAACAGCTCAACAGAGCAAGCCGCAACATCTCAAATCAAATAGAAATTCCTGTTAATTCAACGCCGCCCTGTGGGTAACAAATAAATAAAGAGGAACAGGAGGCAGCAGAGAGACAGAAACAGAGAAATCTAAGCTGGCCAGCATGGACATAATCAATAAAGTCACGGATGCATTTTGGAGTACGCACATTTGGCTGCCGCCAAATACAACATGGGCGGACATAGCGCCCGGCTCCCGTCCAGATGTTGTGCACGCCAACTATCGGGATCTGATTTGGCCAATTCCATTGGCCGCTGTCGTTATGCTGGTGCGTTACACATTGGAGCGGTGAGTAAAAGAAAATTCATTTGCACACACACACATGCATACATATTTCAACTTACAGTTATTATCTACATGTGTGTATATACGCCCTTTTTTTTTTTTTTTTTTTAGCGTTTTTCAGCGTCGCCGCTTCGCCGCAATTCATTAAACTTATGCGGCGTTTAGGCTTGTGTGTGTGTGTGTGAGTGTGTGCTGGTTTATTTTACTGTAAATGTTCCCATTGACCGCGTCGTTTTCAAGCACTGGCATTGTGCACACAGGCACACCTACACGGCACACAGGCACACGCTCGTTTTGTTTGCTTGTGTGCGTATGCATGCTGTGCAATGTACAGTAAGCTGACGCCGTCGCCGCAAACACGTACATACATACGCATACACATACATACATATATATATATTTTTTTTTTTATATTTTTGCTCTTTTAAGCCAAACATAACCTCATGTGGAAACGCCCAACATTGTATGTATTCAGCTGTGTGTGTGTGTGTGTGCGTGTGTTTGTTGTTGCCCTCCCTTTGCCAACGCCTTGCAACTTTGTTTTCCTTCATCCACTTCTTCAATTTCAACAACAACAACAACAACAACAACAACAGCAGCGGTGTCGGCGTCGACGTCGCGTTCCATTGGAATCTCAATTTCCCACAAATGCACAAATACAAATATGAGAGCGCAGCCGATCTGCTCTGCGGTGTCCGTACCGCGCACAGCGCTTACTAATTGTTTAGTTTACAAAAAAAAAGAAGAAGAAAAATAATAATAATAATAAATGCTATTTGTTTACTTGTATATGCACTAAACAAACACAAGCATAACAATAACAGCAAAGTCAACGGCGCCCTGCAAATGCTTTTTTCTCATAGGTACAAGTCTGTGTGTGTGTGTGTGTGTGTGCCGAACAGTGGTCTACATCCTTTTGAAAAAGTCTCAAAATATCAGCGTGACAATTCTGACAAAAGATTCAATGAAACAAATATTTAAAATAATCATTTAGTTAAAACTTATCCCTTGCTCTTTCGTTTTTCTCGCATAATTCAATCTGGTTGGTTTTTCTTGGGAATAACCTTTAGAGCCAATTGGAAAAACAAAAAACACAAATTAAATTAATTTGCTAGCGTGCGAATGAGTTGGAGATGGAAATTGTTTGCGATTATTTTGTTACTAACATGCAAAAAAGCGATTGCAGTAAAAAAAAAAAAAAAAAAAACTGTCACGAACAATTAATTTGCAATAAATACGATGAGGCTCACATTAGTCATAATTGGGTTCATGTCCACATTGCAAATGAAATTTTGACTTAAAATGTGAGTCAATTGAATTCCAACGAAATGCATAATGATACGAAGGTGTTTTCCAGCCAGGCGTTTGATAAGGGCTCTTATCATATTTGGTTTTTTTTTTTTTTTTTTTGTTTTATGTGTGCAATTTGTTGTTGTCTGCAGCATTCAGGACACTGTGCAGTAGCGCAGCAGAGCTGGGCACACTGTGCAGCGGGCCATTTGCCGCTTTTTTGGGCCAATTAACCTTACATTTGCTTAGCGCAAAGCTAACACACACACACACACACATACGTAACTCGCGGCGTGTGTGTGTGTTGCGTGCATTTCGCATGTTGTAATTAACATAATTACAAATGCTCACGTGAATCTGTGCTAACAAAATTTACACAGGCACACACACACACATGTAAGTGTGCAAATGGGGCAAGGCCCACCTGCAATGCGTTCCATTCCGCAATTCCAGTATATTTTTGTTTTTATTACCTTTTGGTTCGACGTCACGAAGTGAATTTCTTGTGGACGCTTCTATTGAACTATAACTTAAATGTTTGTCAGGGTTGACTGGTTTTTTTTTTTTTGATTTTCATAGTTTTGGAAACTAGAATTGGCTTTCAGGGTCGCCAACAAATTAGCTGTGTGTGCGTGTGTGTGTGTGTGTGTGTGTGGCATCGACAGCCAGCAGGCTCCACTCGCTCCCTTCAATGTACGGCACTCGTTCGCACAGCTTGAGCATTTGTTGATAAGATTTGCGCGCAAGATTTACGTAAAAGTTGAATACAAATTTGATAATGCGCGCTGCTATCTCTGATTACGTTACACACACATACATACATACATACATACATACGTAACTGCGTGTGGGTGGTGCACGTGTGTGTGTGTGTGTGTGTGTGTGAGTCAGTGCTGTGAACGACTGTGACTCAGTTCCGTTCCATTCCTAGCGAGTCTGGTTAGCTTTTCCAAATTGGCCGCACACTGGAATGCTACAAAAAAAAAAAAAAAAAAGAAACAATTCCATTCAAAGCAGCATGCACACACACACACACACACACACATAACATACAACATTCGATTATTATTTATGTATTTATGTATGTATGTGTAAATTATATGTGTATTTGTTTATTTCTTGCGATTACGTATCAGACGACCCTCATACCAACGCTATCAAATTAAAAGTTCATTTTCAAAAATTGGCCCACACACACTCTCACACGGACAGACACATACACACATGCAATTTGTGCGTCTGCTTGAACTGCAGTTTCTCCATAGACATTTCGCGCACTTCCAAGAATGAACACAAGCGCACACATACATACATACATGCATATACAGTTTCCAATTGCTATTGTATTGTTTGTTGTCGTTAATCCAAACTAGTTTTTTTTTTCATTTTTCTTTACTGTTTTATCGCCTACCGTTTGCCCAAGCGAAAGGCCAAAAAGTGCACGTGCTTTACGCACACAGAAGCCCGCCGGCAACGCACACACACACACACACGCATACAGACGCATTTAGCGGGAGCTTTGAAAAATATGTTAAACGGCAATTAGCAGCATGACTGCTGTTGTTGTTGCTGCTGTCGCTGCTGCTGTTATTGTGGTTTTAAGTCAGCTGTTTAACAGCGCAAGATAACAGGCGGCTTAGTTAGTGCAGCGTATACAGCTCTTGATCTTGTTATCGCCGCAAAAATGCTCGAATGACACTGTCCAAGGTTTATGTTAAAGAGCATGAGTCATCGTCAACGTATAATACATTTGCACAGTATTTTAATGTGTTTACTTTTTCGCACTGTATCGTCCAATCGTTTGCGTGTTGAATTATCATTAACAAGCGAATGTCTCCCCCTCTCTCTCTTTCTCTCTCTCTCATTTCTTCTGTACACACACACACGCACGCACACGCTGTAATTTGCCGAAATGGCAGCACTCTGCTCTGCTGTTGTGCCTGTGCTGATAACAGCGGCATAATATAATTTTGGACGCTTTGATGTACAAACATACGAATTTAAATGCATGTCAACATGCATTTGCGTTTGACATTAATTCAAAATAATTATGGCGTTTATCGTTAATTGCTAATCGAGTGGTTGCATTCGCTTCGTTGAACCAGTGTTGAGAACTAACGAAAAATAGCTAAAAAAAAAAAAAAAACTGTTACAAATAGCTAAATAAAGTGTAGAAGTGCTTCTTTAAATCGCTGACACATTCTATTGCAGAGATATATACGTATGTATATATTTTTATTGCTTATGGCATGATCCACTTGAATCTTATCTTGTATTTCATGTGCCCTAAAAAAGGCTTAGATAATATGTAATATAGCTTATAAATGCTGTTTGTAAAATGCTTTCATTCGATTTGCTACATTGATTAAGGGTATTTCAAAATGTCCTATAGTCAGAAATGCAGGCGCCTGGCCAAAAAGCAAGCCAGATTGACCGTTAAACAAAAAAAAAAGCTAAATTGGCATAAGCTGGAGACGCACACAGGCACATTAATAGTATATGTACGTAACTGTAATTACCTGCACGCACAGCGAATGCTAACGGCAACAACTGTTATCCGCGTATAAACTGTTGTTATCGATGCCAAAGTAAAAATGTTTATTGTAAACCTAGGGGCGCGTGTGTCTGTGTGTGTGTGTGTGAGCCTGTGTCTGTGTGATTACTCGCCCTCCTGCATGAGCCGATACTCGGGCATTAACCAACACTGCTGCTCTGCCCGCTGCCGCCTCACAATTATGAAAAGCTCATGATCATTTCCGGGCCTCAGCTGCTGGCGTAGATAATCCAAGAACTTGTTCGCGTTGCCAATGCAACGCGGCTGCGCCAGCTTCGAGTCCAGATTATAGTAATTGCCCTCGATGCGCCGCAAGGCGACCCAATGCCGGCTACGCACGCCGGGCAGCTGTATATAGTAGGCAAATCTTACGGCAACGCCGATATTCAGTATGAAGCCAAAGATCTCGGCCAGATTTAGGCAATGCGGATCACGGCGTCTATCAAACCAAATAGTCTCACAGTTCATCTGCTGCACGGCGTACATGATGACGTTGATGTCGTAATTGCCCCAGCCCAGCCACGATCGATGCGGATTCAGCCAGACGCGTGGCGTCAGCGCATAACAGTAATTATCCAGTTGCTGCTTGGTGAACAGATTGCGACGCTGATACAGATTGTTTAAGGCGTGCAGTGCGCACAGTTGCGCCACCTGCCGTTCGTGGTAGATTCGCGCAGGCATCGAACAGCGAGGCTGCGCTGCTGCTGCTGCTGCGGCGGAAGTATCGAGTAGTGTTGGTGTTTGCTGTTGTGTAGTGTTGTGTAGCGTGCAATTTGTTCAATTTCTTTTTTCTGTCAACTGTCATTTGTCAATTGTCAATTGACGAAATGTTACTAGATTTGTATTCTATTGATTATTATTATTATTTTCTTTTTGTTTCTTTTTTTTTTTTAATATTTATTGGCTGCAGTGCACGCTTCGACGCGCTTCCTATAAGTGGGCATTACAAATTCTAAGCGCAACCAACATATATGTATGTATATATATACATATTTATGTGGAAGCGGGCGTGCATGCATATGAATTGCGTACTTATGCGGGCGCAAGCCCAAATTGATTTGAAAATAAAACATGTGCTGGTGTCGGTGCTGCTGCGCTGCCGGCCAATGAGCGGGGCATATTAGTGCATTGCGCCTCACGCAAGCTGCAAAAAGGCTTAGCCAACACTGGTCGTTAGATATGAAAACGTATACAACAATCTACCAGCCGCTATTAGATATTTCTTTTACTATTTACATAATGTAGCTCATGCTCAAGTCGACCAGGCACCGCACTTGAGATTTGTGATATTTTCTGTGTGCTTGGCTCTTGAACTTGAACTTGGCCGAAGTGTGGGGGTCAGCGAAGTAGTGTGACAGTTTTTGGGGTAAATTTATTATTATAATTAAGGCAAATCAAAACCCATGCGACGACCCTTTGGCCCTTGTTGTTAAGCAATAAACATATATAATTTGAAGTAATTATTTATGGGCTTCCTTAATTCTATTTTTAGGGATGTGTGCGCATAGCAAGACGACGCAAACAAAAGCCAATTGATTTAAAATGCCAGACGCGATCGACTCTTGGCTCTTGATCAGAGATTGAGTGTAGGGTGTGGAGCAGGGTGGCAGGGGGGTGTGGGCTATCATCTGGGGTTGTCTGTGGGGCCTAGCCATATTTTCGATTTCATTAGCAAATTAACTTCCGAAAAGCGTTCGTGCCCAAGACCCAAGCTAGAATCCCATGCGCTGCGCCTATGCTCAACACTAATTACTTATGCACGGCCGCTAGCCAACACTTGTCGTCCAGTGTTGCCATGCTTCACACGTGCCAGACAGCTGGACAGACGGGGCGGTTTACATTTGGGTATGGCCCGGGCCCTGCCCAAATGTAGCTTTTTGGGTGTGGAATTTCAATGTGCTGCAAGCAAATTTCCGCATTCTATTGTTGTGCCTAAATGAAGTACTTGTGTTTGGTTTGCAAATTGCGTTGAATTCAATTCTGTGCGCTGTTGCCAAATTTCAGTTTGTAACAAAATTACATATGCAGACGGACTTAGTTTTCCCAAGGATAAGATTTTTCTAAATAAAATTGGAATGTTTAATTTTAAGCGAATTTTTTATCATATGCAGATAAAGTTAAGCTAAAAATATTGTTTTCTTGCCTCGCAGCTCCGATAATCGATAGAAACTAATAATATTCACAGTTTTAAAGATAAAAATGTTCTATTTTAATATACGCTTATATCAGCTGTCCAATTAACTGCTCCAGAAATTTCATGGCAATCAATAAATGCGACAAAGTCAGAGCTTAAGAAACAGGGTATGCTAGAACTTGGTGAATTATGTTCTGGGAGTACAGGGTATTTCAAACATTTTTCATCTTTTTTCCCGGCTACTTTTCTTTCTTTTAGTCCTAACGGGTGAGATTCTGCTTGGTTACAGGGTATATTTTCGATCTTTGTAGTGATCACAGAGCAACTGCTAGACGATCTTTCTCTACCTTGTGGGCAGACTGTATTTATACAGGGTATACTAACTACAGGGTAACTATGAGCCCTAAAGGACAGATCGTTTGCTTACAGGGTATCTGATAGTCCTTCTACTCAAGGAGAATGTGTTTCTTAATTACAGGGTATGTCCTTACTTCCTATATAAAGAGTAGCTAGCAGTGTCTGATTCAGTCTTCTTCTTTTTAAAGAATCTCCGAATAATTCATTCTTTTCTTTAAGTATAGGTTGCTTGATTACAGAGTATCTGCTAGTCTACCCACATTGTATACTCAGAACAGATCTCGGCAGTTTACAGAGTATTTCTATTGCTTTCGCACTCACAGACAGGGTATTTGATAAGTCTACTCTTGTTTACAGGGTATACGCTAATCTGTCAACTTGTTAGCTACGACGCGTTTGATTAAATATTCGCCCTCATAGTATAATCAAATTCCATATCTATTCCAATAAAAACCTAGACATATTTCGATATATATACATATATATGCGTGTATATACCCTATAAATTTCTTGTTGTTGGTTTTTTTGCAGCTTTTGGATATCTCCGATTGGCAAATCGTTGGGGATACGAAGCTCTAGACCTAAGAAAGCGGCAAATGTTCCTACATTAGAGTTGGCATATGCCAAATCATCGCATTTGGACCACAAGTGGGTGAGTAACGAGTTCTATTAAATAATTACTAACCCGACTGTTCGACGAATAATCAACATGAGTAGAACCAGCATTAACCGGCTTTGCCCGGACAAACTGCTTTTCATTGAACCGTTTCGTAAAAAGGAAAAGACTTACAAACGTTTTCCACACTTGCGGAAAATCGAAATCTTATCTAATATGAGAGGAATCGAAAATTATATAAAAAACTGTATTTATATGCGCTCGTGAACGTCAATCATTCAGTCCATCAATCAGTTCTTAAACGAAATTTTCTTTCTAAGGGAAATCGATTATATTGAAAAACTATTCATCTGTGAGAAATTTATGCATCCCAGCTCTCTCGCTTTGGGCTCTGCAGTGAACATCAATCAGTCAGTCAATCAATCAATCAGTTCTTAAGATAAATATCCTTCCTGGGGGAAATTGTAGATTTTATCATATATGCACCCAGCTCTCACGCTTTGAGCTCCACAGTGAACGTCAATCAGTCAATCAATCAATCAGTATTTAAAATACATTTCCTTTCTTCTTTTTTATCTCCCCCTCGCAGCTGGCACCGCTGTCCAAGCAGGCGGACATGTCTGAGCGCCAAATCGAGCGCTGGTGGCGCCTGCGTCGCGCCCAGGACAAACCGTCGACATTGGTGAAGTTCTGCGAGAACACATGGCGGTGCCTGTATTATCTGTATAGCTTTATATTCGGCGTAATAGTGCTGTGGGACAAGCCCTGGTTCTGGGATGTCAAGACCTGCTGGTATGGCTATCCGCATCAGGTGAGTGTCGATTGATGGGTTTTGTCAATCAAATTCCCAATATCAATTAAATGCATTTCCATTTGCAGTCGGTGAGCAACGATATCTGGTGGTATTATATGATATCGATGTCGTTCTACTGGTCGCTGACGGCCACACAGTTCTTCGATGTGAAACGCAAGGATTTCTGGCAAATGTTTATACATCATATGGTCACACTGTTGCTAATGTCGCTTAGCTGGGTGTGCAACCTGCATCGCGTTGGCTCCCTGGTGCTGGTCGTGCACGATTGTGCAGATATATTCCTTGAGGCTGCCAAGTTAACCAAGTATGCCAACTATCAGAAGGTCTGCGATGCGATCTTTGCCATTTTCACGGTTGTCTGGATTGTTACACGTCTGGGCTTCTATCCGCGCATTATCTACAGGTGACATAACCTCACAAAAATGGCATGCTGAAAAACGTTTGCTTATCGTCGTTTACCGTTTTTTTTTTTGTTGTTGTTGTTGTTTTTTCCAGTTCATCTGTGGAGGCACCTCGCATTCTGCCCATGTTCCCAGCCTATTATATATTCAATTCGCTGCTGTTAATGCTGCTGGTGCTGCACGTCATCTGGACCTATATGATTCTGAAGATTGTGGTCGACTCCTTGCAAAAGGGTCTGGTAAGTTTAGTACGTGCTCATCTTCAATCATTTTGTAATGCATACACCTTCACATTTTGAATGGCCCCCGCATGCTTTGAAAATAAGTTAAGGCGTATGTATGGCAGATATAACAGTGCGCAGCCGATGAAACGAACAGATAGAGAGAGCTCCTGTTATTAGCTAACAGTGAAATTGAGTATATTAGGAGTTGTGACGTCACCAAATGCAATGCTCAATGTTGGATGGCAACGCTCTTGTAATTAGCCAAGATTGCACTTGTTTATATTAGAAGCTGTGATGTCACCAAATGCTGCTCTCCATGTGGGATGGCAACGCTGGGCAAAGCAGAGAAAAAAAAAAGGGTTAACGGAATGTGGTGTGTGCAGCGAAGTTGGAGAACGTGAAGTTGGTTTGAGTGAGCGACTGATGATGACTTGAGAGAAATTTTAAATGAACATTGTGCAATAACTATGCATTGTCATATCATCACATTCATGTGTACATTTTAAGAATAACCCCCAAACAACAATAGGCGTGCAATAAAGCAATTGCTTTACTAATTACATTACTCATTTTTCTTTCTTGTGCTTCTGCAGATGTCCGGCGACATACGTTCCAGTGATAGTGAGGATCTCACAGATAGTTCAGGGAATGTGCGCGTGGCCAACGGCTCGATGCGCACCAAGACCAAATCTGGCAACCCTGCGACGCCAGCAGCACCAGTCACGGCAGCGGGCGGAGTGAACCAGCGCAAGAGGGGCAACAACAGCAGTGCCAATAATCACACGACCGATGCAGCAACGACAACAGCAGCAGCTAACTAAACTGTTGCGCAGCTGTTGTTGGCTGGAAGTCGTCGGCGGGTATGGGAATTGGATTGGAAGGCAATGCCGAAGAACTAACATGCCGCCGACAACTGTAAAATGAGGATTCAAGAAAAACAATACAAACAAAAACAAAAACAGCAACAGCAACAAAACAAACACAAACACAAAAACCAAACCAGTTCAGAACGTTTTTATGTTAATTATTATTTTTTATATTTTATAAAAAGAAAAAATTATTTTTTTTTTTAACTGAAAAAAAAAAACAAAGAAAATATTTGAATAAAATGCGAGTAACTGCGCAGCTAGAAATTCAAATAAATTAACACGTGTCTAACCAGCGCGCGACAATTATTATTTATACAAAGTTTTGTGTTAAACCAAAAACAAACAAAAAAAAAAAACAAACAAAAAACAAAAAAACAGTTATTATTTTTTTTTATATGCATAGTTTAGGCAAGGGCAAATAATGGTTATATTAATTACCGTTATTGTAAATGACAGAAACAACCGAAATAACAACAAACAGCTTGGAACGAAGAACTTGAAACACACAGCAAAATCAGCAAAAGAATATAATACAATTTATAATAAAAATTCGCTACGAATTCGCTTAAACAAGAAAAAACAAAGAAACAATTTAAAACCGAATAAGAAATACATTCAAATGCTATTGTAAATATTTTAACTGTACGTTTTCCCAAATAATAAATAAATGTATGTACGCCAAGAAAATAACCAAACCTAAGACTTTTCATCTCCCAGAAAAAAAAAAACAACAACAAAAAACAACAATTTCACCATATTGGAACAATGTTGCCAGATGGGGGTGGGAAATTTCGATCTTTGTTTACGTGGGATATTTGAGGGGGTTCCCGATTTAGAGATCAGACCATGAACAAAAAGCCAAACCTTATAAAAAGTCAGTTTTCGTTTTGACGTGAATTATGAGGCTGGGAAATTTTAATCTACAGTCTGTCAAGAATGAGGGGAAATTTTAATCTACGGTCTGTCAAGAATGAGTTAACACATTGACTAAAAATGCAACATTTTAAGCTAATAACAATAAAAACCAACTATTTATCTCAGCACATTTTTGAATTATTTCCCTACCTTAGTAAGTAATAAAAATTGTGAAAATTAGTGGAAAACTGAACGAAAATAAATTGGGTATATTAATATACATATTTTAAAGTTGGTAATTGCCACTCATCTAAAAAGCCAGCTTTAAGTTCCGACTTAGCATTTTTACATTTTGTGATAAATAGTATAAATTTGAATTTACGTACTCACCTGTAAATTCCCACGCACGATTTACTTAATCTTCATCTCTCGGGAAACGGAACATATAAGCAATTCTCTGCAGTAGCTGAAAATAGATAATGTTTTTTAGTTAACTTGAATTGGTGAGAATCGCATAGGAGAGCAGTATTTACAAATAAGACATAGTTTTGTCTATAATACGTACCACTTTTTTTTTTTTAATGGTCTCCCAGTAAAGCCACAGCCATTGCCTCCTACACAGTTGAATCCTCCTTCTCCTCCTCGTCCATTGTTCAAGCGGCCGTCGCCTCATCCGTAGTTGAAACCACCTCCTCCATAGTTTAAGGTGATGCCTCCTCTAATATTGAAGCTGCCGTCTTCTGCTCCATAATTAAAGCCGCCTCCTCCTGGATAGCTCCCGTCTCCTCTAATATTAAAGCTGCCGCTTCCTCCTGCATAGCCGCCGTCTCCTGCATAGCTGCCGCCTCCTGCATAGCCGCCGCCTCCTGCATAGCCGCCGCCTCCTGCATAGCCGCCGCCTCCTGCATAGCAGCCGCCTCCTGCATAGCCGCCGCCTCCTGCATAGCCGCCGCCTTCTACATAGCCGCCGCCTTCTACATAGCCGCCGTCTCCTGCATAGCCGCACCCTCCTGCATAGCCGCACCCTCCTGCATAGCCGCACCCTCCTGCAAAGCCGCACCCTCCTGCATAGCCGCATCCTCCTGCATGGCCGCATCCTCCTGCATAGCCGCATCCTCCTGCATAGCCGCATCCTCCTGCATAGCCGCATCCTCCTGCATAGCCGCATCCTCCTGCATAGCCGCATCCTCCTGCATAGCCGCCTCCTCCTGCACAGCCGCCTCCTCCTGCCGTTGAAGCCGCCTCCTGCCGTTGAAGCCGCCGCCTCCTTCGCTTGAAGTGAAGCCCAAGCCTGAGACTTACTTGAACTTATGAGAATCGCGTAGTAGGGCATTTGTAAAAAATACGTTTTTATTTAAATTTGCAGCCCAGCCAGACTTGCTCTTGCGCATAAACATACAAATTATATGCATACACTTGCTTATATATATACATACATACACATATGCATACACACATGCAAACATACATAAATTCGTACATACATTTATACAAATATATATTAATACATACAAACATACAAGAGACGCGTCATACATACACGTATACACACACATGTCTGCATTCACATATATATATACACACATGCACGCATACAAACATATAAACATACATACACATACATAAATACATATATACATATATATAAATACATATATACATATATATAAATACATATATACATACACACTTACATGAATTCAAAGTTACACATATACATTCTTACATATACATACACATATATATAAATACATATATACATACACACTCACGTGCATACATACTGTATTTACGTACACATATACATGCATACATAAACATATACACTTATACACATACATATGTACATACATATACATATACACACAGATGTCGGCATGCACATACATATATACAAACATGCGCACATACATACATATGAACATACATACACATGCATATATACATGTATACATACATATATACATACATATATACACATGCATACATACACATACATATGTATATACATACATACATGTATACTTACACATATACATGCGTACATACACATACACATACATACACTAACATATGCATACACACATGTGCATACATACATACATGTACACATGCATGCACACACACTTAAAAAGTGAGTATATACATGCATACACATATACATACATACATACATAATAAAATACCTGCATATATACATACAAGCATGCATACATACAAGCATGCATACATACATACAAACATATATAATAACATAATTCCATACATACATACATACATACGTACATACATACACACATACATACATACATACATACAAACATACAAACATACATACATATATACATACATACATACATATATACATATATACATACATACATAAATACACATATACATACCTACATACATAATAACATACCTGCATATATACATACAAGCATACATACATACATACAAACATATATAATTACATACTTACATACATAGATACGTACATACATACACAAATACATACATACATACACAACTACATACAGACATATACACATACATACATACATAAGTAGAATCGAAGAAGATATCAAAAAGCGTATTAAGTTAGACATACATACATATGTACATACGAGAGTCTGCTATTTAAATAAAAGTGGTCAATTTCCTTTCTGCGGACAACCCTGTTGCCTGTTGCATGCATTTGTACAGGGTAGAAACACATTGGTGTTGCCAGACGGAGACAGGAAATGCCCGAAAAGAATGCGCGAGAGCGAGCGAAAGAGAGCGATGCTCTGCGCTCTTCTCTCTTGTATGTGAATATATATATATATATATATATATATATAAATTGAACTTAACATTTGCTAAGAAAAGAAAATTTGCTGTTATTTTTAAAAAATTCAATAAACACATACATACACACACATATATATATATACATGATGCTATTTGGTGGCTATTTGGCGCGCCTGCCGGCGCTGTGGCGCTGCTTTGGCAGCCGCAAGGAACGCCTCTTGGCCACCTTCGACTTCGACAAGACCATCATCGACGTGGACTCGTACCAGGTGCTCAGCCAGCTGCTGTCGCCGGAGCAGCGCACCGAGCAGCTGTTCGCGCTGATCCACAACTCCGACTGGCTGACGTTTATCCAGCGTGTGCTGCGACTGCTGCAGCTGGAGCAGTGCCTAAGCGCCGCCCAGATCGGGCAGCATACGCGCCGGCTGCCGCCAGTGCCGGGCATGCTGCATCTGTTGCGACGCATGGAACGCTATCCGGCGCTGGACATGTGCATAGTGAGCGATGCGAACAGCTATATGATTGGCGAATGGCTGGCGGCGCACGGTCTGGAGCACATCTTTAAGGCGGGCATCCACACGAATCCGGTCACCGTTCAGCCCGATGGTCAGCTGCTGGTCGAGCCGTACGAGCTCCAGACGCACTGCGACCAGTGTCCGCCCAACATGTGCAAGGGTGGCATCATGCACAGCCTAATGACCAGCTGCAACGTCGCCTACAGCCGCATCATCTATGTCGGCGACGGCTGCAACGATCTGTGCGCCATCCGGCGTTTGCGTCCGGACGATGTCGCCTGCATACGGCGGGGCGAGGAGCTGTACGATAAGTTGCCCGGGCATCGGCATGAGCTCAGCTGCCAGCTGCTCGATTGGCGGGATGGGCATGAGCTGGAGGACAAGCTATTTGCCACGGTGCTGCATTTGTAAGGGGAAGGCTGGCAAGGGGTTGGGTTGGGGTGGGGCAGCCAAAAAGAAATTTATTGGTAAGGCAAAATTATTAATGCTGCTGTTTTATTCGACTTATTAATTAATTTTCTGCTTTGTATACATATATATATATATACATATATATGTATATGTATAGTATTTTTCACTTATTAAGGTCTTATTGCATAAAATTCAATGGAAAATTAGATTTTTACCAAACTCGTTTGTTTAAGTAGACGAATTTCATCATTGCGTTAGTTTTGTGAAACGTCACGTTTTGTCAGCGTTGCCACTTTTTGTGTTTTTTTTTTTTTTTTTGAAATTCTTTCACACATTCACTTAATGTTCATTTTGTTGTTGCTTGTGCTTAACTGTTATTTCTTTTTTTTTTAATTGTATCTGTGAGTGTGTGTGTGTGTGTGTGCACGTTAGCATAAATTACATGTATAATACATTCTTAGGCCTAATTAAATAGTAAATGTTGTTTCTTGTTGTTTGTTGTCGCTGTTGCATTACAAAATCAACTAGCACAAAGCAGCTGCCGCCCAACAAAGAATATTTGTATATAAGAAGACACTACTTATATGTACACACATACACAGAGGTACATATGCATGCACATACACACATACATATGCATTTGCATTCTGGGCTTAAATCATTTACATGGCTAACTTACAGCTTACAAAAAATAGTATTAAGAAGTACATACACAATTTGAACGAAAAAAAAATAGATCTCTATATATATATATATATATATATATATATAAATATATATAGTAGTTTCGGCCCAATTTCATTTATTACATATGTTACTTTTTATTTTGTAGCTTATTTATATTCGTATAGTACAATTTTATAGGCTAACGACGTACATAGACATAATTGTTTTTTTTTTTTTTGTTTTTGTATTTGTTTCGATATATAAATATTTAATTATTATAAACGAAACACAAACACAAAAGAAGAATACACAATATGCGATGTCTTAACAGTAGAGGCGATGTATGCATGTGTGAGAGTGTGTGTGTGTGTGTGTGTAATGAATGAGGAACAAAGAGAATGAGCATAAGGAAGAGAGAGGTTGTTATGAGAGTTAAGAAAGTGCAAAAGCACGCGCGCCAACGGTAAATACGTTGCCAGACGACTCTGTTGCACTTATTAAATGGCATGTGGCAACGCCAAAAGTTTTGCATACAATTTAAAAATTAAAAAAAGTTAAATTAACTAAAATGCAGCTAAGAAACTCCAAGTGTATGTATGTTTGTTGTCGGTGTGTTCGTGTGTTGGTGTGTGTGTGTGTGTGTGTGTGTATTATTACTTAATCGCTAATTTAAACAAACTCAACTTAGGCATAAACATAAATTTGTTGATCATTTTGTTGTCATGTGTCCGTAACATATTTATCTTGCGTTCGCTTAAGTAACATAATTATTGTGGGCATTAAATTAAGTTGTATTTATATGAATATAAAACAATTAAAGATAAAACAAAAAAAAAATTGCATTAATATATATATATATAATCAATAAACATACGCCCAACCGCATACATATACAAAAATAGCTTGTGTTTTTGCTTGTTAATACTATGCACTTGCGTGTGTGTGTGGGGTGTAGATGTGTAGATGTGGTGGGTACATGTGTGGTGTGTAGGTGTGTGGTGGGTAGATGTGTGGGGTAGAGGTATAGGAGGGGTTTGCTTTTTAGGCAGAGCTGCTGGCTTAGGATTGGTCGAGGGATTGGTAGGTGTGAGGGAGGGGGATGAGGGGGGGGGGGGGGGGGGGGGGCGACCCGCGCTTACTACAAGTCCGTTAAAGTGCGCTTGGCACAATAACGTATAACCCCCACTCAGGCAACAACCGGCGGCGGAGCTATGCCAATTGCTGTGGCTGTGGCTGTTGTTGCTGTTGTTGTTACTGTTGCAGCAACTGTTGTTGTTATTGTTGCTGTTGCAGCAACTGTTGCTGCTGCTGCTGCTGCTGCGACTGAGTTGGAGCTGTTGCTGTTGGCGGGCGTTGCTGTTGTCGCAATTATTGTTGCTGCTGCTGCTGCTGTCGACGCATCATTAAAGCTGCTGCTGCTGGTGGACTGCATTATTGCCATGTCCTGGTTTCTGTTTAGCGCCTGCTGTGGCATTCGCTTGCCACCAATTGGCGGCAGGATGCTGCCGCACGGAATTGCCTCTGCTGCCAGCGGCGGCGCCATGTTGCTGCTGCTGCTTCTCGGACTGAGCGCAGCTGCTGCATCTGTCGTGCCATTTGCCTGCACTGACAGCGGCAACTGCGCAGCCGATGATGTTGGCGAATGTGCGCAGCTATTGTTGCTGTTGCTGCCGCTGCTGACGTTGACGTTGACGCCGACGCCGCAGCTGTTGGGCGTTGTGGGCGGCGTTCGCTTGGTGGGCTTGGCACGTGCACAGGGCACGCAGAGCATGGCGCAGTGTTCGCGCAGCTTAGTGATGTGATCGATGCGATACTCGTTCATCCATTTGACCTTTTTGTGTTTAACTGGCTTCACGCACTTCTCGCCCCCGCTGCCGACGCCGACGCCACCGCCACCTGGCGACAGCAGCGACGCCTGCGGCAGACCCTCCGGGCGCGTGGCGCCGCAGCGCATGCAAATCGAGCAGCGTTCACAGCTCCAGCGACCTAAAAGGCAAACATTTAACATTATATATATATATATATATGCAACTCCAGGTGGGAGACTCACCTTCGGGCACCGTTTTGACGCCCAGGCAGTAAATGTGATAGCCGCGATCGCATTGCTCGCAGTAGAGCATTTTTCCCGGCTGCTGGCTGCTGCCGCATTTGATGCAGCACTTGCAATCCGCGCACTGCCAATTGTAGTTGCGCACACGTCCGACCATCCGGTGCGGCATCTCAATGCAGCTGGGATGCACTGTAAATTGAATGAGTTTGAAATTAACAATATTTTCTTGAACGAAACTCAACGAACTGCACTTTATTGGTATTGCCAGACTGCACATAAAAAATGCCCCAATCTCGTTAAGTTTAATTTTACAAAAGCGTTGCCAACTTTTTTTTTAGTGAAATAACGAAAACATTTTGAATTCGGGAGACTTATGACGTATATAAAGTGCAGTTTTTCAATTGAAAAAATTAGAGTTTATAAAATAATTTGAATGTGTTACTTTTCAAACTTAAACTTTTCAAGCTTAATCTTTATGCATTTTTATAAAAATAAAATAGGCAAATTTAAGCTTCCCTCAACTTTGGCAACACTGCTTTACTCAAGGGAAAACAAAAAAAAAAAAAAGTCCCCTCAATATCCCATGTGGGATTAATTTCGAGCCCTTCACTCACCTCTGCGCCGACAGCTGTAGCAGCGTATAAAGGCCTCGGGCATATTTCTCGCATTGCGATGCTGTGTGCGCTGGCAGACGCCGCAATTGGACGACAATCTGGCATCCTGTTCGCGTTTCTGCTCAGTTTCGCTGGCGGAGTTAATGGAACTGTTATTGCTGCTGGTGCTGCTGTTGCTGCTGCGACTGCTGTGGCTGCTGGCGCTGCTGCTGCAGCTGCTGTCGCTGTCCGCGTCGCTGTCCTATACATGTGCAATAACAAATATGCATGAGTGAAAGCTGTACATGTGTGTGTGTGTGTGTGTGTATATGTGCAAGTGTAACTTACAGATTCGCTGCTGCTGCTGGCTTCACTGCTGCTGCTGCTGCTGCCGCTGGCGTCGGAGGCGTTGCTTGTTTTGGCCGGATCATTGTTGCGCTGATGTCGCGAGCGCTGACTGCGCCGCAGCGCCGCTGTCTGCGCTTTCGTTTGCGTAGCTTTGACGCCCTCGAGCAGCAGCAGCTGCTCCTGCTGCTTCGGCGGCTTATCCAGCGCTATATTCAGCGGGTATGCCCTACAAAACGAAGGGCTATATTAGTTTTGCATCCCATTTGTGCACTTATGAAAATTAATATGAATTTAATTTAATGACAAAATCACGTTAATATCGGATCGGGATATATAATATGGCACTTATATATGTATATATATTATATAGCTGCTATGATGAGCGTAAGCGTATTTCAACTTCGGCTTGACTCTCTCTTTTTTTTTTTTTTTTTTGATCATTTCTTACCTCAGCTCGGCAGGCGTTAGCCGGCGATAGTTGGACGTAAATTGGCCTGGCACCAGGGCCAGCGGATAGACATAATCGGAGTCCTGGTAGGCGGCATCGTAGATCCGCGGCGCCAGCAGCTGCGGCGGCACCGGCATATTCTCTGCCAGTGCAGCTTCACGCACCACATTCGTGATGGAGCGATGCAAGAGGGTCGAACTGGCCGCGGTGCGCGGCACCGGCAAATTCATGGTGAACGTTTGCAGATCCAGGCAGGCGACACGCTCCTCCTTGCGCCTACGGAATACGGAATACGGAAAGGAAAGATTTAGTTGGGTATAACGGGAAATGATTCGTGCGGGCTTACGTCTTGTTGAAGTACACATTCCATTTGCTGGTGGAGAGCATGGCGCGATCGCGTGCCTGCAAGCCACGCCCATTGCCGACAGTCAGACCGAGAGCCTTCTGTTTGGCCTCGATGTCGCGCAGATGCTTCTGGCGTATGTACTCCTTGTACTCCTCGTATTTGTCATAGAAGTCGGCATACATGATGTCCAGTATGTCGGAAGCCCAGACCGCGGTGATGCCCAGATCGCACATCTTTTCGCTGACCAGACCCTTCTCCTGCAGCCAATTGCGCTCCTCCATGTCGACGGCGCGACGCGGCAAATCGGGATATTTGCGCTTAAAACTGGTGATGCCCAAATAGAGGGCCACCTGTTCCTGTATCATGAAGGTGTCGCGATTCTTGGACGGGCAACAGCCCTTCGGCGGCGGCCAATCATATTCCGCAATGCTGGATGCCTTGAAATCCGTACTGCAAAACGAGAGCGTAAAGAATATGGTGAGTTATGGAGCTGGCCGGTAGAGGGTAGGGGAGGGGACAATATGCTACTCACTCTTCGGCGACGCAAATCTCCATTTTCTTCTTCTTGGGTCGCTTCAGTGCCGAACCGAGTATCGCGTCCACAGATTGACCCTGATTCGAGTCCAATAAACTGACGCCGCTCAACATGGACGATTGCGACTCCTCGTTGTTGAGAAAGTCCGGTTGCCTGAGCGAGTTGCAAAAAAAAAAAAAAAAAAACGGTTAAGAATAAGTACTCAAATAAAGCACTCAAAATAATACTCACTTTTGTGGCGTGAGCGGCGGTTCCATGCTCGTTACCGATTGATTGCTGTTATTCAGATCGGCGCTCATGCGTGTGTCCTCCTCGAACACCTGCGGCGACTGCAAAACAACAACAACAACAACAATAAAAATCATTGAAAAGACATTAACAAACAAACATTATCAAATTTGTGTTTTCTTTTCTCTTCGTATTTTGTTTGCAAATTTGTGCATTGATTTTGGTTGCTGCGACGCCGGCAGCGACAGCGCCAGCGCAAGAGACGGCAGCGTAAGAGACGGCAGCGCGCAACAACTCAAGAGAGCGCTATGTGACAGCGTTGCCAGCATGCATGATAATAACAACAACGCCAACTGTGTGTGTGTGTGTGTGTGTGGGGAACCGCGCACATGCTGAGCTCTCCTCAAGCAGAGAGACAGAGCAGCGACGCAGCAGGTGTGGTGAAGTTGGCTTAGCTTGCCGCTGTCCAGCATTGCTATAGACACACCAATAGAGAGCAAGAGCGAACGAACAAAAAAAAAACAGAAAACAAAAAAAAAAATTTGTGCAGCTGATTAAAATCACAGGTGAAGAGACAACAACAACGCGTTTCGGCTGCTGCTGCTGCAGCGCTGCTGACTTCGGTCGCGTGCTGCTGGTTTGCCTGCTGCTGCTGTTGTTGTTTTTGTTATTATTATTATTGTTATTATTATTGCTGCAATCGTATGCGTTTTTTTTTTTTTTTTGTTTTTGTTGGCAGTTGGCAATGAATGCAGCGCGCGAGCGCCTTTGATTTTAATTACGACACAACACTGTTGGCGTGTCTGTGTGTATGAGTGTGTGTGTGTGTGTGTGTGTGTGTGTATGCTTGCGTGTGCTTGTGAGCAAAATTTACGTAATAAAACATAAACAAGTTGCATTGGGTGAAACAATGAAAAATATCATATAAATATTATAGAACACAGGCACAAAACACACACACACACATAGACAGAGAGAAAGAGAGAGAGAGAGCGCGCGCGAGACAGAGACATCACGGTATCCTTTGCATGAATCATGCCAAAGAAGAGACACAAAGAAGAAACCGCTAAAGAAGCAGCTTTCGATACTGCCGCCTATAACGAATTGCAAATACCCTGTTTTAGGGCAAAACTCATGTTTAATGTTTTTGTTAACATCAAAATAATAATATATGCAATGATATGTATATAAAAACTTGTAAATAAAATAAATAAAGAAATTTGGAACATATGCTCATTTAACCCGGGAACTCGTAAGTGCTAGATATAGAAATTTTGGTAGATAGACTCTCAAAATCGAAACAAAGAAACTAGGTTTTACTGCATGGATAATATATAAATTATTAACCGTTAATCTACATTCTTGTTACATTTGTCTTGTAGTTTCCTTTTGCTTTAGAATAAAGCTAGACAAAAATAAAATTAGACTTTTTCCTGGTATTGCTTGCCTTGCCTAAAGATCCTCAAACTTCCCATAGAAGTACAAAGCAAAGAGCTCGAACCCAGGGAACTAGAAGATCAAGATTTATGGAGCTCAAAAAGTACCCAAAACTTGAGCTCTGCCACTCAACTGAAAACTTTCTTTCCACTCTATAAAATAACTGATACATATAAATACAATCGGTTGCCTTACCGGACTAAAGAAGCCCTTGAGCCGCTCCGGATCCGGCTGGTGCTTGAGTCCACCCACGCATCTCGGCCGGCTCTGGGCGATGGCCTTGGCCACGGCGCTGGCGCCTCGACTCATGCGCGGCACACGCGGCTGTGCCGCATTATTTGTGCTGTTGCGGCCGGATGAGGAGGAGGAGCCGCCGGCGCCACCCCTAGAGCCGCGTCCACGTCCGCGTCCGCGCGTTGGAGTAACAGGCGCCGCCGGACTGCTGCCAAAGCCGCTCAAAAGTTGGCCCGGGGTCGAGGATTCATCTGAAAGGCAAGAGCGGAAAGATTTGTAAGAAATGGGATTAGATTCTTGGCATGGTTCAGAGGCTTACCACCCGAGTTCTCCAGCGCGCTGTAGTTGTCCTCGTCCTGCGAATCATGCTGGCTGTTGTTGTTGCTGTTGTTGCTGCTGTTGTTGCTGTTGCTGTTGTTGTTGTTGGTGCGCAGTTGCTGTGTGGCTGTTAGGGATGAGAAATCGTTGGGCTGAAAGATGACATCCGGCAGCGGATCGGAGGAGGATAATATTGTTGTTGGCGGCAGCATGGAACAATTGCTGCTGTCCACAGTTGTTGCTGCCGCCGCCGACGCCGCCGCCGCCGCAGCAGCAGCAGCAACTGTTGTTGTTGTAATTGCGGCGCTGCCATTGCTGGTGGAGGATGAGGATGAGCACATGGTTAGATCGATTTGTGTTGCCAGAGCATAGGCCATGCCATTGTTGTTGCTCTCCACGGTCGTGTTGCCGCCAAAGCGCGGCATCATCGCAGCAGCAGCAGCAACTGTTGCTGCTGTCGCCGCCGCAGCCGCCGCAGCAGCAGCAGCAGCAGCAGCTGTTGCAGCTTTGCTTTGACGCTTGCGCGTTACTTTTGCTGGCGTTCCGGCTGCTGTGCCGGCTGCTGTTCCGCCTGGTGTGGCTACACTGCGTCGCGTGGCGCGCAGCGGCCGCTGCTCGTTGCGTCGCGTCGGCGTTGTCATCGAAGCCGTCGTCGTCGCCGCCGTCGCCGCCGCCGCCAGCAACTGCTGTGCGGCAGCCTCCTCGCCGGGATTGAGGTCCGTTGTGGTTGCCGCATGGTGCGCTGTTGCCAGCAGCTCCGGCTGCTCCGCACTGACCATGTCGATGGCCAAACGCTTGCGCAACAGCTGCACACGTCGCGACTGCACCGCACTGTCCGCCTCCAGCAGGGTTTCCGTTACCGTTGCCGATGCCGATGCCGGTGCCGGTGCGGGCGTCAGCTCGTTGGCATTGCGCTTGGGTCGACCCCGCCGCCTGACCGTGCTCACCGGCAGTGGTGTCCCTGTGCCGGCCGCCGGCGCCGACACATGCGCCTCCTGCTTCTCGCTGTAGACAGACGCCGCCGCCGCTGTTGCCACCGCCAGACGCTCCTCGGCCAGCAGCAGGCTGCCATTGCTGAGCGCGTGTTCCATGTGCGCCGCCGGCTGCTGCTGTGCCTCCTCCAGCTCTGTGTTGAGTATGCGCTCGTGTTTCTGCTTGCGACTGCGATGCGTTGACTGTTGTCCAGTTACTGCTGCTGTTCCCGCTGCCGCTGCTGCTGCTCCCGCTGCTCCTGCTGTTGCGCCGGCAGCAACTGTTGCTGGCGTGTCATTGCTGCAGTTGTGCGTCTGCTGATCGTTTTCATTGTTGTCCAGGCGCCGCTGTTTACTTGGCGGCAGCTGTAAAAGCCAAAGGAAGTATCGAAAAATTGCAATTAGTTGCGGTTTTACTCAAAATGAACCGGTTCAAAGGCGAACCAAAAAGTGGTTCAGCCAAAATTCTTTTTGCTTAGAGGTATTATAATATTTATTTTTTTATTTTTATTATTTTTTATTTTTTTTATTTTTTACTTTTATTTTTTATTTTTATTTTTTATTTTTATTATTTTTTATGATTATTTTTTATTATTATTATTTTTTATAATTATTATTTTTTATTATTTATTTGTTTTTATTTTATTTTTTGTTTTTCTATTTAATTTTTAACCCACAACTGCAGTATACCCTAGCTATTTCGAATGGGCAGAGGGTATATTAGATATGGACTACTCACGCCACTGGGAGATTCTGGCTCGGTCTGTAGGTGTTGCTGGTGCTGCTGCAGCTGCAGCTGTTGCTGCTGTCGCTTCAAATGGTTCTCGTTGTTGTTGTGCAGCTGCAACTGTTGCTGCTGCTGTTGTTGCTGCTGCTGCTGCTGCTGCTGATTGTCTGGCTTGTGATTTAGATTTCGATTTCGATTTCGATTAAGATTCATGTGATTCAGATGATTGCCGAGCTGCGTCTCCTCCGACTCGTAGGCACTTTGCGTCGTTTGTGAATGCGGGCTGCCCTCGGGCGTGTCCAGAATCTCAATGGAATCGATAATCGGCTGCTGTGCGGCGGCAACAGCAACAGTTGCTGCTACAGTTGCAGCAACAGTTGCTGCTCCATTGGCCATCAGACGTTCGGTTAGCTGCGGATATTTTGAGGCAGCTGTCGAATTGTTGCTGAAGCTTTTTGGCGGCGCTGTCAGCTGGCTGAGCAGTATATTGGAGTTGGGCGAGGCGGGATTGCTGCTGCTGCTGCTGCTGTTGTTGTTGTTGTTGTTATTGTTGCTGCTGATATTGCTGCCAGTTGTTGCTGCTGCTGCTGCTGCTTGCATTTGCAGACACTCGAGCAGCAGATTTTGCGATTGAGCTGTGGACAGGCCGCGATTTATTGTTGCTCCTGTGTAGTTATTGCTGTTGACATGCGCCGGCGAGTTGCCCGGCGAGGGCGACGAGGTCAGATCCACCATGTCCACAATATTGTGTTGTTGCTGCTGCTGCGGCTGCTGCTGTTGCTGCTGCTGTGCAATGCCATTGCTGCTGTGCGCCGGCGCTGGCAGATTGTGAAACATTTTGGGATCATGCTCCTTGGAGAGCGCATCATCAATGTCCATATCATCGGAATTGCGACGCAGCTCATCCGCTTCGCTCTCAACAGCAGCAACAGTTGCTGCTGCAACAGTTGCCGCTGCGGGCATGTCGCCGCCATTGGTCAGCGTCAGCTTGGAGGATGAGCTGGAGTAGCTGTTGATCTTCTCCTCCAGCACGGCGCGCACCTTGTGCTTGGGCGAACACAGATTCTTGATGGTCAGCTTAAGATGCGGCTGCTGTTGCTGCTGCTGCTGCTGCTGATCGGTGCTGTTGTTCGTCTTGATGGTCAGCTTGGGCACCAATTGTTGCTGCTGCTGCTGCAAATGTTCCTCATCCTCCAGCTCAATTGACTTGGTTTTGATGGTCAGCTTGGGTATGGACTGCGCATTGTTGGCATCGTGCGTCATGATCACCGTGTGCTGCGCCTGCAGCTGCACCAGCTCCTGGTTGCCGCCCGTCTTGATGGTTAACTTTGGTATTACTTGTTGTTGTTGTTGCTGCTGCTGCTGCTGGTCGTCGCTGCTGATGCAGCTGCTGCCGGCGTGCGTTGTCTTGATCATCAGCTTGGGCACCGTGGGCGTCTGTTCGCCGCCGGAGTAGCTTGAACTGGATGCCGATGAGCTGGATGCGGCCGATGCTGGCGATAGACTGCAGCTGATCAGCTGCGTCTCGTTGCCGCCATCCAATTTGGTCGTTTTGATGGTCAGCTTGGGCACGGGCGCAGCAATTGTTTTCATTGGACTATGGCAATTGCTGGCTTCGGCTCCTCCAGCTGCTCCTCCTCCTCCTCCTCCGCCCGCATCGGGCATCTTGATGATGAGCTTGGGCACCACGCTGCCGACACGCTCCTCGTTGGCGGCGCGTATCGTCAGCTTGGGCACAATATGCGGCAGCTGCTGTTGCTGTTCCTCATCGGCGCACGACGAGGACGAGCACGATGACGATGCATCCGAATTTGTTGCCATATCCGGCTGCTGCACCTTCAACGGCCTTATCGTTAACTTCGGCACAACAACCGGCTGCCCAACCATGCCCTGCAACAGTTGAGACGCATTTGTAGACGGCAACTGTGCGGGCAATTGTATGCGCAGCGGCTCGACGCGTCGCTCATCGTTAACCCCCAGAGATTCGGTTGTTTGGCTGCCGTGCTTCGAGAGCTTCAGTATCAGCTTGTGACTGCCGCTCCCGCTCCCGCTGCTCCCGCTGCTGCTATTGTTATCTTCGCCATTCACATCTAAAGCTGTGGCAGCCATTGCTGCTTCGCTTGTTGCTGCTGCTGCTGCTGTTGCTGCTGTTTCTGTTGTTGGCGCTGTGCTGTTGCTGCTGCTGCTTGGGCTATTTGGCAGCTGCGCATCGTCGCGCAGTCTGTGCTGCGGCGGCGATGCTGTGGTGCTGGTTATTTGACCCACCAGCTGCTGCTGCTGCTGCTGATGATGTTGCTGCTGCTGCTGGCGTTGCTGCTGTTGTTGTTGGCGCTGCGCTGTTGCTGCTGTCGACACATTCAATTGTTGTTGCTGTTGCTGTTGCTGTCGCTGTGCCGGCGACGATGTAGAGCTAACCACCTGCTGCTGGTCCTCCTCTTCTTCCTGTAGCTGCAGCTGCTGCCGCTGGACACTGCTGCTGCTGCTGCTGCTGCCGCCGCCGCCTGTTGCTGCTGTCGTCGTCGTCGCTATGGCTGACTTGCAGTTGGAACCGTTGCTCGAATCCGAATTCGAATTCGAATTGGAACTGGAACGTGGACTGACGCTGGCGCTGGAACTGTTGCTGTTGATGTTGTTGTGGCTGCTGCTGTTGCTGCTGCTGCTTGTGCTGCTGGTGCTGCTCGTGGAGCTGTTGGAGCAGAGAGGCGTTGCTGCCAGGCTAACTGAGGATGATGTTGCTGCTACCTGTACCTGTTGCTGGCGTAAATCATTCATTGCTTTATTCCTTTATCCACACCAAAACGCGGTTTGCTTTTGCCTAAATAAAAACAAAATAAATAAACAAATTATTAGTGGAGAATTTTACAACAAAAAATTATGGTATGCAGTTACAAAGTTTTGCTTTAACATCAATGCGCATTACTTTCGTTAAGTACTTATCGAAAGTCTTCTTCTTTAATGTAACCAAAATAGAGAAAAAAAAAACGGCAACAAAATTAACTGTTCTTATGCTGAGCAGAAAAACAATAAAAGTATCGATACATTAGGCGCGCTTCACACAGCTAAATGCGCTTTCCTTCAAAATTGGGCCGACTACAAAAATATCGATATATAGAAATATCTCTAACATCGCTATCGGCTGGAACCGATCGCGTATTTGTGACTTTGCAAGTCCAAAGCAGTTACATCCTAACTGTAAATAAATTAAATTTCAAAATATGCCAAAGAAAAATAAAAAATGCAAGGTGGCAGCACGTCAAAACAAAGATCGACACACTTTTCTGTTATCGATAAATATCGCGAACAACTTTAATATACAATTCTCGATTACAGTTGACTGGTAACACTTTGTAAATCCGGCCAGATCATTGTACAAATAAATAATCAGCTCAGCTTACGAAAATTTATCGTGTGAATGTTGTAATTTATATTATTTCAAAACAGACCTCTGGCCTCAGCCATTGGATCAAAATTGTACTAGTGGTTAAGGTAATAGCACACAGCATCAAAATCAAACCTCAACATATAAAACCATGTAATACGTATTTGTTTCGCTTGCGTTACAGAAATTATTTATATGTTGCTGCAGTTGATATTAGCGCCGATATGGCAACCCATGAAGGATCAATTGAGCCTTTTTAGGGCTCTGGCAACGGGCGGACGGATACCGGGTACCAATCTGGTACTGATGCCGGTACCAGGCGGTAGATGTCGCTTTGGCCTAATCGAACACATTATGATGGCCCTCGCCGGCGCCTGGCTGGTGTTCCGTGTCATCTGCTGTGAGCTGGCCATCGAGGATAGGCAGCCGCCGCCAGTGAGACGGCAGCGCAAGAACGCTTACAATGTGAGACAAACGGAAGCGGAGACAAATACGGCGTGCTCAACTGATGCCAACCATATTATGATGGTGCAACAACAAAAGGAGCCAATGCCGGAGACAGACCCATTGCTTGAGACGGAGGAGATGTTCTATTGGGGCTGCCAGCGATTGCGCAGACATCAACCGATACTCAAATTTACGCGCACTCAACTAGACAAATTGCTGCGCTTGGAGCGCAATGCTGAGGACTACGACGACAACGATGATGATGATGATGATGATGATGATTATGAAGAAGCAAATGGAAATGATGATAATGACAATGGCGATCCCGGTGACAACAAATCAGAGAATTTAAATAGTGAACAAAATAGCATAGTTAATCCATCAGCGTCCGTCGAAGATATCGAGACGCATTGCAATTCCACAAGAAATCCAGGCGCAGCAGAAGAGAAACATGTAGAATTGGGAAGAGCGTAAGATGCCCAGTTGTCTGCATGTGTCAGTGTGCCTGTGCCGCTATGTGTGTCTGTGTGTGTGTGTGTGTGTAAATGTGTGTTTGTGTCTCAATTTTGTTGAGCGCGGGTGAGACTGTAAGTGGAGCTGTCTGTGTGTGTGTGTGGAAGGGTGAAGGGCAAACCAAGTAATAATGCTAAGCGCAGCGCGTTCATGTTGCTGCCCCACAAAAGGAGAACGAACTCGGCACACGCTCACACATACACATACACACATGCACATGTATGAAAAACAAACACACACACACACGCATACAGTACACAAACCAAACGAAAAAAAAAAAAAAAAAATGGCAACAAATTTTGACAACGGACGATTTCAATCGAAATTTTATATTTCATATGCTATTATTGGAATCAATACAATAATTATTCCACTAAAAAAAATGCATGTATCAAAACTCTAGCATTGACTCTCTCTTTCTCTTTAACATTTAATATGCATGCGTGTGAGTGAACCGTTACTTCAAAGTGCCGCCCCTGTGTTTGGTGTTCATAAGCTACAAAATATATACAACTTACAACACTAGCGGCAATTACACACACACACACACACACAACAGTAATTAATTATATACTTATGCATATATATAGAGTGGGGCAAGAGTGTGCGTATGTATTGTTTTGTTTTCGTTTTCCTATTGCACTCTAGCTATTTACGCAAATATGTAGTAACTGTTACTTAAGCTTTGAACCGAAAAGCTCTCAAACACATTCATTCACCGGCAAACATAGGTGGGAAGAGTAAACGCAATGTGCTTATTGTTTGTTATTTATAGCCAAAAAAAAATGGACGATTGCAATATTTTAATAAAAGCCCGGGCTTCTAATTTTTGCTTATTATGATAGTGGACATAGAAATTGCCGCGTAAACAGTAACGTACCGCCAAAGCACAAGGAAACCTGCAAAAAGCGACAACAACAACAACAAAGTCTACCGTTGTTAATAATACGCTGCGTAAGCGTGGAAACATGCGCGGCACACAGCTGTCTGTCGAGAGCAGCAGAAATTGAGAAAACCGCGCCACATTGGTACGCACTACTACAGCAACAACAAATGACAGCGACTGCGACGTGGTGTATGTGTTGGCAACACTGCCAAATTCACCAGGGGCCCGAGCCAGAAATTCACCACAGCGCACACACGCACACACACACAAACACGAACCAATACCAGCATGAAAGGCAATCGCCCGTGCCGCTGCATGGAGAAAAATACATATATACATGTGCACAATGTATATACACATACACATATGCATATGCATTGTACTTTTATACATGCATCTGCATTAGCGACCCCCGCGCAACTCTCGGCAACGGCGCCTGTGCAACAACAAATATTAACTGCGGCAGAAGCAACAACAAATGCATGCGCTGCGCGCCTAAGGCGATGCAAAAAATAAAAGCCAAAGAAAATAAAAACGGCGAGAAAAGTCTCTTGGAAAAGAAAAAAACACAGTAAGACGCAGCTACATAGCAAAAGACGCCGAAAATGGACCCAACAACAACAGCAGGCTGGCTGGCAGGCAGGCAGGCAATAAACTCACCATGCGGCAAAACGTCAGACAAAAGAAGATGGAGTAGAAGTTGAGCGCCTTCTCTTTGCATGCAATTCGCGTGTATATTGGTGTGCGCGTGTCTTTGTCGGTGTGTGTTAAGACATGGAGCATGTTTTGTTTTTATTTGCACACTTTGTAAACATTTCGTTGCACTTTTTCGTACTATTTATTTAATATACAAAAAAAAACATTGTCGTACACATTGACGTGAGACTGTAGTCGGTACAAATTACCCGTACTTGTACTCGTCTCGCACACACACACACACAGTACACACCGCACACAAACATACACACTATACACACACACACACACAGTACACACAGCGCACATACACCAACAAGCGCAGCGCTCGGCTGTCCCACTTTCCGTGTATTGGTTTCGTACACTTTTCCACGCACTTTTTAACGATTGAGCAGCAGCAGACGACGACGCATAAATTTGTTATAAAAAAATAACGTTGTTTGTTAACTGTTTGAACTGGTCGTAGAACATACGCAATATTACTTCGGCGCGCACCTATCGTTTTAACAATTCATTATTAAATGTATGCCCTGCTCGCTGTCTGACAGTGTTTTTTCTTTTTCGCTTGGAATATAACACTACCGTACTCGTCACGACAAAATGGAAATGAAAATGTAGGGATGTTGATAGCATATCGATACATCGATATTTTATCTGTTACTAACAAATTCACTTGCGATATTTACTATTAAAGCTGTAACTGCCTAGGCATAATATATTTGAAATTTAGCTAAATGCTTAAAAAACTGTTTGGGAAAGAGACGCTATATTGCTCGTATTAGAAAAAGCTTGTTACCACACATCTTCAATAAGTATATAAGGTTTTGATTACTTATATGGTAACAAATAAAACAGAATTCACAAATTCTTAATTAAAACTAGCCATATAATGTGTTTCATTCATATCGGTTCAATAATTTTTAATCGTATTACCACACCAGCCAATTGCCCTGCATCGATACTGTTAAATGGTTACATGTTGCAAATAATTTCATTTAACTGTTAATGAATAAAAACAATTTTGAGAAAATCGAATAGAATAACGTTAAAGCTCAACGCCTATCGATAAATTACGTATAGAACTGAAAAACATCGAAATAGAGAGGCGCTTAATTTCACCACCGCCTTGCCAGAAGCTTGAAATCGGATGGCAACTCTGACGCTAATAAAGCTACTGTCAAAGTTTTGCCCAAAGCTAAACCCGAAATACATACATACGAAAGCCAATTTCAAGCTGCTGCTGCTGATGCTGCCCACTAGCAGTGGGCAATTAAAAACGCATTGGCATTCGGGCATTGTCAGTTGCAAGTGAAAGTGCAGCAGCCGAACGCGCCGCAACAATGTCGACGCCATCAACGTCTGCAGCCGCCGCCGACGCCGCCGCCGCCCACCCAACCAATCAACGGGGCCTGGGCAAACAGCAGCGCCGACGCCTGGCCGCCTTCGATTTTGACCATACAATTGTTTCCCAGAATACGGACACTGTGGTGCGCGACATGCTGCCCAATGAGCTGGTCAGCTCCTGTGCTCTAGCCGATCTAATGGAAAACGAATGCTGGACCGAATATATGGCCGAAATCTTTCGTTTATTGTATGCGCAACAAGTACCAGAGGCGCGAATACGCGACACCATACGCTGTATACCGGAGGTGCCCGGATTTGTGCGTCTTATCAAGCATTTGCAGAAGAAGCTGAATTTCGATTTAATTATCATCAGCGATTCGAATAGTGTTTTCATTGACGAATGGCTGCGTGCACACAATCTATCCGATTGTTTCAATGCCATCTTTACAAATCCGGCCGAGTTCAATGAGCACGGCCAGCTTCTGGTGCGGGCGTATCATCGGCAAACCGATTGTAAACTGAGCGCCAGCAATTTGTGCAAGGGCCGCGTCTTGGAGCATTTTGTTATCGAACAGGATTTACGCTACAATATCCGTTACGATCATGTTTTTTACGTTGGCGACGGCAACAACGATATTTGTCCAGTTTTGAGGCAGCGCGCCTGCGATTTTGCCTGCGCCCGTCAGGGCTTTGCTATGGAGAAGCATCTGATCAAGAATCGCAACAAATTGAAGCTGCGCGCCCATTTGCTCATCTGGCGCAATGGCTTCGATTTGCTGGAGCAGATCTGTGTGCTGCCCCAGTTGCAGGGTCCGCCGTCGCAGGCTCACAATTTGGATGCCAATTGCAAGGCCGAAATAGGACGACGTGCGTCCGCCGTGGCTGCTGCAGCTGCCGCCGGACCATCCGATCCAGTCGAGTAGTCAATTTAAAACACAAAACTTTTACAAATCTATATATATATATATATTCATATATATATGTATAACTATTTCCCAAAAGATATATATTTACATTAATTGATGGATGGTTTCGGAATCATCAAGAGTCTTTGTTGTGATCAATGTTTATATATATGTATACAAATATGCTAAATAATAATGATAAATAAATAAATATCTATTTCGAATTGTGCACAACACACACAACACACACACACACACACACACACACACTCATCTTAAATGTTATTCAGTGTGTTAAATGTATATTTTGTGCTCGCAGCTGTTGCTAGGTGTAAGAGAAAATTGTTTGTGTAATTGTTGAATGTTGTAATTAATATTGTTTGTATATACGATAAACTATATACACACAAACAAACACCCACATATATATATATATGTATATTTGTGTATATCCCGAAAAATAAATGAATTTAAAGTTGTTGCAAAATGCACGCCCCGGAAATAACCGACTGGATTTACTTACATTTCAGTTTAATGGCAAAAATTAATAGCTAGCTATTTATATACATATTATAGGGTTTAGTTATTAGCATAAACTATTGTACGGCTTGTAAACTTGATTGTTGCAAAGGCTCTAATTAGCTTCACGCTCGTTCGCTTCAGTTGACAATCTTATGTATATATATATATATATTTATATGGATGAGTTGTGCAGCTAAATGCAAAACATTTTCCGAATTCAACAAGAGGTTTCTTACAACTTACAAGTTGCAATAGCTTAAATCTAAATGTTAACAAATCAATCTTAATGCCTAAACAAGCGTCTGGGCCGATGGGTAGCCAGTTGTAAGATTTGGTCGCTTAGGAGCCCAATGGCGACATGCCAATCTGGCGTGGATCGGCGCCCGGCTGTTGTGCAGCGCCCGGTTCCAAGTTTTTGATGAGCATTTGCAGCCATTGCTTGGTCGATTTATCATCTTGCAGGCACTGCGTGAAGGTGCCGTCGCGCAGCTGATCCGGCAGGCACTGGCCCAACGCCTTGCGTGCGCTGCACCACAGAATAGAAAGAGAAAGAGATAATGTTGAATGCACATGAAAGAGAGCCTATTATCATGCCTGGCACTGACCGTGTATTGTCGGAGAGACGCAGATAACATCGTACAACATGCTTCAGGAGGCGCGCACACGGCTCCTTCGATAGCTGGATGACCATTTTACCCTTTAGAGAGAGAGGGAGAGCATAAATGAGGAACTCAAAGATGGAGCAGGGCCAACTTACCAGGGTGATGGCCACATGCGAGAAGCGCTCGTAGGTCTGACATATATAGGATAGGCCCGACTCGTCGAGCAATATCTTTTGTATGATGAAAGTGGCGACCGTTTTGCTCAGCTCCGAGCCGCTGTCCATAATGGTCAGGCACAAGGGCACAATTTCGGTGGTCAGCAGAAACGTAATCACCTCCTGTTCGTCGGTCTTCACCAGAGCGCCGATAACACCCAGGCTGGTCAGACGCAAATACTCAAAGGGACGTGTTTTCGAAATGGTCGATAGAAAGGGATACAGATAGAGGGGTATCTGGGCCTGCAGGAAGGCGGTGCGGGTTTCCGGATGCGAGGCGACACACTGCCACAGCGCCAGCGCATTGCACACACGATTCGACTGATGGGCGGTCAGTGTGGGTGGCGTTATTGATGGATATATGCTAATTATCTCCTGGAGCAGAGCGCATGCGGTGCCAAAGCTGTTCCAAAGCATTGGCGCCAGATCCGTTTCACGTTTCTTGCTCAGCTCCAGCAGGGCCGTTTCGCGTGTATCCGGATGTGCTAGCTCGTTGATCCATTGGTAAACCTTCAATTGAAACATTTAATACATTTATAGATATACACTCGTATTTAATAGTGACCTTTTCTTGTTCGGTGGGCTGTTGTTGGGGGTTCATGCAGGGGCTCGGCTGTGCGCTCATCCTTGAAATTGCTGTTAAACACCAAAAATACGTAAAGTTAAACGAAAGCTTTACCAAGTACCGTAAAAGTTTAGCTTCTTTGGCTTTGCGTGAAAACTTTTAAGCGCGTTCGGTTTTATTGCTATTTTTGAGGCAGCCTTAACTCACATCGCAGCGACAATCAACTGTACGTAATAGTGCGTAACAATTGTACGAATTGTTGTTTAATATTCGTATTAGCAATAAATCTAGACTTATTCGAAAAATGACCAAGCAAAATGCCGACCGAAAAATAAAATGTCGGCTCAATTTGTTGCAGCAGCTGATAGATGATAAAAGTGTTGCCACTCTGAAAACTAACGCAGTCTGGCAACGGTGTGGCTCAAAGCAACACTGCGTTTTGTTTTTTTTTTGACATTTCGACGTGGAACTTGTCAAAACAAATTCGTATCGCAGCAGGCTACACGAACTTCACGAACAGTCATTCGTGTAGAAATTATCAAAGTAAACGGAGGTGCGTGCCAAACATAATTTTCTTTTTTTTTTCTCAACTCGAATTATTTGTTTAAATCTAATATAAATTAAATATTAATAAACAAATAGTGTAAGCCTGAATGAATGTATAAAAATTAAGTTCAGCTTTACGTGTGTAAAGCTGTAGCTGCGGCCGAGAAAGGCAATGCGTGGCGCTGCCTGCATAAATTGTTCGTTTAAACAAAACGGCAATTGAAAAACAAGTTGCTTAAAACAAAATACATTTAACTGTTTAGTTACATTTTGGGAAAGCAGCAGCAGCAGCAGCCCATGAAACACAATTAACGAGCGGCTTTTTCAACCAACCAAATTTCACCTGTGACGTCGCCGACGTCGTCGGCTGCCACGTCGTCGTGACGTTGGCGTTGCCATCGTGTTTTGTGATTGTGTGAAAGTGACATGCATGACATACATACGTTTATAGCATTGAAATGTATTGAAATTGTAATTGTTTTTTATCCATTTGCAGCTCTCAAAATATCACACATTAAACGTTAGCCATGGACAAAGTTGTGAAATTCGCTGAGCCTGGTCGTGCATTTGCCAAGGACTCGATTCGCCTGGTCAAGCGCTGCACAAAGCCCGACCGCAAGGAATTCCAAAAGATTGCGATTGCCACCGCCATTGGCTTCTGCATTATGGGCTTCATTGGATTCTTTGTTAAGCTGATACATATTCCCATTAACAACATTATTGTTGGCTCGTAAATCTTGGCGATTGGCAATTGGTCAGGAGGAGAGAAGGAGATGAACAATAATAATCATCAATTTTACGTAGAATATTTCTTTTCGCGCCTAAACAACATAAATATACTTTAATTTTTTTTCCTGTATAGTTACACCAAGCACTATGTACATTCAACGAATGTCCTCTTTTTTTGTAACAAAATTTTCATGTATGTGAAATGTATTGCAATAATGTTCAAATTCCCATTCACAACACATGAACGTTAGTTAATAAGCGTCAGTAATAAACGAAAAAAAAAACAATCGAAAATCCATTGAAGCCTAGTTTCTTATGATTCTTGCGATATTGGGCAACCTTGGCGTCGTATTACGTTACGTTACGTCAAATCCATTTGGTAGCTCTGGGCACCCGAAGCTGATGTCTAGTTTGAAGTTGGGCGCGAGTCGTGTTATGGACACACGTCGTGCGTGCTCGTGTTAAGTACATTGTTGAATTTGTATGCATTGGTCTGAACCAGCTGAAGATCAAAATTGATAACATTTATATTGGATTACATATATAGTGTATGTTAAAGCAGCCATTGAAAGCAAACTTCCATATTTACGGCAAACTTCACTAAACAATTGTCAAACTAATTTTACAAAAAATCATAGAAGCAATTTACGTTCAACAAGGCGACAGGGTATTCCATATTCGCCATCTAATTAGCATATCAGAGTTCCAACTGGATTTTGTTTTCTCTTTCGCATATGTATATATATATCGATAACTATCGATGTCATACTCGTGCTCGTGACGTGGAATGCGTACGGAACTGTTGTTTGGGTCAGTTGAATTTGTCGCCGTTTTCATTGCAAGAGGAATTGTTGGGCCGATTAGTTAGTAAATAAAAAATGTTAGACTTTGTGGTCATATTCACAAAAGGCGGCATTGTGCTCTGGAATTCGAACGAATCCGGCAAGAACTATGCGGCGTGCATCAACAGCTTAATACGTGGCGTCATTTTGGAGGCAAGTCTATCGAATTTTTGTTATTGTTATTGTTAATGTTGTTGTTGTTGTTGTTTTTGCTGTTTCTGGGCTTAGGAGCGAAATACAGAGTCCAAGTACTTTGAGGAGGATCATTTGGCGGTGCAATTCAAACTGGACAATGAGCTCGACGTGGTCTATGCGGCCGTTTTCCAAAAGGTCATCAAGCTCAACTATCTGGACACTTTCCTGGCCGACATGCAGACGGCATTTCAGGAGAAATTTGGCGGCATTGGCCACCAGGAGCGTCTGGCCATTGACTATGAGTTCGAGCAGGAGTTTCGGCTGGTGCTCAGCGCTGCGGAGGCTGCATCCGCCAAGCAGGGCAAGGCGCCGAAGGCGATGCGATCGTACAATGAATCGCAGAAATCAAAGAAAACCGTCGCCTCGATGCTGCAGGACGACAAGCGGAGCGTGACGAACGAGAAGCGCGTCAATATACAGGAGAGCCCGCCGGCAACCAAATCGCAGCCATCATCGCCGCCGCGCAGCAATGCTGATATTATCCAGGAGAATCGGCGTAAGCTGCGCGAGAAACTGACGCCCACCAAAAAGGCAGCGTCGGCGGCAGCGTCGGCGGGATTGGAGGCGAAACCGAACAACGACAGGGAGAAGGAGCGGGCGGGCAAGAAGCCGCGCGTCTGGGATTTGGGCGGCAACTCGAAGGATGCCATGCTGTTGGATCGCTCCAAGGATGCGCCCGAAGATGCACAGCTGCAGACCATTAACAATGATGTAAGTGCTCGAACAGCTTACGGCATGCTTAGCTAATCCCAATTTTATTACAGCTGGTGGGCACCATGCAGGGCAGCATACGGGATCTGGACGTGGAAAGCGACTCGGATGCGGCCGACAGCGAGGCGAGCGACGACAGCGAACAGGAGCAGCAGGAGCAACAGGCGCGTCGAGCGCTGACCCGAAAGCCCAAGAGCGCCGGCTTGTTATCCTATTTCAAGGGCATTGTGGGCGCCAAGACGTTGACGCTCAGTGATCTGCAGCCGGCGCTGGAGAAGATGCGCGATCATTTGATATCGAAGAACGTCGCCTCAGAGATTGCGGCCAAGCTGTGCGATTCGGTGGCCACATCGCTGGAGGGCAAACAAATGGGCACCTTCGACAGCATTGCCAATATGGTGAAGGAGGCGCTGACGCAATCTCTGGTGCGCATCCTGTCGCCCAAGCGGCGCATCGACATTATACGCGATGCCCTCGAGTCGAAACGCAACGGCAAACCCTATACGATCATCTTTTGCGGCGTCAATGGCGTTGGCAAATCAACGAATCTGGCCAAGATTTGCTTTTGGCTAATCGAGAACGATTTCAATGTACTGATCGCGGCCTGTGATACGTTTCGTGCCGGCGCTGTGGAGCAGCTGCGCACGCATACGCGGCATCTGAACGCACTGCATCCGGCTGCGAAGCATAATGGTCGCACCATGGTCCAGCTGTATGAGAAGGGCTATGGCAAGGATGCGGCCGGCATTGCCATGGAGGCGATCAAATATGCGCATGATACGCGCGTCGATGTGGTCCTGGTCGACACAGCTGGCCGCATGCAGGACAATGAGCCGCTGATGCGTTCCCTGTCCAAGCTAATCAAGGTCAATAATCCGGATCTGGTGCTATTTGTTGGCGAAGCTCTTGTCGGCAACGAGGCTGTCGATCAGCTGGTCAAATTCAATCAATCCCTCGCCGATTACTCATCCAACGAGAATCCACACATCATCGACGGCATCGTTCTGACCAAATTCGATACCATCGATGACAAGGTCGGCGCCGCCATCTCCATGACCTACATCACCGGGCAGCCGATCGTGTTCGTCGGCACTGGCCAGACCTATGCGGACCTCAAAGCCATCAATGTCAATGCCGTTGTCAGCTCCCTCATGAAATAGGAGATCCCAGCAATAACTGGGACAAACGGAGGACTTAATTCTAAAAAACTTGTTTTTACACTTGATTTTTTTTCGTGTCTTTATATAAATGTTGTGTGTGTGTGTGTGTGTGTGCACAGGCACAACAAATAAAATGCACTTTTTACATTTGTTTGTCGATTCCGATTTCCAGCCATTTTCCACTCTTGCGCGTGGAATTCACCATAATCCACCATTTACATAAGCTTAGGAACTCATAGCTCTTACGGCTGCGTCAATCAAATCCATCATTCCACCTAGTTTTCATTTAGGATTCGTCCAGGAGAACCTGGCAAAGCATTCTCTACGGATTAATTGTTAATTTCAACATGGATAGCCAAAAATATAGCCTTTGGTTTTAACAGGCGCAGGCGAAAAATAGAATTACAAAAAATATCCACATAGGATTGAAGGATTTTATATAGATATATGTATATATATTTAAGTTGTAGGTTTAGAGAAGGGCGAAATGAAAATGTTAAAGCTATTCCGTCTATTTGTAGAACTCGTGCTCCTGTTCGTCCTTCTTGATGTTGTTCTTGTAGCCCTTCTCGAAGTCCTTGGCCAGAACGATGTAACGATTCTCGCGTACAGCATGCATGCCAGCCTCCTGGCAAATGGCATTAATATCGGCACCAGATATCTTGTCGGGCCTGGCGACAAACTCCTCCAGATCCACATCCTCGCTGAGATTCATCTTGGATGTGATGGTTGTGAATACCAAACGTTTCTGGCGACGATCGGGCAATGGGAACTCAATTTTACGATCCAAGCGACCGGGACGCAACAGTGCCGGATCGAGCGTATCGGCACGATTGGTCGCCATGATGACCTTCACATTGGTTGTCTGATCGAAGCCGTCCATTTGATTGAGCAGCTCCAGCAGAATGCGCTGCACCTCGCGATCAGCGCCAGTTTGGGCATCGAAACGTTTCGTGGCAATCGCATCGATTTCATCAATGAAAATAATAGCCGGCGCATTCTCCTTGGCCAAACGGAAGACATCGCGCACCATGCGGGGTCCCTCGCCCAGATATTTCTGAACAAACTCGGAGCCAACGACGCGTATAAACGAGGCGGTCGTATGATGTGCCACGGCCTTGGCCAGCATGGTTTTTCCGCAGCCGGGCGGACCGTACATGAGTACGCCGCGTGGCGGATCGATGCCAATCTGTTTGTACAGCTCAAAGTGGGTTAGCGGCAGCTCGACTGCTTCGCGTATTTCCTGTTTTTGCATATCCATGCCGCCGATGTCGGCATAGCTAACATCTGGCTTCTCATCCGGCTGCAGCATGGATATGGAGCTATCGGCCTCTGGTGGCAGCACATCGACCAGGGCATTGCTATGCTTGTGCAGCGCCACCGAGGCCGAGGGCTTAAGCAACTCACGGTCGATGGTGGACAGGATGCGTACATAGTAATTAGAGCCCGTCGTGGAGCCCACGATGCCCGTATTCTGATCAACAGCTTCGAGGAATTGCCCAATCACTAGCGGCACCGACTGTATACGCTTCACCTCCTCCTGTGCGTGCAAGTACTCCTTCTTCAGATTGCGCTGCTCATCCTTGATATACTCCTCCTGCACCTCAATGAATTCCAATGTTTTTTGCAATTTCTAAAGATAATTGCGTGTGAATTCAGGCAAAAACTTAGTTAGCTTATGTTGGGCATACCTTATAACGCACATACAAATCGTCTATGTCCAATTCATCCAGGGAGCTATGCGCATCTTTCAGCTTCAAATCAAGCTCGTCCTGGCAGAAAAAAAAAAAATCACATCAAATTTCAAATTATGAAAATTGCATTTTGATTATATTCAAATCAAAACCAAATGCTAGCACAGTGCTTACTCTTTCAGGCATCAATATATCCATGTTGTATGTTTTATTTTAATGTTTTTCGTGCAATGATGAATGCAAGTTTTTATTCTTTTAATGCCGCCTGGCCGTCGATATTAAAAATTAAGACGAAGCAACCAAATGACTCGTCAAAAACAAGCTGACGATATGGTAATGGTGCACATATCGATAGGAGTTGCACTCAGTGTCGATTAGTGACATATCGATATTTACTTAATTGTTCATATAATGTTGAGTATTCGGCAAAACAAAGCCTACACAAATAACTAATTGTATAAACTGGTACAATAAACTAGCGAAAATAATAATAATAAAAAACGAAAAATGTAAATCTATAAATAGCGTATATCGTGTCTGCGGGTATCGATACCCAATCAGAATAATAAGCACCTTTCGCAACAGTGTGTACACACTGTTACGGCAGCACGACCATTTTTTTGAGGCGATTTCGATTCTTCTCATAAGAAAACACATTTATTTTGAGCAACTAAATATGTGTGTGTGTGCCGTGTGCGTGTGTGTGTGAAGAATTAAAACAATAGTTAATAAAAACTGAAAACAACAACAATTAGTGAATGAGTTGAGCGCACATACAATGGACATAAGCATTTAATGCGGCTAATGAAATGGAAATGGACTGTTTTAAACCGCATATGCTCGTGCCAGAGAAAAATCGTTCACCACCTCTAACTCAGTGTCCTGTAGTCGCTGCCATCTCTGCCGTCGCCGTCGCCGCCACTGCTTCTGGTTGGTGCTGCGCTGCCCTCTACCTCTGCCACAGCCGCTGCTGCCACTGTCTGTGCTCTACGCACGCATCGATTTGGGCTAAACGTTAGATACCTCCTAACGCAGTTGTTAGGGTGGAAAAATATAAGTACATAATAATAAAAAGAAATGCTGTGCATTTTTCAATTAATCTATGCCCAAACCTATGCAATTGACGCTACAGCAATAAATTCGAGTGCAATATTTTCAAACGAACTAACAAATAAAAAAAACAACAACAACAAAACACATAAATACGCCAATACGGGCGCAACTCAAGCAGCAAAACAAAAGGGCCAACAAATAAAGTTGAATATAATAAGAGGCAAAAAAAAATAGAATTTTTTTTTTATATAAATCTACATAAGGCAGCAGCAGTGCAGCAGGCAGGCGGCAAAATTGAGGAGCAGTGTATAAAGCGGGGTAAACTAAAGAAATAACAAAACTTATAAAAAAAAAAAATAGTGTGTACAAAATGTTTATTGTATAATTTTCATTACAACTCTACATATGTATATGCACACAACATACATGCATGTGTATGTGCATGAGTGTGTGTGTGTATGTGTATGCATGGGCAAAGTGTGTGCGTGCGTTTAGTTTTTGTTTATATGCTGTTTTTTCAATTCTTTTTCGCTTAGTTTGCTATTTGCGCACATTCGTCAACAAAATGTGCGCTCGGCTTTAACTAAGCGTTTTGCTTATTCGCTTTTATCGCATTATTGTTAGTTCTTTATTGATTTTAAGATGCTGCTGCAATTGTGGACACACTGACAGCACACACACATGCACACATATGCACATGCACACAACCGCACACACATATACTTTTTTTGAGGCAGTGCAATTTGTTAATTTGAAATTTGATTTTGATTTGTTTGATTGTACTTTGTATTACAGCAATTAAATAAGCAGCAGTGGCAACATTGAGCGAACACAAACAGCTTCCACATGAAGACCATGTCGCGCTTTGGCCTGCGCCGTGGCTTCAAATTTTCCGAGGAACAGCAGCAGGTCAATGGCAACAGCAGTCCAATTGGACCAACCGCACAAAAGCTGGCAACGCCGCCGCAACGCAAAAAGCGCAATTGCAGCCTGCCCAGAGAGCAGCCAGATCAGCAATTGGAACCAATTGATGTCGAACTCGAGTTGGACAGGCAACAGCAGCCCCCGCTGCCTCCCTCGCTGGTGTGCAGTGTGCCGCTGGAGCGTTTGCCGCGTCTCGTTGAGAAACTGCAACAGCTGCAACAGCAACAACAACAGCAACAACAGCGCGAACTTGAGGAATATTCGGCAACGGCTTTTATCAAAGTTTTATGCTTGTACTGTGATAAGAAGTTCGCGTCCAGCAAGCTGCAGTCCAAGCATGTGGACAAGTTTCATACGGAACGCAAGGAGCGACGCTGCAGCAATCGTTCGACCAACAACAATAACAACAACAACAACAACAACAACAGCAGCAGCGGCAGCAGCAGCAATAACAGCCACGCCCACTTTCCGGGATGTCAGCACTGCAACAAGTCAAAGTCGCCAGCGTTAACCTCGCCAATCTGTCTGCCCGCCAAGCAGCTGGAGCAGCTGTTCAATCATCTAATCGTTAGCCATGCGGACAAGTATTTTGGCTGCCAGCAATGCCAGCTGCGCTTCAACGATGCACCGCAGCTGCAAAGTCACATGCGGCACTTGCATCAGCAACAGTTGCCCCCGCAACAGCAGCAGCAACAACAGCAGCAGCAACAGGAAACATGCTCCATGATGGGCGCCGAGGAGCCGGTGCTGTTTCGCCTAGGTCTCACACAGAATCGTTTGCCCGGCCAACGGCAGCGCAATCGCAGCGCACGTCAGCAACGCGAACAGCAACAGCAGCAGCAGCACAGCAGCAGCAATACCTCCGCCTCGGCCACGCCCAAGCAACAGCAACAGCAGCAGGCACGCAGCAGCAGTCGCGCCGCGCAGCGTCAGGCGGCGGCAGCAGCAGCGGCGGCAGCAGCGCCTCCTTTAAGCCTCGCTGCTGCCACGACAGCAACTGTTGCCGCTGCCAGCAGCAACAGCAGCTGCAGCAGCAGCTGCACGGCAACAACAGTTGCCTGCACGCCGGAGGATGCACACTTCCGGATGCCCAGCCATAGTCATGTGTTCGATGACAACTTTTACAAGGATGTGGTGCACAATGTGCGCCACAATTTGCAGCATTTTCTCGACGGACGACTGCGCAGCGGACCCGCGCCGCCGCAGCCGCTCAGTACATCGCCCGCCGCTGCGTCTAGCCTGCAACAGATGGCGCTGTGCAGCGCCTATCCCACATTGCTAACAGCCGAACAATTTGGCGATGGCCATGGCCTGGGGCTGGGCATGGAGACGCTGCCGCTGCCGCTGGCGGCGAAGGCAGCTCGGCGGCCGCACACGAAGCACAGCTGGAAATGGAAATGGGATTATGTGAAGAAATTTACGATTATCAACGAGAACGGACGCTTGGTCAAGAAGCTGAAGCAACCGTTTATGGGGCTGCGCGATTTGTCGCGCCTGGACATGTGGACGCAGCTGACCATGCGACAGAAGCACGACCTGGAGCAGGCGCAGCAGCAACAGCAACAACAGCAGCAGCAGCAACAACAGCAACATCAGCAGCAGCAATTGTTGCAACAGCTGCATTTGCTGTTGGATCGTCGCCTGTTGCCGCACATTATGCTCGAGCAAAACGAGCAGGCGATTATCAAGGAGGAACTGCCCGAGCAGCAACAGTTGCTGTCGCAACAGCAGCAACAGTTGCTGCTGCCAGCGCAAACAGGCGCCGAACAAAGCTTCCTAAAGCTGCTTCAGCTGCAACCACGCCAGCAGCAACTGTTGCAGCCGCGCCAGCAGCAACAGTTGCAGCTGCAGCAGCAGCAGCAGCAGCAACAGCAACAACAGCAGCAACAATTGGTGCTCAGCGGCGAATGGGCGCGCCCACGCTTATATTTGTGCATCTGCTGTGGAGCCAAGTTTGAGCAGCGCAAGGCGCTCGAGGAGCACAAAACGTTTCGACATTCGCACATCTATGCGACACACTATGAGCTGGTGGGCCGTGAGCTGCTCGCCGGCAACTTGTTGCGGCATCTATTTATGCCGAAGCGTGCGCTCAGCCGTTATGCGGCCGAGCATCAGCAACAGTTGCTGTCGCAGCACAAGCAGGAGCGAGCCGTTGTCGAGGATGAGTCAATGTTGTGCAGCTCATCGAATTGCTCGGCGGCCTCATCGGCCTTTGGCCTGGGCACGGTCAGCGCCTCGCCCTGCTCGACAGCAACAACAGCGACAACGACAGCAACTGGACACAGCAGCAGCAACAGCAACACGACGTCCACGTCTGTGGAGGACAACGACAACAGCAGCGATATTAAGGGACTGCCGCCGAATGTCAGCGCCTGCTCGCCGGCCAGCCTCAGTTTGAGTCTCAGCTCCGGCTCTGGCTACAGCTGCAGCAGCTCGCAGCCGACGGCGGCCAGCTGCACGAAATGTGGCCGCAAATGCAGCGGCCTGATGGATCTCTATCGGCATATGCTGGACTGTTCCGGTGATTATGTTTGGTCATTGGCCAAAAAGCGTAAATATCGTTATTATTGCGGCTCCAAGAAGCGACGCACCGCCTGCAATAAGCCCGCCAAGCATTTTGCTCAGCTGCTGCGCAAGAATGGCAAAAAGGTCAAGAAACAGGGCCAGGTGGAGTCGGTGACTGGCCTGGATCAGTCGGGCAACAATGATGCGTCCGAGGAGAGCGGCTCCAATTGCTCCAATTCCAATTCCAATTCGAACAAGACTAAAACGCCGCCGCGTCAAAGACCCAGCGATGGTGAGTGCCACAGTGAAGCCTCCATACGGCACAAAATACTCGAAATGGAACGCATTGACAATCCTTCTGGCTGCCGATTTATCCCAAGGGAGCTATTGATTATAGTAGTCCGTTGTCCGATCTCAAAGATCAAGCAAGAAATCTCTTCAAGAATCAACAAATGGCTCCAATTGAATGTCCATTTTTGACCAACTCCGCCAGCTCAGGCTGGACTTGAAGATTTCTTCCAAATGCTTTTTAACTAAATTAAAATATTCTTTGCAAAGATTTAAAAGAAACCATTTCTCTTCAGTCATGATTGACTCATGACTTTAATTTTCCGAAACTCCCGGAAAATTGAGAAAAACTCTTAAAAATACTTTCGTTGAGTTTTTATCGAATCTCTCGGAAAAGTGGAGAAAAATCGTGGTTACCATTTTATTTAGTTTTCTTTCGAATCCTTCGGAAAATTTGAGAAAAACCCTACTAAATCTCTCGGAAAATTGGTAAAAAATCGAAGCTAATACATTTTTTTTTGAAATTTTCTGCCAAAATTCGGAAAATGTAAGAAAAAATTGCAGTTTGAGAAAACACTTTTATAGTTTTCTTCCGAATTTCTCGGAAACTTGGTGGAAAACCGAGAATACATAATTTTATTTTAGCTTACTTTCAAACTGAAAAGTGACTGACTTTTTAATATTTATGCTAAACACGATTTTCACACATTTACTTCTTGTTGAAAATTGCCTAAAAAATTATTTTCCCCCAATTGGTCTCAGACTCAGTTTCAAAGTTCTGCATGCAAAATTATTGAGCACATATTTTTTGGATTTGGAAAAAGCCAAGCACAAGTTTGGAAAATTCACGGAAAGCTGTTGCATGAAAAATGTTCGCCATCGAAAAGTTATTTTGTGTTTATCTTTGTGTAATTTTATGAGAGATGTGTGGAAAATGGGTTTGGGAAAAAATCGAAACTCCATCAACTCATACTTATTTCTATCTCTCTCTCTCTCTCTCTCGCTCTCTTCGATTTCTCTCTCAGCCGAATCCATACGCAAAATGCTGGAGAATTTGCCGGCGAAGCGAGTTTGCAAAAAGATCTTCCCAATGGACAACAAGAAGCGCTCCAAGAAACAGGGCAAGCCAAACAAGAAGCTGCAATCGCGCGGCGCAAAGAAGCTATACAATCACCATCATCATCATCTGCATCATCATCATCATCATTTGCATCATCACGCACTGCGGAATACGCGCTCGCGCCTCGTCCGCGGCAAGCCATCAACAGCAGTTGCAGCAGCAACTGTTGCTGCCGAACAGCAGCAGCGACAGCAGCGCAATCGTCGCAAGCAGCAGCAGCAGGCCAAGCTGTTGCCTGTGAGCGATGTCCAGCTTGGAAGCAACAGCAACAGCAGCAGCAGCAGCAACACGCCAACAATAGCCGTAAACACTGCCAGCATAGTCAACGCCAATGCAGCCACAGCTACTGTTGCTGTTGCTGCGACAACAACAGCAACAACAACAACAACAGCAGCAGCAGCAACAACAACAACGGTTGCCTCGCCCAAGCAGCAGCTGATGCCAACGCCGCCCACAACACCAGCGCCAGCAGCAACAGCAGCAGCATCAACAACAACAACTCCACCAACAACAGCAGCGACAGCAACAGTTGTTCCCAGCAAGCAGCAGCAACAGCATCAGCCTGTGAAGCGCAGCAAGCGCATCAGCGACTGCATTGCCATGCTGACGGGCAAGCTGGAGGAGAAGCTGAAGACTGAGCAACAGCCGGCGGAAAAGGAGCAGCCAATCCTACCGGCAGCAGCAGAGCCAACAACAGCCGAACAGCAACAGCTGCAGCCGAAGACGCCCAAACGCAAGGCCATGTCCAGGCGCATCATCAAGCCGCACGCGGACGAGGCAGCAGCAGCAATAGCCGCGCCTGTAACGGCAACAGTTGCACCTGCAACAGCAATAGTTGCGCCTGCAACAGCAATAGTTGCGCCTGCAACAGTAACAGTTGCGCCTGTAACAGCAACAGTGGCGCCTGCAACAGCAACAGTTGCGCCTGTTACAGCAACAATTGCCCCTGTAAAGGCAGCAACAGTTGCTGGTCCGCCGCTGCCTGTGCCCGTGCCACTTCCTCTTCCACTGCCGCTGCCCGCCAAGCCTGTTGTTTTGCCAGCGTTGCCGCGTCGTGCCACGCCCACCAAGGCAGCAACCAAGCAAATGTTGCCCATACAATTGCCACAGCAGCAACAGTTGCCGCTGGCGGTGCTGCCGATGCCAATGTCGATGCCTTTGCCATTGCCACTGCCGATGCCATTGCCTGCCCTGCCTGTGCCCCTGCCCGTGCCCGTGCCCGTCAAGCTGCCAGCACCAACTCACACGCCAGCAACTCATACGCCAGCAACACCCACAGCAGCAGCAGCAGCAGCAACAATGCTGCTGCCCAAGCTGCCATTGTATCTGCCAGTGCCGGCCAGCTATGTGCTAGAGCCGCTAAATCTCAGTCATGTCAAGCCGCCAGCACATCAGCAGCAGCAGCAGCAGCAGCAACAACAACAACAACAGCAGCAACAGCTGCAGCAGCAGCAGCAACAGCTGCAACAGCAGCAGCAACAACGTGCCGCGGCAATGCCAGCGCGTCGTCAAACGATATGTGGCTTCGAGGCGCGCAATTTACTGCAGCTGGACGAGATGCAGCCACTGGATCTGTCCAAGAAAAACAAACGCAAACCATCGCCAGCTCCTCCGGCTCCAGAGCAATTGCCCCTGGGCCTGGGCCTGCCGCTTGTGCGCGGCACAGATCCAACTGCTGCTGCAGCCGCGGCAGCAGCTGCTGCTGCTGCTGCGCATTATTATTCCAATCTGGAGCTACTGAAGATACCGCAGGTGCGCCAGCCGGTACTGCCGCTGCCCATGCCCGCTCTGGTGCCGCAGACGCCACTGACTGTGAAGGCGCCCGCCAAGAAACGCGCCGCGGAACTGGCCAGCAAAAAGGAGAAGCAGCTCAGTGTGACGCGCATGGACGAGGTAATCAACAATCATATCGACGATGCCATCAACTCGGTTATATTGGCCGTGCAGGAGGAGGACGACGAGCAGCAGCAGCAGCAGCAGCAGCAGGAGCATCAGCAACAATTGTTCCATAAGCAGCAGCAACTGTTTCAGCAGCAACAACTCCAACAGCAACAGCAGCAACATCTCTCACTGCATCAACAGCAGCCACATCTCCCACAGCAACATTTTCCGCTGGCGCCCGTGCCCGTTCCGATACCAGCAACTGTTGCTGCCGTCACACCGGCAACAGTTGCTACTGTGCCCGCCCGTCATCTGACGCCAAAGAAGCGCAATATGCGCTCCAAGACAATCGATTGTCGTTCCGAGCTGTTACTGGCTGCGTTGCCGCCAGCAATAAAAGCCACGCCCACTGTCACAGAAACGCCCATGTTGCTGGCGCAAAATGGCAACGTCGAGCCGACGGCCATGCCCCTAGCGACGCCCATAGCAACGCCTGCGCCAGAAACAATAAGCTGCCACGAGCAGCAACTGTTGCCGTTGCCACAGCAATTGCCGCCGGCAGCAACTGCAGCAACAGCAGCAACAGTTGCTGAGACGCCCGCTGTAAAGCCAGCCCAGCCCGTGTCTGTCATATCTGTGGCGCCGCCAACAGCAACAATTGTCGCAGCAGCAACATTTGCCACAGCAGCAACATTTGCGACAACAGCAACATTTGCCACAGCAGCAACATTTGTGACAACAGCAACAGTTGCAACATCAACAATTGCAACGACAGCAACAACGGGGACCTCGACGCGACGCAGCGCCACGCCACTGCTGGAGGAGCACAGCAGCAATATGAACAACAACAATAACACATCCTCCGGTTTTCATAGTCTCGCTCAATCCGAACTGGCCCAAGCGCCGCCAGCTGAACTCGAGCCGGAGCCCGAACCGGAGCCGGTGCCCCAAGCGAAGCTCGAGGCGGAGCCAACAGCTGAGCCTGAACCTGAGCCAGCGCCAAAAGCCGAACCAGTTGCCACGCCCACTGCCACGCCCAAGGAGGATGCCAAGAAGAAGCAGCGACGTCGACGGAAAAACGAGCTGGCGGCAATTGTTGCCGATCAGCTGCTGGAGAGCTTCAAGATCGACAATGCGCGACGCGACAATCTCAAAAAGCTGGAGAATTTGGCGTACGAGAAGAGCGAGGATCTGCTGCTCACGGGCATGCTGCTCATGTCCAGCACCAAACGCAATGCTACGCTCCAATCAGCAACTATTGCCGGCGACACGAAGCGCAGCAAAGCCGTTTCCACGGACGCCGAGGCCGGGTCGGCCGGTCGTGGAAGGCCGAAGCGTCGCCAGAGCTGCTATTATAGACGCGGTCGCGGCAAGGCGGTGCCGCTTGGCGCCGAGACGAACATAAGCGCATTGAAATCCTCGCTAGAAAACTTCTCTATTGGCATCGAGAAGCAGCTGCAGGCCAAGGAGGCGGCCAAGGCCAAGGCGACGCCGACGACTGCCGCCGCCAGCTGCATATTAAGACCGAGCATATTATGCACGGCGGCCAAGGAGCAGCAGCAACGGCAGGAGAAGCAGCAAAAGTTGGAGGAGCAGCAGCAAGAGCAGGAGAAGCAGCAGGAGCAACAGTTGCCGGCGGCGGCAGCAACAGTTTCTGCTGCGCTGCCCACCTACAGTCGTGATCCGCGGCTCAATAAAAATATACACAAGGAGCCGGAGCAACAGCAGCAACAGCAGCAACATACCCCGCAGCAACATGCATCGCAGCAACAACATGCGCCGCAGCAACATGCCCAACAGCAACATGCACCGCAGCAACAACATGCGCCGCAGCACGGCGACAATCTCGAGGAGGAAGACAACTATTTGACGGAAATTGCCAAAAATGTCAATGAGAAAATAATGTCATCCACGAACGAGGACTTTGAGTTTGCCAACGATGAACTGGACCAGGACAAGGATAAATTCTATCGGCCGCCGACATCGATGAGCGTGCGCAGCGCTCCAAATCTGAATGATGAGCACTCGAATTTTGGCACCGACGACGACGACGACGAGAATACCAATACGGAAATCCTGGACATGGACATGGACGATGAGCTGAGCGTCTATACCAGCTACTCACAGGATCTGGGACGCAACGGACGCCGGCGGCGACGCAGACGTCGCAGCGTCCTCTTGACCCGCCGGCCCAAGAAGCGCAGCACACGCAACGGCGGTCAGCTGGATGAGGCGGACAAATATGCCTGCCAGCTGTGCGGCAAAAGCTTCTATACGTCCACATCGCTGTCCAAGCACAACATGACGCTGGCTCACGTGTCCAAACTCTCCGAACTGGAGTATCTGCAGGCCAAGAGCAATGCGCCGCCAAGTCCGCCGCAGCCAATGGAGCAGCAATTGGAGGCGCCGCCTCAGCAGCTACGCGCCTCGGTGCTTATGCCGCCGATTCAGATGCAGATGCAAATGCAGGCCATGCCAGCAGCAGCTGCTCCATTGTCGCCGCCCAGTCATCATGTCATCACCGAGGAGAGCCTGCGACTCCATGACAACCAACAGCAGCAGCAGCAGCAGCAACAGCACACGAGTCCCGCCCACAGCACCGCCCGGCTTAATCTGAATCCCGACGAGCGTCTCTTTTACGAATGCTGCAACATTCTCAAGAGCGCCGAGACGCCGCGTCTGGCCAGCGGCACGACGGCATCTGTGATTGTTAGCGCCGGGCGCAAGAACCTGGAGACGACGCCGACGCCGCCAACTGTTGAGCCAGCTGCTGAGTCACTGCCGCCGCCAGCATCTCCATCTCCATCCCCATCCCCATCCCGATCTCCATCGCCAACAGCTCCTGCGCTAGCTCCTGCTCCCGCTCCCGCTCCCGCTCCAATTCCGACTGTTTCCCATCAACCTGTCATCCAGCAGCTGTTTCGTAATCCGCCCGCGGCCACGCCCACACCAACCCCCACGTAAGTAAAAATATAAGAAATACAATTTTTGGTAAACGCTTAGCTCGAATAATTCAAGCATTGACCGGAAAAGGTAAAGTTGGGGAAGGGATCAACATGGCGAAGGAAGGAGAAATGGAGAATATATAACCAGAAAAAGGATAGGATAGATAGGAATCCTAAGCAGGAGTTGAGAGCAAGGGAATCCAAAAGAAAAATTGAATATGGATTTTCAGGAGAAGCAAGAAGTTTGCCTGCGCTTATGGAGGGATGGGGATGGGGATGAGGATTGGGGAATTAGGAAGATAGAATAAGAATGATATTCTTCGTCGGCCAAGCCGAAGATTGCCCTAAAGCTGCCGAATTACGGATTTGTTGAAGATACTTCCTATGGAACGCCATTGATACAGTGCTCCGATCCAGCCTAGTCCGTTTTATGTACTCACCGGAAGAGAAAGCTGGAGCTGAGAGATGCGTTTAAATAGACGTAGGAAGAGAGTTGGGAACAGAGAAAGAGACCGGACATGGGTTACAATATATATACTCCAAGGGATGCTCAGCGGAAGGTCAAGAGTTGGCATCAGGAATTGTAAAGAACTTGGCCTAAACTTGATATTAATTTATCTTATCTCTTTTTGTGCCCTTACAGCAATCATCATCCGCAACATCATCATCCGCAGCAGCATCCGCCTCATCCTCATCATCAACACCAGCAGCATCCGCCTCCCCATCATCAACATCCGCCTCATCTTCATCCGCCTCATCATCATCAGCAGCATCTGCATCCACCCCCGCATCGCCTTTCGCCCAGCTACTCGGCCATGTCGCAGTTTTCCGCAATGACCGCAACAAACATGACCACGTCGCGCTTCAAGACAAAGGCCGCCATGAAGGGTTACGAGACGAATGTGACGACGCATCTGCAGCTGGACATGGATCTGGCGAAGACGGCGCGCGCCGTTTGCAAGCTCACCGAATTGGCGGACATTGCTTTGGGCAGCGAGAAGCCGCCGGGCGTTGACTATATGTCCGCACAGATCTTGCCCAGCAACACGGAGCAGCAACAGCAGCAATTGCAGCCGCAGCAACAGCAGCAACAATTGCCGCCGGTCGCAACAGCAGCAACTGTTGCCGAGCCGAGCTCCACATCCTCAAAGACAATTATGCACGCCTCCTCCATAATCAAGGGCCGCATCATTATACCGGAGCGTCCGTTCAAGAATATTGGATTGGAGGAGAAAGCGCCAATTACCTTCCAGAAGCCCAAGACGAGCGTCAATCTGTTAACCGAGGACAACAATAGCGTCTCTACGGCCAGCTATTCGGATCGCGATGATTACGATTTTGGTACGCTCAGCTGCGAGGATGTGGATGCAGAGGGGGAAGGGGATGGAGATGCGGATGGGGAGAGTGTAAAGTTAAGAACGCAGGAGCAGCAGCCGCCGGAACAGGAGCAACAGCAGCAGCAGCAGGAACAGGAGCAACTGAAGCCTGCGGCTGGCATGATTGCGTGCTCCGCGGCCAGCTGCTCGAGCAGCTCCAGCTCCTCTACGGCGTCCAGCACACAGCAGAGCAGCAGCAGGAGCAGCAGCTCGAGTCGGGCGACAGCTAAAACGTTCGAGAACAAATCCCTGATCATGGGCCGGATCTTTAAGCATGCGAGCAGCGCCAAGGTGGGCACAACGCCGCCCAAGCTGGCCGTGAAGAGTGCGCCCAAGGATAAGGCACAGCTGGATCAGCTTTTCGATGAGCTGCGTGGCGCCGCCAAGCCGCAGCAGCAGACGCTCAATGAGCAGCCGCAGTTAGAGCCCTTGGCAGTGCCTTCGCCAGCTGCGATGCCAGCGCCAGCTGCGCCGGTGACGACGAAATGCGGCAAGGCGAGCGCACGCAAGGATCTGTCCAAGCTGCAAACGGAGCTGGGCATGAGTGCCGAGGAGCTGGAGCAGCTCATCGATGAGGGTCAGCGCAAATCGAAGCGACGCTGCGCCACAAATCGGCCCAAAAAGCTGGTGGAGACTTGGAGCTCCGATGAGTACGAGGAGTTTCTCTCCACCAAGGACATCATAGCCCTCATCGAACAGAAGGAACAGCAGGAGCAGCGACGCAAGCGCAAGACTAGCGAAGCACAAGAGACGCCGGCGGGGAACAGGCAACGTGCGGATCGGGAAAAGTCCACGCAGACCGTGGCAAATGCCAAAAGCCGCAAAACACGCAAACCCGAGCAACTGGCGGCGGCAGCGACGCAGCCAAAACGCGCCAGGCAGCGCAGCAGCGTCGCAGAGCCGACAACGCCGGCCAAGGCCAAGCCGAAGGCTAAGACGAAGGCGAAGGCAGCGCGTGGCAAACCAGCCGCAGCCAAAGCGCAGCAGCAGCAGAAGCCGGCAAAGACGCCAGCAGCGGCGGCGGGCAGCCGCAGGCGTGGCAAGCAGCAGGCAGCGGAGGAGTTGACGTCGACGACGACTCCGGCGCAGCAGCAGCGTACACGTAGCAGTCGGCAGCAGCAGCAGCGGCGAACGCTGGCGCAGCCAGTCGAAGTGCACGCGCCGGACATGAATCACTGCCAGGAGCCGCAGCCGCAGCAGCAGCAGCAGCAGGAGAAAGCAGCCGGCAGCGCCAAGCAGAAGCCGCGCAGCAGCAGCAGCAGCAACAACAGAGCAGCAGCAGTAGCAGCAGCAGCTGCAACAAACAACAACAACAACAACAACAGCAGCAGCAGCAACAAAAATTTGAAAACGAAACGTAAATCGCAAACACATCGCCAGTCGCCGGCGCGCCGGAAGCGTCCGGCCAGCGAGAAGCAGTTGTATTATTGGAGCAGCTCCAGCGATGATGAATTCGGTCGCATCCATGTGGAGGCAGCAGCAGCAGCAGCGGCGGCAGAGGCAGCGGCAGCGGCAGCACAAGCAGCAGCAGCAGCAGCAAAAGCAGCCGACGCACAAGCCAACAACGCACAAGCCGACGAAGGCGTGCCGCCACCGCAGCCGCAGTTGATGGCGCCGCCGCCGAAGCATTTCGATGATAGCGAGCAGTATCAGAAGCACGGCTGGATCGTTGGTGACTCGCACAAGAAGCTGGTCAAGCTGCTGGCCATTGCCAAGGGCAGCAAGAAGGTGGACAATTGCGGCGTCAAGCGGCGCACGCCCAAACGCAAATGCTAGAAGCGATGCACAGTTGGGAACAGCTGCCAACTGCCAACTGCAAGCAAAAAATGTATTTCATATATATATTTTTTCCTTTCTTTAAACACACACACACACACATCTAAGCGTTACATTATTTAGGTTATTCTATGTTTTTTTTTATTAAATGTATTTATAATTAATAAACAAAAATTGCGCGAGCAACAAATAAAGATTTGAGCACAATTATCGACTTATCGATATACGCGGGGGCGGGCGCAACTAGTACGCAGTGCCGGCATAGAGAGCTGCAAACTCTTTTTGAAATATACAAAAAAAAAATGAAAGCAAAAAAACAGCTTTAAATTAACGAGTGTCGTGTATTTTTGAAATTATTTCGCAGCTGTAACTTTTTTTTTTTTTGCCCATCTGTGTGGTTGCGCAAAGTCAACTCTAGATATCGATTATTTGCCCGAATGTCATCGATGGTAAGCGCAAATGTGGTAAGGCAAACGATAGTATCGTTTAGTTGCCATCGATTGTATTTGTAGCTCAGATTGTTTTGCAGATTGAAGCTCGGATGAGGAATATATAAAAATAGTTTTATTTTCTTAATTTTTATAACGTTTCATAAACGCATTGGAGCTGTGCAAGTGCAATAATTGTGAGTAATTAAATAAAACGTTTAATACAGCATGTGAGTGAAATTCAAAAATAAATTGCCGTAAACGCCTAAACATTTTTCACTTGCGTCGGAAGTTTTCTTTCTCTCTCTCTGCGCTTCCAATTTTTTTTTTGTTGTATTTTTTCGATGCTGATTCGTAATTGTCTTGTATACACGCTCGCTCTCTTGGCTTGCGCGCGTGTGTGTGCGTGTGTGTAATTGCTGCTGCTGCTGCTGCTGTTGATGTTGGCTGTGGCTGGTTGGAAAATAATTAAAGCAAATAAGTGTACAACTCCAATTTGTTGCACATTTTCAAGTGTTGTAATTACAGTGCATATATAAAACTGACCAAATCTGTGAAACTCTCTCTCCATCTTTCTCTCTGTGTATGTGTATGTGTTGGTGGATGCTGTTGCTGCCAAAGGAGCATTAGAAGACGTTTTTTTTTTATTGGATGCCATTCGCAGCATCCACATACACATGTACGAAACAAAGTCAAGATAAACGAACACAACGGGAATTGAAAGCGGAATCGGGAATCGGTAACGCCGAATCGACCACTGGCGTCTGTGAGCGCTGTTTGCTCGTTTCTTTTGCTGCCCACTCGGCCGCTTCTTTGTGCGCAACTGCAGGTAATCAGAGTTCACCCCTCCCTCCTCCATTAACTTCACCGATTTGCGTCCTACAACTTGGCTAAAACTCAATGAAGTTCATAAAATTGGCAGACGATTGGAGCCATTAACCATTCGCTGCACATGCAGGGGACCCCCGCCCCCCTGCACAGCGCCGTCACCGCCCTGCTGCTCGACGCTCTCTGCCCAAGAAATCATCAACAACAACAACAAAACAGAAAGAGAGGCAGAGAGTTTTAAGCAAGGGTCGCCGTCGTCGTTGTTGTTGGTGTTGTTGTTATGAAAGTTACAGTTGGGCCTTGTCGTCGTGCTGGAACTCGTGACACGTAGGACGACATGCTCGTGTCTAAAATGTATATTTAGACATGTTCATGCGTGTCCGTGCTTGGCACTTCGATACATAACACAAAAATAAAAGAAAACAAAAGCCCCATATTAAAAATTTACCTAAAAATTTAGTAGAAAAGCTAAAGAAAATAACTCGTAATCAAGCAAAAACAATTTTTTAAAAGTATAAAATATGCCCAACTCTGATCTGAAAAATAGATCATGTCATGACATGTTTGATCCTGCGTGTTTTCATATTGTGGTCTATGTGAGAACAGCTAGACGGGTCCCATCTCTAATCATAGTTGTTTCTTTTGTTATTGCTGTTGTGCAGCCCGGGATGGAATGTACACACATTGTACAGGAAATCTGTTGCTGGGAACGTTTAAACAACTCAGCGTGAGACATTTTGATTCTGCGTGCTGCACTTGCAGTTGCATTTACCAGGCCGTTTGCAGATGAATTGCGCAAAAGGTGGCAACGCTGTTGCTGGAACGCGACTTACAGCAGCCGCAGAACAGCAGCAACTGTGTCGCTTATTTGTGTAATTCTTGTATAGCCGGAAAAACTCAATTAAAGGTTGAGTGTTGTGGCTTTTTATTGAAGTACACACCCACATATACACATACACACACACATACACGCAATTGACTGCAATCGCTTGTAGAATTTGTGTGTTCATTCACAGAACACGGAGAGCACTCGCTTCTGCAAAATGTGTTAGCAGAGGCAGCCAAAAGAGCAGGATAACAGACGACAAATACATATGCACAAGGCAAACGAGGACCACAACAACAACAACAACACGCCACCCACATTACACATAACTGAATAGTGACTCGCTCTCACGTTTTTTTGCTGCTGCCGTCTCTGCTTACGCTCTCGCAAAAACGCGCGCGCGCCTGCTCGCTCACACACACACACACTCTCGTACGCCAGCGCTATCTCGCTCGCACATTGAAACGCTCTGGTCAGTTGTGCTCTCTCTGTTTCTAGCTTAGTTGCGTTTGTCGCAGCAGCAGCGCAGCAGCAGCAGCAGCAGCAGGCACAAAAGGATTTTTCCAATTTTTGCAGACACTTTGCAAGAAACCAAAAAAAAATAATAATAACCAACAAAAAAAAGAAACAACATATTTCAACAATATAATGTTGTTAATTTAAAGGTGCGCGCGTGTGTACAAAACAAGTGAATAATTGCAAAATTACATATGAAATTTGTGTAAATGTTATAAGTGGAGCAGCAGGGGCGGAGGCGTAGGAGGGGTGGCAGGTGGTAATTTGCATTTGACTGCGCCGGCTGTGTGTGTACGCTAGGCGCAGGCTCTCTGCGTACGAGATGTCCGGTCGTGGATGTATCCCAGTGTGGCCAAAGTCGCAACTTCTTCTTCTCGCTGTTGTTGTTATTTTTGTTGCCTTTTATACCCTGTAAGCAGTAAAAGGGAAAACATGGCAGTCGCACTTTTCTTTAGTTCTCAAAATCGACCAGAACTTGGGCATATTAATGTTGGGAAACTGAAATATTGAATAACTAAGTGTATTATAATCCAAGGATATTGATTATTTCTAAGTTAGATTGCCAAATGTTTATCAATTCGTTAAGTCGGGAACTTGACGATTCTTCCTCCTGAAGCTAGGGATAAGAATTTCGGGTATAATAGGAATTCAAGTTTCTGGGAAATTCAAAAGTTAATACAATTTTCTAACTAAAATATTTTCCATAAATATATTAAATAAAAATACAAAGTTAAGAATTATAGTTAATCTTTAAAAGATATAGTTAATCCTTGAAAGAATTCTGGAATTATACTTTTGTAAAGATTATCAACTATTCTGATTGTATACCCTTTCTTTGTGCAGGTACAACAAGATGCGTCAATTCAATATTTCGGTCATTGGACTATCCGGGACCGAAAAGGATCGCGGCCAGGTTGGCGTCGGCAAATCATGTTTATGCAACAGATTTATGCGCCCAATGGCCGATGATTATTTTATAGATCACATATCAGTGCTCAGCCAGAGCGATTTTAGCGGCCGGATTGTCAATAATGATCACTTTCTGTATTGGGGCGAGGTGCGCAAGACAACGGACGAGGGCGTTGAATATAATTTCAATATTATCGAGCAAACCGAATTCATGGACGATTCCACATTTCAAGCGTTCAAAGTGGGCAAAATGGATCCATATCTGAAACGCTGCACCGCCACCAAAGTCTTCTCGGCGGAGAAACTCATGTACATATGCAAGAATCAGTTGGGCATTGAGAAGGAATACGAACAGAAGGTCATGCCCGATGGCCGGCTAAGCATTGATGGCTTTGTGGTTGTCTTCGATGTGAGTCCGGTGCCAAATCGCAGCGTCGAGAAGCAAGTGGAGTTTGTCCAGAATGCCATTGCCAATATATTGAAGAACAAGAAGCCGCTGGTGCTGGTGACCACCAAAAACGACGACGCCTACGAGCTGTATGTGCGCGAGGCGGAAAAGATTAGCCAGCGCAAGGACTACAAGAGCACCGTGCAGCTGATCGAGACATCGGCGCACGAGAGCATTAACATTGATTTGGCCTTTCTGATGCTCGCCCAAATGATTGACAAGGTGAAGAATCGCGTGAAGATCATCTCGTATCAGGAATCGGCCAAGTCGCGCAAGGAACTGCTCGATATACGCTCAGAGGCCGTGACGCGACTGATACGCAACCAAATCACAGACTATCACATATTGTGGTCGCAGGGCTCCAAGATGCTATCGCAGTTTCGCGAATGGAACGAGTTCCTCAACATATTCGGACACGAGGCCGGGCAGAAGCTATTCCGTCGTCACATGAAAAAGCTGCGCGACGATCATCTCAACAAGAAGCTGCATCAGTATTTAGATAAATTCGCCCTGGCCCTCGAGTATCTATTGCCCGACATTGGCGCCCTCAACATAAGCGACGACGATGCCTGGGAATGTGCCCGCAATTATCTACAGAATCATATTGAGTTCGAGCAGTATTTCTTTGAGTGTCCACAGGCCACCTGGACGGAGCTGCTCGACATGGACGAGGCCGAGGATGAGGCGCGCATACCGTTTGATGTGCTCGAGACCAATGAGGCGGAGACCGTATTTCGCAATTACTTGAATTCCGTGCAGCAGGACAAAAAGAAAATCGGGTGAGTTCGATATGTTCATCGAAAATTGATAGCGATTGATCGATAGTATATTAAAAAATATACAAACCAATCGATCGCTATAACCAGAAAAGTTGAAAAACAAAAAGATTGTAAAGCTAGTTTAAATTCAAAGATCATTTTTTATCTAGTTATTTTAATTATTTTCTATATATCGATTATAATGTATGATATTATCGATAAACATATCGATTGTGTCGTATCGATTATTTAGTTGTTATCAATTTAGCTATAAAACTAGCTAGATAATTATTCATATTAATTGTTGTTTCGAATACTCTTTAGCTATCTAGGCAGAATATATAGAATATATCTCTTCATATATAAACTTCATATATTTTTAATCGGGATCCCGATAAGCTACTTATATCAAACAATTATTGAAATGTTATCAAAAAAAGGGGGGAAATTTCTAGTTAAGATAGACTATCCAACTAAGCCATTGTCTAGAAAACTTTCTTCCATTATCTAATTATTTGTTATTTGTGCTTAAATCCATCTCTCGCCTATATATCTGGCACAGAGGCTGCTCAAGCTCATTTTCGCTTGTTATTTTTATAGAAAAACCCAAAATTAATAAGCTATATTCAATAAAAAGTGAGCAGGTTTCAAGAATCTTCTGCTCTTCTGCCACAGCGGGTTATTCTTTGCTTGCCTTAACCTGTTGGGAATTGTAAACGAAATGCTTTTAAAATTTGACAAAGCAAGCCAAATTAAAGGACAATCCTTGGGCTGAATTTCTAGCTATTAATTGAAATGTAATAATGGGCTATATAAATGATATATTTAAACTAATCGCTGATGTTCGCTTTTACTCACGCAGCTGGAAGCAGCAGTTCAAGATGCTGCTGGAGGAGTCGGGTTTTGTGACGCCCGGCAAACAGTTGTCGGAGGTGCGTGTCCTGTTCATGGGCAGGGAATGCTTTGAGGCGCTATCCGAGCACGATTGCCAGCAAATCTATGATATACACCAGGACGAGATTATTGAGAAGAGCAAACAGAACTTTGTCGAGCTGCTGCTGGAGCATGCGCAATATTTTCTCCAGTTCAAGAACGTGGACATTATCACACAGGAGGATGTTAGACAGATCACGGATGTCATACAGGAGGATTCGCGCTACAAGATGCTCGATCGTCTCGATCAGGAGCGACGCGTCCTGCTCGTTCAGCATTTACGTTTCATACACTGTCCCATACGGGATCACTGTCCGTTCTTCAACAACTGTGTGGACAATCTGATCGAGGAGCTGCTCTCCGATAAGTCGGCAGCCAATCATAAAACTGTCGGCGGTGGCAGTGTTGGTGGCTGGAAGACCACCGGCAATGGCAGCGAACGCACATTGAATCTGTTGATTGTCGGCTCCGAGCATTTGGCCAGCGATCTGCTGAACGATATACGCATCTGTACGGGCAGCAAGGGCGAGTATATATATGAGAAGCAAACATATTATCTCAATTATCGCATCGCCAATGGCGACATGGAGGCATTCAAGGCCATCGACGTTTACTCAAGCGGTAAGTCGGAGGCGAAACCATTTATATTATATATTTATACTTATATCTCGTCCGTTTCCAGGTCTCATTTGCGTCTACTCGAATCAGCAATCGTTTGAGACGCTCAAGGACAATCTGGAGCGCACGCTGCTGTGCAATCTGGAGCTGGAGGATAAATTTGAGAATTTGCCCATTGTGCTGGTCTATCAGCCGCAGGATCTCAAAGAGAACGAAGTCGAATATCTGCGCAGCGAGGGCATGCGTCTATCCGAAATGTTGCACTGCGATTTCATTGATCACACGCAAAATCATCAGAAATATGTCTACGATATACTCAATATAGTCATACTCTCGTTGAAGCTAAGCGAAATGAAAAGCTACGAGCCATATCCATCCGCCAATCATACAGATCTACGCATACTTGTCTGCATCTATTGCGGCGATCAATATGATATCGAGAATATTGTTCAGCCGCTGCTCGCCGAATCGACGCTGGTCAAGGCCAATGAGCATTGCATTATTGTCGATGTATTCATTGGGGATGCCAAACGGCGTGTGGAATTCATATTGTCCTCGTACCATGGCACCAATCAGTATCGGGACGAGCTCATACATGGCTATATATACATCTATTCGGCCAAACGACGCTCCTCGCTGGCCAATCTCAAGTACGTGTTGTCCCGCAAATGATTTGTGCCAAAATTATAATATTTATTTTCTCTTGCGACAGCATTTTGGCCGCACAGAATGCGAACATTCCATTGCAGCTGGTCGCCGTGACGGAGAGCGGCGGTGTTAATGCATTTTTCAACAATGAAATCTGTCAGTTTCTCATTACCGAGGGCAATGCATTGGCCGATCGCTACAAGGGCAGCTTTATGACCTTCTCGGCGGATCAATATGTCAAGTGTATGTCCATACAAGCATTAAAATCCTTGCCAGAATTTTTAATTTTTAAATTCGTTTGCCTTTTGCCAGTTGCCTTTTATAATCCATTCCTGAAGACCGCCTGGGATAACAAATACGAGGTGGAGAATCTGCATGTGGAGGAGTCAATTACATTGGATTCGGGCGAGGGTACACTCGAGAATTCGGTTAATCAAATGCCACGCCCGCCGCCGCGCCACGAAAGCTATATGCTATCCAATACGCTGGGCACCGACGGTTCCGGCAGTGAGAATTACGAAATGCTTCCTACACGATCTCTCAACTCATTAAATGGTCGGTCTTACGCAATTATTACATTTATTTAAAACATTTATTAATGCCTGGAACTTTTGCACTTGCAGAAGAAAGAGATATATCACTAGATGAAATCTATGATGACAACAACGAAAAACCCAAACACCTGCATCAAAGTAAGTTCACCTCTGACCCCAATTAAAAACAATCAACCCGACACCCTTTTAAATACCACAAAAGGCCAAATAATTCCCCCCCCACCCATATCAAATCATGCCAAAAACTAGAGACCATCAATTACGCAACCCAATCGAATCAGTTAGCATATGTATATAGACCCATATATAATATGAGCATTGCCCCAGGCTCCAGGTCAGCTGATATACCCTGTAATCGACGACACTTAACGGGCTGTGATACTTTCTCTATTTAATATGTACTTCAATGCATAAACAGTTTTGTTTATAGACCAATTTGTTGTTTGGGCGAAACCTAAACACCCTGTACATGTTCTTTAGTCTGCCTTCTTGTTCTTTTTTGTTGCCTGTCGAACTAAAGTAAGCTTAAGCGACGTTTTTTACTTTTCTAACACTCAATTTATGCCTTGTAATTGCACTTAAATAAGCCTTAAGTGTTTTTAATTGGTGCGATTTTTCGCCAAATCTTTAATTTATATAATAAGTTAGCTAAGCCTGACTTTAAAGAAACTTTAATAACGTTTTTAATGCGCGAAAGCTGCTAATTCGCAAATTAAGCTGTCAATTGCTTATAATTCTCAACTGGTTATGGCGCTGAGCAGCAAAATTTGCTTGCCACAATTGAGTTCTATTAAAGAAAGCTTATCAATAACAATGTAAACAGCACGCGACAACAAAGTGTTTACAGGGTATTTAGCTGGTCATGCTGGATGGCATTGATTGGGTTCAAATCCATGTTCATTTGCGTTAGAATTGAAAACCGAACAAAAAGAAACCAAACAAAAACCAGAACCAAAATCTAACCAAAGCCCACAAATATTAAGTAAAAACCATATATAATACTCTTCATAATACTCAATATAATATTATTAATGATTAATCATAACAATTTGTTTTTTTTTTTTTTTATCGATTTATCTCTGTGTGTGTGTGTGTGTATTCGTTGTTGTCATTGCCTATTGCATACCAATAATAATTATTATATATACTAAAAAAAAAACTATAACTATATATATATATATAAAATCATATAAAAATTGGTTGAACAACAAAAATAAATTATATATATATATATATTGAAAATAAAAATATATATTTCGCAAAAAAACAAAAAAAAAAAAAAACTGAAAACAGGATTCCAGATATTCCCTCCTCCAACAACTCCTCCAGAGCCAGCCCCTCCAGATCATCAGCTCATTACATGCACATATAAGAGTCAATTCGTTTCGGCTTCAGAATCAAGTTTGGAAGAAATAACATGTAATCTAACTAATTGAATATTCTCTTATATACTCGTTTATACTCGTAATGCATATAACAATTTATTTTCTTTTATATATTTATTGTTTTTTCTGTTAGTAATTTTGATTTTGTTGCTTTTGTTTGTATTATTTGTGCTTCTGCTCGTTTTGGTCTTCGTTTTGCAGCCAAAACGTAAACTGTGATTATATATTTGATCGTTTTTCACAAACCGTTTCCATATGCCCAATTTGTACAAATACTTCAACTATATTTGCCATAAATATACTTGGATAAATACGCCTGGATTGCATTCATTATCAGCTCGATTTTATAGCCCCTTGCAGTTGTCTTACATATAAAAAGCACATATATATATATATATATTCCTTTCATAATCGAGTTTTTATATCCATATTTATCTGTCTTGTCAAATTGGCCTAGATCCGTCTGTTTACTCCGGGCATATATTCATTTTTTTTTTTAGAAATTTTTACAGCCAATAAACGAACGAAGAAAACTGTGAAGAATCAAGGCTTTAGCCAATATCAAAGTTTATGAATTTCAGTCTTTGATCTTGCACAAACTTGACTTTTATAGAACCCAATCAGATCGAAAAATTAAATCAATATCGTTCTGTGTAACTACTTTTATCCAAGAACCTTTGACATTTTTGCCTTACAAATGTGCCCTTTTTTTTTAGGCACAATGTCTTCTGCAAGGGTATTTAAGCTTCGGCTTGTCGTTCATCATCAGATCCCAATCAGATCGAAAAACTAAATCAATATCGTCCTGCTATATCTGCTTTTGTTCTATACCCTTCGGCATGTTTCTTAAGCCAATATGTCTGTGAGGGTATTTGGGCTTCGGCTTGCCGTTGTCAGCCTCTGCGCCTCGTTTATTTTTCTTGTTTATTCAGTTGCGATTTTCTTAAAGCCTTTCAATATGTACATAATATCTATACATATATATAATATATCAATAACTAATATTTTTTTTAACTCATTTGTAAATAGCATTTTTTTTTGTTTGTTTGTTTTTTATTTTTATTTTTTTTTAACTTGTGACTAACTTAGCTGAAAAAATATGTATTTAAAAAAACTTGCGCAACACAAAAAATTTGCTATATTTAATGCGTATTATATTTTTGTTCTTGTTGTTGTTGTTGTTGTTTTTTCTTTTCGTCCTTTTTGTCGATTTTATTGTTCCACTCATGCATTTCATAAGCAGCGGATGTCAGCGGATCAAAGGATTCATTGGCCACCCACGATGCAGGTTAACTTTCGCTTCCAATCGTTACTTAGTCCCCCCGCTAACCCCACCCCACCCGCGCTCAGTTCGCACCTGCACGATCTTTAGAGAAACCCTCCCCCTGTCCAACACACACTTCCCGCCCAGACACGCCGCACACCTAGACGAAAAAACATATAAATCTAGTTATGGGAATAAAAACGAGAAAGAAGGTCTATCTTTGGCATGCCGAAGATCTAATACCCTTGCAGACCCCCAACCTTTTCATAATGTACATAGTGCTTTGTTCGCATCTAAGAATATTTTTCATACAAGAATCTACTTTTCGACCGATCCTTCCTATGGCAGCTGCATGATATAGTGCTGCGATCCAGCTGGTTCCGACATATGCACAGAAGGAGAGAAACTGAGAGACTAGCCCGCATAGAAGCAGACAAACGGACAGACTGTTGATACTGATCAAGAATATATATAGACTTTTTGGTTTCGGAGCTGTCTTCTTCTGTGCGTTACACAGCTCGAGACAAGTTTATAATAACCTCTGCAAGGGTATAAAAAAGAAACTTTCTTTGTTGTCCACCCGTGCTCCACAAAATCCCGCACTGCTCGCTTTTTAGCCCAAGCTAAGAGATCTAATTCTTAATGAATTTTGTTATTTATTGTTTGCTTTTATTATTGTTGTTATTTTTTTTTTCGCCTGAAAATTATATAATTTGTAACTAATTTGCAGAGTGGCTGGAGGACAAGAGCGATGCGCGTCGCAGCACGAACAAGAACTCGATTTGGAATAATTTCGGCGGATCGACGCATGCGTATACAACCGGACGGCGGCATATTGATTCGAATTTGAACAAGATCCGTCCGAAGGGTCCCAGCCAGACGCTGAAGGTGGGTGATGCGTCCAGTCGCAACTGTTGTGCCATCAACATGAGCTCCTCAACTTTCACGCTACCCACACAGCAACCGGGCAAGCTGAATATGAAGAACTTTCAGTTGGTCAGCGATGCCGTCGCCAAGATGAACTTCACCAGCGGCAGCGGCAGCGGCAGCATGGCCGATTCCACCTATTTGGCTGGCTGTGACGGCGTCACAGAGAAGGATGCCAAACGATATGATCATGCCCAGCTTGATGGCGAGGACGAGGACTCCGAGGAGCTGGCCGAGTACGAGCAAATCTATGAAAACGAAGGTGCGTCGGGCTCACATTTAACATTTAATTAGCTCTCAAATTAATCGATTATTTAGTTAATTTGTTGAATTTGCAATTGTTAAATCTGCGTGCGTAGTTCCTGTCAAAGCAACTGCACGGGTTAGTTTTGGGTAATAGGTTAAAATGTATAAAAACTGTCGCTGGTTCGCTTCATGTTTGCGAACCAGTTGCTCAGCCCTCTCCACGGTTCGGTTCGACGCTTGGTTCATTATCTTTATTTGAAATATTTCATTTATCCATGTGTCAATTATATATAAATGTTGTTTGTAAAACTGGTTTGGTTCAGATTTTGGTTCGCCTTCGTTTCGGTTCGGTTAACTGGTTCAAAACCTGGTTCATTTTTGGTTCGGTTAACTGGTTAGAAACTTGGTTCATTTAATTTTATCCCATTTTATAACCATCTATATTTGATTGTTGTCCATAAAACTGGTTTGGTTCAGGTTTTGGCTCACCTTCGTATCGGTTCATTGGTTAATTGGTTCATTTTCGGTTCGGTTAACCGGTTGGAAACTTGGTTCATTTAATTTAATACCATTTAACGTACATCCTTTGTGTGTTATATTTAATTTATCCATGTTTCAATGTTGTCTGTAAATCTGGTTCGGTTCTGGTTCCGGTTCGGCCGTTGTTTTTTTTTTAAGCTGCGATTTTCGATTTGATTTATGGTTCAGTTTATAGTTAAATAAAAATGCCTCCATTTTTTCTGCTCATCCTTTCCACAGACTGCACCGAGTCGGATAGCTGCGCTAGTTCCACGGAGCGTCGCGTGCGCCAACAGAATGCGTATTACAAGGCCAACAAGAAGGCGGCCACAACCAAAAAGAACAAGAAGAAGAAGGTCGCCATACCGGTGCAGACGCCGCGTGTACCACCATTTGGCGCCTACGTCAGTCCGCCAGAGATTCCGTTGCACTATCAGCGCATGGCCGCCGTTGCGGCAGCAGGTGAGAAAAGTATGTGTCGTGTTTGCATTTTCAGTTCGCTTTTGTTGTCCCAAAGAATTTTCGATTTCCAATTCACATTCTTTTGTAACATTAATAATTCACATTTAATTGACTTAACATAGCCTGTTACGAACAGCTTTCACATATGCAAAGCGGCTGTTAATTGTGTGTAAGCAATGTTAGACAAATTTAAATATATGTAACTAGTCGTAACGCGATGAAAGCCTTTTATGTTATTTACATTTTGTCTCCTTTTAACACTGTTTTGTAAGCCTCGCATGCTTTCACTATGTTAACATAAACATTAACATTAAAGCCTTAACATATGTTAAAAGTATATTTTGCTTCGAATTCGATTTTGACTCTTTGACCTTCTTTGACTCTAGAAAAAGCAGAGGCTGGCGTCGTGCCCGAGTTCATGAAGAGCGACAAATCGCCAGAGGTTGGTCCAAAAAACGATCTACATAAATATAAATCCGATATAAATACAAATAATCAATCCTGTAGTACTCAATGGTGCCGGAACTGACGGCGGCGGGCATATTTGGTGCCGAGAATTTGCCCGAATACAATATGAATGCCAAATGCATGAAGGACTTTGAGAAACTGGAGAAGCGTCGCATCAAAGAGGAGGCGGCACGATTGCGAAAACTGCAGGAGAAGGAAAAGGAGCAGGAGAAGAAGCTCAAGCGCAAGCTCAAACAGAATGCAAAAGGCCTGACCGAAACAACAGAGGCGCAATTTGGCAAGCTAATGATCACCTCCGACAAGGATGAGATACCCATCTTTCTCATCAAATGCGTTGAGTTCATCGAGAAGGAGGGCTTGGACTCGGAGGGCATTTATCGTGTGCCCGGCAGCAGAGCACATGTCGACATGCTCTTTCAGCGCTTCGAGGAGGGTGAGAGTATATAAATATATATAGAAATAAATGTATATTAATTCATTTTCAAAATTGCCTGAATAGATACCAATACGGTTATTGATGTGCTGGACATTCCGGTGAATGCGGTGGCCACCGCGCTGAAGGACTTCTTCTCGAAACGCTTGCCGCCGCTCTTTAGCAAGGATATTATTAAGGAACTGGAGGAGATTGCCGGTTAGTTTCACACACAAACAAACGCTTCGCTTAACGCTCATTGTTCATTGTTCTGCTTCTTTCGCGTAGGCTCCCGCGGCGTCGGCTCATCCAAACTGAACGTGGAGGTGAAAACCGATCGCAGCTGCCGTTTAATAGCTTTAAAATCATTGCTACAGAAACTACCACCCATCAATTTTGCCATACTCAAATATATATTCCAGCACTTTGTGCAGTAAGTGTGCCCTGCGCCCCCCTCGTTGATTGCCCCTCCTCCAAAATGTATTTAATTTTACGTGTGTTTCTTCTAGCGTTTCGGACAACTCGAAGCTGAACAGCATGGATAGCAAAAATCTGGCCATCTGCTGGTGGCCGACATTGATACCCATTGATTTTACGGATATGGGACACTTTGAGCAGCTGCGCCCATATCTGGAGGATATTGTCCAAACGATGATTGATCAATTCCCATATCTATTCTGTGGCAAAGACGCATTCGTTATGGTCTAATCCAGTTACAGATCGAAGATCGAGAAAGGAGTAGGCCCCACATGGGATGCATGGAAAGAACCCATCGATCGATTTAAAGATCTTAAAGAATACAAAAGAAATTATATATATATATATATATATATATATATATATAATTGAAAGCCTGGCAGCAAGTCGCGATAAATTGTCGTAACATTTTGTAAACGCAACAGTATGAAAATGCATATGTACTCCAAACAATATATATATATATACACATATATATATATATATATATTATATATATTATATATGTGTATATGTATATTTGAATGTGTGTGTCTGTAATGTATTTGGTATTGCGAAAAGTATAAACCAATTAGTTAAGTAGGGTATATTTATTTTTTATATATGTATATGTATAACAATATATATGTATATATGTATATGTGTGTGTGTATGTGTATGTGTATGTATGCATATACATGTACATATATATATGCATATTCTATTTTGTATTAATGGCTTTGTTGTGTTTCCGTGATATATGTAAACGCATAGGGTTTTGCGCGATCCGTAACGCCGCCCGATCTATAGTTCCATATATGATCTATATAAATGCATATGCACGTATATATATATATATATATTAGTGTGTATATATGTGTATGTGTTTATGGGGATGGGGCAGCGCGGCGCGCAAATTTAAACAAATTTATTAATTGTGTATTGTATGTTAAAATGTATGTTAAAACAAAACAAAAACAAAAAGCAAGTAAACTAAAGCATTACGAATGATATATATATATCATATATACATATATATATATATGTCTAATTAAAAGAAGAAGCAGCTGCAACTTGAACAAGCCCGAAAAACTTAAGATAACAAACGAAAAAAAAAACAATTTCCGGCTACTAAATGTGAATCTCTTTGTATGTGTGTGTGTGCGTGTGTTGAGTGAGAAAGAGTATGTTTGTGTGTGTGTGTGTGTGTGTGTATGTGAAAGCATGCTTGTTCTTCTATGTGTACTTAGATGTATAAGAAACCGTAAATATTCACACACACACACACACACATCTATATAGAATTGTGTCTAAAAGATGAAATGTATTAAGTATTAGCGCTAAATGATATGGTATATACCCCGCCCCTACAGCCGCCCAACCCTGGCCCCCTTCCACTCACAGGATCAATATTGCAAGCAAAAAAAACAAAAATAATTAAAATCTTTGTCTTTAGCTCTCAGCTATTATAAATGTGTGCTCTACTCTACATATGAAAAAAGAAAAAAAAAAAAACGAAAAAAAAAATACATTACATATACAACTGCTATATATACATAAATATATATATATATGCATATATGCACTTATATTCATATATGTGTATGTATATATGTATTTTAACTAAACAAAAAAAAAAATAAAACAAAATATACAAAAAAAAAAAAAAAAAAACAGAAAAGAAACGAAACAAAACGTAGACAACATAAGCGTAAGTGTTATTTCTTGTAATTGAGCATTAATTTTTTATAAACCTAATTATATAATTGTGTATCTTGTGTCTGAACGGACCTCAAACTTAAAGAAAAAAAAACGCAAAGAAAAGAAAATGACATCAAAAAAACAAAAAAAAAAAAAAGCGAAAACTCATTTTAAAGCAAAATGCGCGAACACAGAGAGAAGAGAATGAAAAACAAAAACAAAAAAAAAACAAAAACAAAAATAACCAATATATAGTATAATTTGTATAGATGTGTGTCTATTGCATTATTTGTACACGAATGTGCATGCATATTGTATATATACGCAGTATTAACGGTATATATGTGTATGCATTTATTTATATACGCCTAAAGAGAAACAAAAACCGAAAGAAAAGAAAAAAAACAAAAACAAAAAAAATGCAAATGTCTCAACAAAAATGTAATTTGACGTGATGTGTAATATTTTTAAAAGCAAATTTTATGCGCCCCAAAAAAAAGAAAAAAAAAACCCCGAAAAAAAAACCATGCCCTCCCCCTCTCCACTAACCAAGCGCTCCCATATAACACATACTCTCTCGCTCTCTCTCAGGCATAGATGTATGTATATATATATGTATTTATTAATGTATATGTATATGCACACATATATATGCAGCTAAATGTCAGGCTATGGAGTGCAAAAAATAAATTTGTGGGCATTTTCCAAATATTTGTGAAGCATTTCAAATTTGTTGTTGCCATATTTATTAAATCGATGTTACAACTAAATGTTGCTTAGCTGGCCAGCAAATTGGCCGCAATGACCTCTGTGTCCAGCAGCGTTAGCTTGTCCGTTATTCTGGACTTCTTAAAGGCCGGCTCATCCTCATCCTCATCCTCCTGCTCCTGCTCCTCCTCTTCCGCCTCCTCCTCCTCGTCATTAACTCTCTTCTTGTACAGCTTATCCGGATCTGGCAGCCAGGACAAGTCCACAGACTGCTCGCTCTCGCTCTCCATTTCATCCTGCTGCTGCTGCTCTTCATCATCCTCCTCCGCCTGCTCCTCGTCGCTTTGCTGTTGCTCCGCCTTTTTGCGCAGCTTCTCGCGCTGCAGCTTGTGCCGCCGCTTGACCAGCTCCCGGAAACGCTGCTTATCATATTGATCCTCCTCGTTGAGCAGCGCCTTGGATAGCATTAGATTGATGCCGCCATCGTCATCCTTTTGCTTCTGCTGCTCCCTGGCCGTCAGCGCCTTCATTTGATTGCGCTCGTCGGCCAGCGTCTGGCCATCCTCATCGAACTTGAGCTTGGAGTTGACTTGAAGGTTCTTTTTGATTGCCTTCTTGGCCAGCGCCGCTTTGGTCACCAGCTTCTTCTCGCGCTTGGGCACCACCAGCTCCGGCTCCTCTACCTGTGCGTCCAGCGTCAGCTCCAGGTCCACAGCTGCACCCTCAACATCATGGTCCCGTCGCTTGATCTTAATAAAATCGTCCGCTTCCTCTTCCTCCTCCTCTTCATCGCCACCACCGAAGCGTCTTGATGGCGCCCTCAGCTCCGGCACCGACTCCGGCTGCGGCTGTGCCGCCTGTTGCTTCTGTCGCCACTTGAGCTTCTCAATGAAGGGCACACGAGGCGTGACGGCCAGGCCCAGCGACTGCGCATAGGCATCCAGATCGAGGCTGAGCACATTGAAGAGCCGCTTGTTGCGCATAAGGAACACGGATTTCAAATAGGCGAGAAAAGCGCGCTGCGCCGAGGCGCGCAGCTCGGGGAATTGGGCTAGGAACGCCTCAATTTTGACGCGCGGCGAGAACAGCTTCTTGGGATCGATGTGCACACAGCGTATATCCAGATGCAGCTGCTCGCGCAGTGTACCAATCATGTGCTCCTCCTCGCTGGGCGTCAGCACCAGAAGGCATTCGCCGCGTGCCTTGTTGCGCGCAGAGCGACCCGCTCGATGGATGTACTGGGACACATCCTCCGGGCAGTCGAGTTGCAGCACCCAGTTAACGGCCGGAAAGTCGAGACCACGTGATGCCACATCTGTGGCAAACATGACCACATGGCTCTTGCGTAGAAAATCCTCGTAGATGGCAATACGTCGATCCTGATGTAGGCTGCCGTAGAGGGCGAGTAGGCCAACGCCTGGACGCAATTTACAAAATATCTCGTACAGATACTTGGCTTGCTTGCAGCTGGACACAAACACAATAATCTTCTGCTTCAGATGATTCTTGATGAACGACCAGAGCATGGTTATCTTCTCCTCCAGCGGTAGCACCACATAGCTCTGCTGCAGCAGCTCGGGCAGGGCCAAGACCGCCGTTGATGTGCCCGGTTTTGTATCAGCAGCCGCAGCAGCCGCAGCAGCAGCAGCAGCTGTGGGCTTAGCTGCTCCATAGCCAACATATACGGGATCCTTCAGATTGAGTCGCGCCAGATCCTCCAGCGTATTCGTTTGCGTGGCCGAGAACAACAAAGTTTGTCGATCGGGCGGAAAGTTCTCGATAATCGAATTGAGCGTCTTCTGAAAGCCCATGTCCAGGCAACGATCTGCCTCGTCCAGCACCAACATCTCCATGCTGGTCGTATTAAACAACGGATTCTCGTCCATATGCTGCAGCAGACGACCCGGCGTACATATCAATATATTGCACTGATCCATGCGCGTCCGTTCAAACTTAAGATTCTTGCCGCCAATAATTAGACCCGCAGAGAAGTCGTGATGCTTGCCGATCCGCTTCAGCGTCTCGAATATTTGGTAGGCAAGCTCGCGCGTTGGCGATATAATGATCGCACCCACGCCATCCGAGCGCGACCATTTGTTCATATACAGATGCTCCAAGACCTGTCAGAGGTGAGTTTAGAAGTTATTATATTTTAATTAAGTCCGGCTGCACTTACGGGTATGAGAAAGGCCAAGGTCTTGCCGCTGCCGGTTATGGCCGCTCCGAGCACATCCTTGCCCTGTAGCGCGTGTCCAATGCTCTGGCGCTGCACTTCTGTCGGCGTTGTGTACTTGTATTCGGCTAGTGCTTTTTGCGTTTTCTGTGACAGCGGGAATTGTGCAAATCTTTCGATGCTGTTTGCATCGATTTCATCGTATTTGGCGCGCAGCTCCTGGATTTCCATTTCGGTTGCGGCCAATTTGGAGCGTGATAGCTCCTTGGCCCGTTTCTGATTGTGCTGTTTGTTCGGCTTGTGGTTGGTGGCCGGCTTGGGCGGCGGTCGTGGTCCTGGTCTGCCAGGACCTTTACGCTTTTGCTTTTGCATGGCGCAATTAATTTCGAGTTGTTTGGGAAGCAAAACACGTTGAGGGCCACTCAATAACTGTTGCACGAGGGGTACGAATATCGTCAGAGTATCGATACTTGTTATTTAAAAATACCAGCGCTATCGATACTTATTAACAAAAGCACAAAACTCAGAAACATTAAAAAATGTGACTCTACTCTACATATGAAAAAAGAAAAAAAAAAACGAAAAAAAAAATACATTACATATACAACTGCTATACATACATAAATATATATATATATGCATATATGCACTTATATTCATATATGTGTATGTATATATGTATTTTAACTAAACAAAAAAAAAAAAATAAAACAAAATATACAAAAAAAAAAAAAAAAAAAAAAAAAAAAAAAAAAACAGAAAAGAAACGAAACAAAACGTAGACAACATAAGCGTAAGTGTTATTTCTTGTAATTGAGCATTAATTTTTTATAAACCTAATTATATAATTGTGTATCTTGTGTCTGAACGGACCTCAAACTTAAAGAAAAAAAAACGCAAACAAAAGAAAATGACATCAAAAAAACAAAAAAAAAAAAAAAAAGCGAAAACTCATTTTAAAGCAAAATGCGCGAACACAGAGAGAAGAGAATGAAAAACAAAAACAAAAAAAAAAAACAAAAACAAAAATAACCAATATATAGTATAATTTGTATAGATGTGTGTCTATTGCATTATTTGTACACGAATGTGCATGCATATTGTATATATACGCAGTATTAACGGTATATATGTGTATGCATTTATTTATATACGCCTAAAGAGAAACAAAAACCGAAAGAAAAGAAAAAAAACAAAAACAAAAAAAATGCAAATGTCTCAACAAAAATGTAATTTGACGTGATGTGTAATATTTTTAAAAGCAAATTTTATGCGCCCCAAAAAAAAGAAAAAAAAAACCCCGAAAAAAAAACCATGCCCTCCCCCTCTCCACTAACCAAGCGCTCCCATATAACACATACTCTCTCGCTCTCTCTCAGGCATAGATGTATGTATATATATATGTATTTATTAATGTATATGTATATGCACACATATATATGCAGCTAAATGTCAGGCTATGGAGTGCAAAAAATAAATTTGTGGGCATTTTCCAAATATTTGTGAAGCATTTCAAATTTGTTGTTGCCATATTTATTAAATCGATGTTACAACTAAATGTTGCTTAGCTGGCCAGCAAATTGGCCGCAATGGCCTCTGTGTCCAGCAGCGTTAGCTTGTCCGTTATTCTGGACTTCTTAAAGGCCGGCTCATCCTCATCCTCATCCTCCTGCTCCTGCTCCTCCTCTTCCGCCTCCTCCTCCTCGTCATTAACTCTCTTCTTGTACAGCTTATCCGGATCTGGCAGCCAGGACAAGTCCACAGACTGCTCGCTCTCGCTCTCCATTTCATCCTGCTGCTGCTGCTCTTCATCATCCTCCTCCGCCTGCTCCTCGTCGCTTTGCTGTTGCTCCGCCTTTTTGCGCAGCTTCTCGCGCTGCAGCTTGTGCCGCCGCTTGACCAGCTCCCGGAAACGCTGCTTATCATATTGATCCTCCTCGTTGAGCAGCGCCTTGGATAGCATTAGATTGATGCCGCCATCGTCATCCTTTTGCTTCTGCTGCTCCCTGGCCGTCAGCGCCTTCATTTGATTGCGCTCGTCGGCCAGCGTCTGGCCATCCTCATCGAACTTGAGCTTGGAGTTGACTTGAAGGTTCTTTTTGATTGCCTTCTTGGCCAGCGCCGCTTTGGTCACCAGCTTCTTCTCGCGCTTGGGCACCACCAGCTCCGGCTCCTCTACCTGTGCGTCCAGCGTCAGCTCCAGGTCCACAGCTGCACCCTCAACATCATGGTCCCGTCGCTTGATCTTAATAAAATCGTCCGCTTCCTCTTCCTCCTCCTCTTCATCGCCACCACCGAAGCGTCTTGATGGCGCCCTCAGCTCCGGCACCGACTCCGGCTGCGGCTGTGCCGCCTGTTGCTTCTGTCGCCACTTGAGCTTCTCAATGAAGGGCACACGAGGCGTGACGGCCAGGCCCAGCGACTGCGCATAGGCATCCAGATCGAGGCTGAGCACATTGAAGAGCCGCTTGTTGCGCATAAGGAACACGGATTTCAAATAGGCGAGAAAAGCGCGCTGCGCCGAGGCGCGCAGCTCGGGGAATTGGGCTAGGAACGCCTCAATTTTGACGCGCGGCGAGAACAGCTTCTTGGGATCGATGTGCACACAGCGTATATCCAGATGCAGCTGCTCGCGCAGTGTACCAATCATGTGCTCCTCCTCGCTGGGCGTCAGCACCAGAAGGCATTCGCCGCGTGCCTTGTTGCGCGCAGAGCGACCCGCTCGATGGATGTACTGGGACACATCCTCCGGGCAGTCGAGTTGCAGCACCCAGTTAACGGCCGGAAAGTCGAGACCACGTGATGCCACATCTGTGGCAAACATGACCACATGGCTCTTGCGTAGAAAATCCTCGTAGATGGCAATACGTCGATCCTGATGTAGGCTGCCGTAGAGGGCGAGTAGGCCAACGCCTGGACGCAATTTACAAAATATCTCGTACAGATACTTGGCTTGCTTGCAGCTGGACACAAACACAATAATCTTCTGCTTCAGATGATTCTTGATGAACGACCAGAGCATGGTTATCTTCTCCTCCAGCGGTAGCACCACATAGCTCTGCTGCAGCAGCTCGGGCAGGGCCAAGACCGCCGTTGATGTGCCCGGTTTTGTATCAGCAGCCGCAGCAGCCGCAGCAGCAGCAGCAGCTGTGGGCTTAGCTGCTCCATAGCCAACATATACGGGATCCTTCAGATTGAGTCGCGCCAGATCCTCCAGCGTATTCGTTTGCGTGGCCGAGAACAACAAAGTTTGTCGATCGGGCGGAAAGTTCTCGATAATCGAATTGAGCGTCTTCTGAAAGCCCATGTCCAGGCAACGATCTGCCTCGTCCAGCACCAACATCTCCATGCTGGTCGTATTAAACAACGGATTCTCGTCCATATGCTGCAGCAGACGACCCGGCGTACATATCAATATATTGCACTGATCCATGCGCGTCCGTTCAAACTTAAGATTCTTGCCGCCAATAATTAGACCCGCAGAGAAGTCGTGATGCTTGCCGATCCGCTTCAGCGTCTCGAATATTTGGTAGGCAAGCTCGCGCGTTGGCGATATAATGATCGCACCCACGCCATCCGAGCGCGACCATTTGTTCATATACAGATGCTCCAAGACCTGTCAGAGGTGAGTTTAGAAGTTATTATATTTTAATTAAGTCCGGCTGCACTTACGGGTATGAGAAAGGCCAAGGTCTTGCCGCTGCCGGTTATGGCCGCTCCGAGCACATCCTTGCCCTGTAGCGCGTGTCCAATGCTCTGGCGCTGCACTTCTGTCGGCGTTGTGTACTTGTATTCGGCTAGTGCTTTTTGCGTTTTCTGTGACAGCGGGAATTGTGCAAATCTTTCGATGCTGTTTGCATCGATTTCATCGTATTTGGCGCGCAGCTCCTGGATTTCCATTTCGGTTGCGGCCAATTTGGAGCGTGATAGCTCCTTGGCCCGTTTCTGATTGTGCTGTTTGTTCGGCTTGTGGTTGGTGGCCGGCTTGGGCGGCGGTCGTGGTCCTGGTCTGCCAGGACCTTTACGCTTTTGCTTTTGCATGGCGCAATTAATTTCGAGTTGTTTGGGAAGCAAAACACGTTGAGGGCCACTCAATAACTGTTGCACGAGGGGTACGAATATCGTCAGAGTATCGATACTTGTTATTTAAAAATACCAGCGCTATCGATACTTATTAACAAAAGCACAAAACTCAGAAACATTAAAAAATGTGACTTTTAAGCCCACCCAAACTGGACGCACACTCAAATCATTAATTTGGGTAAGAGCTTTATTAATGATTATCTAATTGCTATAGCATTTAGTCGATACTGTTAAATTTTGTCGCCTTATCAAATACGTTTCGGCAAATCAATGTGTGTTTGAGCAATTGTACTCGGTATCGACAAGTGCAAATTTTGCATTTTATGGTCACACACACTGCCAAGCATAGAGATGGCCAATATTTAAACAGACATCTGTGTACGCACAATATACACATTCGCATAAAACACGCTATAATAGTCGTTTTGTGCAGTTTGTCTAAGGATTTTAGACCACTTGTGCTTTGTTTTGGTTTGGTTTTAGCTGATAAATAAGAAAGTAATGCCTAATAATCTTATCAATTTTATACGATATACGTTTGAAACGACCCTCACGAGTACTCAAACCAACTGTCACTAAACTATCGCTCATCAGTAGGTTTGGTGGGCTGGCTGGTTGGTTGGCTGGCGCTAGCATTATTGTTGCTTAAGGATCTGTATCTACAACAAGGTTGGCCCACAATATATACTAAATATGTGTTGTGGTGCAACAGTTCAAAGTATTAAATCGGGCGCGCGGCGTGTGACTGTTAAATGCAATTAACGACGGCTTGCTGTGAATTTCAAAACTTCCTTCCACCAATCAGCATCTGGCCCCGGCCCCCCCTCTCTCTCTCTCTCTGTCTATCTCTATCTCTCTCATCACATACAGCATTGTCGTGAATTGTGCGGATTTGTCGAATGTGAAATTTCAATTGTATTAATACAAGTGGCTGCAATATGGGCACAATATCATCGGTACTGCAATGGTCGTGCACCAAATGCAATACCATCAATCCGACCGAATCATTAAAATGCTTCAACTGTGGCACCGTGCGCAAGGTATTCCCCAGTCCTACCGCAACATTGTATCAGCAAACGTCACAAACGCAATCCCAGCCGCTGCGACACCAAAGCACTTGGATACATCAACAGCAACAACAACAACAACAACAACCTCGGCAACAGCAGCGACAGCATGAAAACCTGGTTGCAGGCTCTGCTGTGTCAGGGGCAGCAGCGGGGGCGACTGAACAGGCCGCCGAGTGTGATGAGGAGGAGGTCGCGACAATTGTTGATAAGCACAAAACTGTGACCAGGTAAGCATACATACATGCATATGTACATTTATATTGGCATATGCACACACTTGTATGTGCCTGCGTGTGCGTATGTGTGTGTGTGTGTGTGTGTGTGTTTGGGTGCACACAAAAGCTCCAGTCAGAGTTTACCGTTACACCGAACAAAACCGAAATTGCATGTGTGCGTGTACGTGCGTGTTTGTCCTTTTCTTGTTCTCTCTCTCCCTCTCTCTGTGTATAATTGTCTGTGTGTGCGTGTATGTTTGGGTATTGTACACAGAGTATACACAATAACAACAACAATTGAAGCAACTGCAGCAACAACAAAAAGCTGTCAAAAACAGCAGTTTTTTTTTTTTTTTTGTATTTCTTTGTTTTTGGTTTTTTGGGGAAAATCGATGCGAAAGAAACGCAACTTTGTTTACAATTTTATTGATTCAGAATTTTTGGCTGTTTCCAACTGCGCATCGCATGTGAAAAAGCACAACAGAAAAATTAAAAATAAAATATAATAATTGCAAATTTGGAGTGAACAAAAAAAAAAAAAAAAAAAAAAAAAAAAGGAGAAAAGAAAAAACGCACCCATTGGATGGTTTGGCCACATTGAAATAACCTTTACAGTTGCAGTTCCAGTCCGAGTAACAACTATAACAGTTAATTGTCCGTTAACTGTGCCCATGCATACGTTTTCCGTTTCCATTCTGTTTCCAGAACTGAGCACAACAACCAAAAACAACAACAGCAGCATCCCGGACACGTTTACAAGTCGCTGCTGCGCGGCTGCTTGAAGCGTCCGCAGCGCAATAGCCAAAATTTGCCAGCCAATTGCATTGACTGCGAGGCGACGCGCAAATATATAAAAAATTCAATAGAGCTATATCGTCATTTTTCCAATCCGGCGCTGAATCGCCGTTGGATTTGTCGCGCCTGCGATACGGATAACAATTCGGTGACATGGCATTGTGTTATCTGCGATACTGTTAGCTATTTGGCGCCCATCTACAAGGAGACTCTGTGCACGCGACGTCATGAGGCGGCGGCAGCCGCAGCCACAGCCGCAGCTGGCACAAAACTGGAGCTAAACAACAGTTGCAGCAGCGTCGCTGGCGGCGTCGTCAACAGCAGCGGCAACAGTAACAGCAGCGTTGGTGAGCAGCAGCCGACGAAGGAGCCACTATTACTACATCATTCGCAGCTGGAACAGACGGAGGAGCAGCAACATTCCAATCGGCGTCATTTGAAATCGCGCCGTTACGCCTACTTTAGACGCACGCAAAGTCTTAGCAATTCCATAGATAAGAGCACGGCCCTTACCCAAACGGCTGTCGCCTCATCCTCCTCTTCTGCCGCATCCGCATCCTCCTCCTCCGCCGCCGCCGCCGCCGTCGTCGCTTCGGCACGCAGCTGTCACATTTGCTATGTAAGCAATCTGGGCAAGGACATATTCAATTTGCCCTACGAAGCCTCACTCGGCTACCAGCAACAGCAACAACAACAACAGCAGCAGCAACAGCAGCAGCAACAGCAGCAGCAACATTTGTTGCCACACAAGAGCCGTAAGTCATGATTGGAATTGAAGCTAGTGTTATGCCTAATCTGTGTCCACTTTTGCAGTTGCAGTCGCTGCAGCGCCAGTTGCGTGCAGCAATTCACGCTTTGCCATTGCCAATGATACCTTCTGTCGCCGCAAGCAGAACAACAACAACAAGAATCTAAATAATAAAGTACGCGACGCTTGTGCCAAGAAGAAATATAACTTTACCATAACAACGCTGTCGCGATCAGCCAAGGCGACAGCGCCAACAGCTGTTGCCAAGCCCATGCGCCAGCCGCAGTCCAAGCAGCAGCAGCAGCAGCAGCAGCGGGAGCTCAACAACGCCCAGCACATGAGCAACACCAGGGCACACGAGCAACACGGCGGCGGCAGCAGCTCACAGTTTACCATACCGCGCAATGGCGTCTTCATAGCTGTCAACGATTGGTCGGAGCCGGCAACACGCGTCATCAGCGGCAGCAGCAGCAGCAGCAATCGTCATGCCAATATGCAGCCTTGTGATACAACGAGCAACAACAACAATGTCAACAGCAGCAGCAACAACAGCAACAGCAGTAGCTGCAACAACAACTGCAGCAGCAACAAGCTAAATCAGCAGCTCTATGAAAACGAATGTGTGGCAATTGCACAGCAGCAACAGCAACAACAACAGCAGCAACAGCTTAGGGCGGAGCCAATGGCACCCATATATGCGCAGGTTAATAAACAGCACAAGCTACACAAAAAGAAGCTTAGCAACGAGACGTCAGCAGCAACAGCATTGCTGCTAGGTAACAACAACAGCAGCAGCAGCAGCCATAGCAACAACAGTAGCTTTGACGTATTCGAAAATAGCAGCGAGGCAGCAGCAGCAACAGGAGCAGCAGCAGGAGCAGCTGCCGAGCACAGCAGCAATGAAGCCAACAGTGTGGAAGCGGACGTCAGCACAGCAGCAGCTGCTGCGGCAGCAACTGTTGCAACGGCATCTGATTTTTATCACGCATCCGAGCATTCGATATACGCGAAGGTGTGGAAGGGACCACGCAAAACAACTGAATCGAAAATGTACGCAATAATCACAATAACAATAACAAACACAAAAACAACTAGCAATGGTTGTTGTTGTCAGCCAACAGCAAGCGACATTTGACACCTCTTGACAACAGCAACAACAGCAACAATAACTTATCAATTCGCTTTCGTTTTAATATTTCTAATTTGCTGCTGTTTGTTAATTACTGCGCAGAGCTTACTCATACGCAATTGTGCATATACATGCATATATATATATATATATTTATATGCATATATATATATCTCGATTTGTATGTATGTGCGTTTGGTTAATTTGGTTTATAGTTTACGCCACGCTTGAATTTTTTTTTGTATACCCTAACCGCAGGCTGTGTCCTCTAATTACTCTTAAATAAGTTTGATTTAATTTAACCATTGCAATTACTTTCTCTAATTACTTTCAAATAATTTTAATTTAATTTTAATATTGCAATTACTTTTTTAATTACTTTCAAATAATTTTCAATCAATTTTAGCACTGCAATTACCTTTTCTAATTACTTTCAAATAATTTTAATTTAATTCAAACATTGCAATTACTTTTTCTGCTGCAATTTTATTGTTTGTAATTTGCACTAGCTGCTTAAGTAATTGCTTCAGTGCTCGTTTAATTACTCAAGTAATTGTTAATAATAGAAATTAGCGCAGTTTAATTATGTTAACTGTGTAACCAGGGCTTAGAATCCTATTTATACTAATCATTAAGGCTGATTACTTTACCTGCCAGGCATTTAATTAAGATTAATTAATTGCTAATTACACAAACTGTGGCTATGAAGACTTGAGCAAAGTAATTGAAAGTACTCTATGTCTTGTACTTTTGAGCAAAGTAATTGAAAGTAATTAATGTCTTGTAACTCTTGATTATTATTTGAAAAATTAATCAATTAATTTACTTACACGCCACTCAGTTCTTTATGTTAACTAATAGCAAATTATTGAATTGGATTTAATTACCTTAAAGTAATTGAAAGCTTGTTATCTAGGCTAATCTAACTGACTAATTAGTAGAGTTAATTTTAAGTTTTGTCATGTTTAATTAATAGCAATTAATATGCCCATAGTTGAGGCTGGCATGCCCGCTTGATAGACCTGTGCACAGGGTATATACATAGGCTGTTATCAGCTTTCACATTTTCTAATTGCGACTGACTCACAAAATTGAACAGCAAGCGTATCTGTGACTTCGGTGTGCCGAAGATAAAAACCTCTTGTGTTGTGTATTGTTTTTGTCGAGGCTTTGTTTCTGTTGTTTTTTTTTTTTTTTTTTTGCAAATTAAATGGCAATTAACAGCGGCAGTCGCTTCTTTTGCCTTGCTCATTGTTAAATGTAATTTTTGTAATTTTATTTGATTTTTAATTTGATTGCGTGGCACTTAATTGTGCGTTCGCTTTGCTTCCCTCTCGCTCTAATACACTCTGCCTTTCTCTCCCTCTCTCTCTCTCTCTTTGGTGTACAGCACGCATGAGGCAGCAGCTGTTTTGGCACCGATCACGGCCAGCAATCGGCTCATTCCTCCAGCGGCACGCAACGACAATAAACCGCAATCGATGCTGCTGCACGGCAGCCGCAAGATGTGGACATGCGGCAAATGTTCCTATGCCTACAATCGTCTCTGGTCCGAGTCCTGTGAGATGTGCGAGACACTATCCAAGCAAACAGCAGAGTCATCTCCAGCATCAGCAGCAGCAGCACGTAAGTCCATAAACTGTATATTTAACTAATTGAATGACTGATTGATTGACTGACTGACTGACTCACTCGTTCTATAATCAAATGGTTGATTGCATTCCTGTTTAAATCGACTAACTATCTAACTGACTAACTGATTAGCTAGCCCTGTTCTTAGCCTGACTAATACCTGGCTATCTAACTGTCTGATTGATTGATAAACTGGCTGACTGAGAATCTCTGACCGAAAACTGACTGAGTTTTTAACCAACTGTCAGGCTGCTTGAATGATTGACTGATCAATCTAACTAATCAACTAATTGAATGAAATTCAGTTTAAATGTCACGCTGATTGACCAACTAATTAGCTAGCCTAAGTGTCTGATTGATTGATAGCCTAACTCACAGACTAACTACCTGACAGCATGCTTGGCTGGCTGACTGACTAACTGTCTGATTGATTGACTGATGAACTGGCTGACTGAGAATTGAAAGTGATTGATTGCTCGACTGAGTGTCTAGCTGTCTGCCTGATTGACTGTCTGTCGAACTGAATGATTGACTGACTGATTTATTGGCTATAAGAATGATTGAACATCATCAACTGACTGATTGATCGATTGATAATCAATGCTCAGCCCAAAACCACAAAAGCTGGCATCTACATTTGTTTTGTTTTGGAAAATTTCCATGGAAAATACATTCGATTAGCTTATATTATGTGACCTTTTTCCCAATTGCAGCTGGTGCGGAGCCGCGCAGCGATGAGCCCTGGACATGCAAGAAGTGCACCCTGGTCAACTACTCAACGGCGATGGCGTGCATTGTGTGCGGCGGCTCGAAGCTGAAGAGCATCTCCTCCATTGAGGACATGACGCTGCGCAAGGGCGAGTTCTGGACCTGCAGCCATTGCACGCTCAAGAATTCGCTGTCGGTGGGCCTGTGCAGTGCCTGCAAATCGATGCGTCTGCTGCCGGTGGCGGACACGGTGCGCGAACGACCCGATGGCCAGTCGTACGAGGAACAGGACACAACGACGGCGACCGTCGGCGGCGGCAGTCAGACGTTGGGTGAACACAATACGCCAACGCCGACGCCAACGGCTCAGCTGCAGTTGCTGCCGCCGTTGGCGCATCGCAATTCACGCAGTCCCTCGCCCCGATCAACGGCGGTGGCACCGGTCCTGACGGCCATCCAACAGCTGCAGCTGCAGCAGACACAGCAGCAGCAGCAGCAGCAGCAGCAGCGCAGCTCATCGGGCGCCATACCGAAGCGTCATAGCACCGGCGGCTCGATAGTGCCGCGCAATATATCAATGGCTATGCCCACCTCTGCGGCCAGCTCCTCCTATAATCTGCAGCAGCAGCTAATCCTGCCCAGCGGCTCGGTTAAGAAATGGCAGTGCCCGGCATGCACATACGAGAACTGTGCCGCCTCCGTTGTCTGTGACATTTGCTCGAGTCCGCGCGGTTTGGTCCATACGGTGCTGACGGATGCCCTGGCCCGCAAATCGATGCGTGTCGCTACGCTCAACGAAATCCGGCAGGAGAGCAAACTAATGGAGAATCTGCGCCAGCTGGAGGAGACAGAAGCGCTGACCAAATGGCAAAATATCATACAATATTGTCGCGATAATAGCGAGCTGTTCGTGGATGATTCATTTCCGCCGGCGCCCAAGAGCTTGTACTATAATCCCGCCAGCAGTGCAGCGGATGGCGGCAATCCGGTGGTGCAGTGGCGCCGACCCCACGAGATCAACTGCGATGGCGGCGCCTATCCCCCATGGGCGGTATTCCGTACGCCGTTGCCCTCGGACATCTGTCAGGGTGTGCTGGGCAATTGTTGGCTGCTCAGCGCATTGGCCGTGCTGGCCGAACGGGAGGATCTCGTCAAAGAGGTGCTGGTCACCAAGGAGATATGCGCCCAGGGCGCCTATCAGGTGCGTCTGTGCAAGGATGGCAAATGGACGACCGTCCTTGTCGATGATCTGTTGCCGTGCGATAAGCGCGGACATCTGGTCTACTCGCAGGCCAAGCGCAAACAGCTCTGGGTGCCGCTCATCGAGAAGGCGGTGGCCAAAATCCATGGCTGCTACGAGGCGCTCGTCTCGGGCCGTGCCATCGAGGGCCTGGCCACGCTCACGGGTGCACCATGCGAGAGCATACCGTTGCAGGCCAGCTCGTTGCCCATGCCCAGCGAGGATGAGCTGGACAAGGATCTGATCTGGGCACAGCTGTTGAGTTCGCGCTGTGTACGCTTCCTGATGGGCGCCAGCTGTGGCGGCGGCAACATGAAGGTCGACGAGGAGGAGTACCAGCACAAGGGTCTACGGCCGCGGCATGCCTACTCGGTGCTGGATGTCAAGGATATACAGGGACATCGTTTGCTCAAGCTGCGCAATCCGTGGGGACATTATTCGTGGCGCGGCGATTGGTCAGATGATTCGGCCCTGTGGACAGATGATTTGCGTGATGCTCTAATGCCGCACGGCGCCTCTGAGGGCGTCTTTTGGATCTCCTTTGAGGATGTGCTCAACTATTTTGATTGTATCGATATCTGTAAGGTGCGTTCCGGTTGGAATGAGGTGCGTCTACAGGGCACACTCCAGCCGTTGTGCTCCATTTCGTGCGTGCTGCTCACGGTGCTTGAGCCCACCGAGGCCGAATTTACGCTCTTCCAGGAGGGTCAACGCAACTCGGAGAAATCGCAACGCTCACAGCTCGATCTCTGCGTTGTGATATTTCGCACACGTTCGCCGGCAGCGCCGGAGATTGGGCGCCTCGTCGAGCATAGCAAGCGGCAGGTAGTGTCTGCTCCCAGCCCCATCCAAGCTACAGTCTTATAGATATTTTTTCTGCAGGTGCGCGGCTTTGTTGGCTGCCACAAGATGCTGGAGCGTGACATCTATTTGCTCGTCTGTTTGGCCTTCAATCATTGGCACACCGGCATCGAGGATCCGCATCAGTATCCGCAGTGCATACTGGCCATACACAGCTCCAAGCGGCTGCTGGTCGAGCAAATAACGCCCTCGCCCCATCTGCTCGCCGATGCCATCATCAGCCTGACACTGACCAAGGGCCAGCGGCATGAGGGACGCGAAGGCATGACCGCCTACTATTTGACAAAGGTAGGTGACGTCTTCATGTTTCAATTTGTTCCTAACTTTTATGCCCTCTCTCCATCATTCCCCCCAGGGCTGGGCTGGACTGGTGGTTATGGTTGAGAATCGACATGAGAATAAATGGATTCATGTGAAGTGCGATTGCCAGGAGAGCTACAATGTGGTCTCGACGCGCGGCGAGCTCAAAACAGTTGATTCTGTGCCGCCGCTGCAAAGGTGCGTAGCGAATACCGACTCACAGCGATACCCTGTACACAGTCAGAACAATTAAATACCCTGTCCACAGACTTAGCAGATGTGTGCATTAGCTTTCAATGCACAAAGTTAAAGCTAAACCTAATTTTCACAAATATCAAAAAACTATTTCCGACCTATTGTTCCCATATGTCATCACGGTATCTCACGGAGATACGATTTTGCTCGTATGTAGGATAGTTAATCGCGTGAAAACCGAAAAAGTTTTCGACACAATAGCTAATATTATTATTTGACTCGAAGAATATTACGTATATAATATATATAGACGGCTTTCAAAGTTTCCTAGAGCATTTCTTTGAGATAATGGGAGCTAAATCTCCTAAATTTGGCATGCCCATCAAATTCGCAGCACATTATTTATTTTTTAAAGACTGCAAATAAGTTTTAACCCAGAATCCCAAGGAACCCAAGGAAAAGTAGCCCATGTATATATATATTTTAATAATGTATATATATATATTAAAATCATGTTTATATACATTTTAAAAATGTATATATTTATTTAAGAAAGTTTATATATGTTGAAAAAATGTATATATATTTAAAAAACGCGGTTCGAATCAAAGCCTGAGTTCGTGTCTACAGAAAAATCTAGTTCATCGAACTATCAGGCACCAGTTCGGAACCGGAACCGAACCACTGTCAATGTTTGAGTCGGCTCACAGCTGATTACAGGGTATCCCTAACGCGTGCAACCTCGACTCGTTTATTAATTATGGTAACCCATTGCAGGCAGGTGATCATTGTGCTCACCCAGCTGGAGGGCAGCGGCGGCTTCAGCATTGCCCATCGGCTGACGCATCGTTTGGCCAATTCGCGCGGCCTCCACGATTGGGGTCCGCCGGGCGCCACCCACTGTCCGCCCATCGAGAATGTGCACGGTCTGCATGCGCCGCGCTTGATAACATAATTGATCAAACCGACTTGGAAGGATGGAGGGGCATTAGTTCAAAGCAAAATATATATATATATATATAGATATGTATATATATGTATCTATGTGTATTCCTTTAACGCCATAACGTTTTTGAACTATGATTTTGATTTCGGTTGCATTTTCTTTAGTTTTGTTTTGTTTTTATATTTTAATTTTTTGAGATTTTTGCATATTCTAGTCGATGTTTTGTCAACGTCATACGTACACACACACACACACACACACACATATATAGATATACACGAATATAAATGTATGTATATGTGTAATTCGAAATAGTTAACGATGCGATTGCGGGCGCATAAATACATACATATATTGAGAAAAGAAATGAAATAAATGTGAATTATATAGTTAAACATCGGCCTGATACCCGAACCCTATCAAAACTTTGAATTTCATCGATGTATGTATTGTATTGAATTAAAGTGCATGTGCGTCATGATCCAGCAGCATACATAAATATGTCTATTGTTTTAAAAATAAAATACTACCAGTTATAAAAGCCATACAACTTTTGTTTATCCCAAATTTGAGCTAACAATCGCTGCAATTCTTAAATTTTAAATTTCTTAAATTTTGAGTTTCAATTTTGACTATTAACGGCTTAAATTCCGTTCATTTCCCCGAGGTTGCCACTGCGTTCAACTTTAAAATGGCAATCTGTTAGCTCGCATTAATGGCCACAAGCTGCATAGTTATGTTGTCGACAATTGTTTTTTTTTTAACTTAATATGCTTTTATTAATTGTAATTTAACAGCTAAATCGGTAAATGTTGTATTAATTCAATCTTGCAATCATTTCGACGCTCAAGGTATTTTCGGTTGCTTTTCGATACATTTTTGGCCAATTCAAGCAATGTACATGCTGGTCACACTGCTTGCCATTCAGTGTGTGTTGGTTCTAGTTCATTTCAGTTCATGAGCAACATATTTTGTTCGTCATTTAATTTTTGTTTTTTTAATATGGCTGATACAAAGGGCGTAAGTAATGTATATATATCTTTAATAAATTCAATACAAATAATTGAGTGTACTTGTGAGTGTTTCGCATCGTTACTCGCGTTGGCTCAGTGGTGACATATAGGGCGCGGTTTTATCAAGCGTATCAATCCCCGCTCGCGACGACGATGGCGTTCTTGTTTTGTATATGTGTGTTTGCGGCTTATCATGCAAATTCCTCATGTGTGCAGCTTGCAATGCGCTGCTGCTGCACATGCACACCACCACAGACAAACACAAATATGCACCTCACATATGTGTGTGCGTGCAAGTTAATTAATCGTCGCTTGATATTCAAAATTGGTTCACCCAAAAGTGCAGCATGAATCACTAAAGCCGGCAAATAAAAAAAGGCGTCGGCGTCAGTTTAAGTATATGTTCCTTTGTTGCGGCCTGTGACCTACATACTATGTGCATGCATATGTACACACTGTTCGCAATGTCAATGGCTTTAAGTGCTGTATGTGTGTACTTATAGAGATATATGATATATGAAAATAATAAATGTGTGCATGTACTTAGCCGCACATGTTTGCTTGTGCGTGTGTGTGTGTGTGTGTGTTTGTGCACGGCTTAGATATGCAAGAGAAACTCGCGCGTGTCTGGAATTCCAAAATAACGCCGCTACTTTCTTTGAGCCAGGCTTCGAACTCGGCCACCCCCCGCGCAGACCATAGCTGTACTCAAGCATAGAGATGGGCGCGTGTCGAATTTTTCTAACTAGACACGAGTACGAGCAACATTTGTGCGTTCTGCATGTTTTTTATGTCCGCGGCGGCTTAATTTTCACTTAATATACTTTCCTTTTTTTTATTTTACATTTTTATTCACATGTATTAATTACATGAAAATATTCAATTTCAATAATTAATCGTGTCACAACACGCGCTCAGCTCTAGTTCAGCCTGCCTTGAGCGTGCAAGCGAGAAAAAATGCAGCAATAGATAAGCCGCTGATGACTCAACCAGATTGGTTTCCGCAATACCCATTAATAAATATTGAAATTGATTTGAATTATTTGTGTGTGCGTTGCAGTTTTCCAGCATTGAGACACCCGGCTATGTGGGCTTCGCCAATCTGCCGAATCAAGTGCATCGCAAGTCCGTTAAGAAGGGCTTCGAGTTTACGCTGATGGTCGTCGGCGAATCGGGTCTGGGCAAATCGACGCTGGTGAACAGTTTATTTCTGACCGATTTGTATCCGGAACGCATCATACCCGATGCCATAGGTGAGCGCTTGACAATATCAAAACTCGATGCATTTCCATATGTTCATTTTTTTTTTTTTTTTGTCTCACAGAGAAACAAAAGCAAACGGTCAAACTGGAGGCATCCACCGTGGAGATTGAGGAGCGCGGCGTCAAGCTGCGCCTAACTGTTGTGGATACGCCCGGTTTCGGTGATGCCATCGATAATTCAAATAGCTTTAGCGCCATACTGGAGTACATTGATGAGCAATACGAGCGCTTCCTCCAGGACGAGAGCGGACTGAATCGTCGCAATATCGTGGACAATCGCATACATTGTTGCTTCTACTTTATATCACCATTCGGACATGGGTAAATCGAGCAGCTGATCAGCTAAAACAAAACAAAACAAAAAATGTATATACATTGTAAATTTACAGACTGAAACCCTTGGACGTGGAGTTCATGAAGAAGCTGCACTCGAAGGTGAACATTGTGCCCGTTATAGCCAAGGCGGATTGTCTGACGAAAAAGGAGATATTGCGCTTGAAATGCCGCATTATGCAGGAGATTGAGAGCCATGGCATCAAAATCTATCCACTGCCCGACTGTGATTCAGATGAGGACGAAGACTACAAGGAGCAAGTGAAGCAACTTAAAGAAGCTGTGCCTTTTGCCGTCTGCGGCGCCAATACCCTGCTCGAGGTCAAAGGCAAAAAGGTGCGCGGCCGCCTCTATCCCTGGGGCGTAGTTGAGGTCGAAAATCCCGATCATTGTGATTTTATCAAGCTGCGCACCATGCTGATCACACATATGCAGGATCTGCAGGAGGTCACACAGGAGGTGCACTACGAGAACTATCGTTCCGATCGCCTGGCCAAGGGCATTAAAGGCAAGGAGAACGGCATCAAATCGGAGCGCGGAGACAATAACGGAACCGCACAGGTGGGCGTCAATAGTGTGCTCAACGAGAAGGATCGCATACTGCAGGAGAAGGAGGCGGAGCTGCGACGCATGCAGGAGATGCTCGCCCAGATGCAGGCGCGCATGCAGGCACAAAAGTGAACAAACATCTACGGGCTCGGGCGGCAGGTTGGCGGCAGTTAGCGCACGTTTGTGCAATTTACATATATATACACCTATATATATACAACTATATATATATATATAGATAGATATATAGACGTATATATATATATATATATATATTGTACGCAGTTTTTAAGTTAAGTTCACGATGGGCGCTAAATTATCTGTTTATTTTTGCACTCTAAACACACACACACACAAACACACACTCGTGTATATACATATACACATATATGCACGTGTGTGTAACTATATATGTATGCGTACATATTTAGCTAGTGATTTTTTATACTCTAACTGTAATTGCAAGTCAAAGAACGAAAATCAAATCTCAAGGCATCAGAACAACACACACACACACACACACACACACACAACAGACATACAAACTCACACATATAAACACACGCACACACACATATGCAGACACTCGCACTCCCCCGCACACACACACACATAAACTTCATATCACTCCTAAGAAATGAAAATGAATAACGAACTGTATTCCTATTATGTATTTAGACATGACGTCTTCGATATTAACAATTGAATTATGTGTAATTTTTTTTTATACTTTTATTGTATTTGTATTTGTACTTGTACCGCATTTAAGTTAAGCTTAAAAACAAAAAAACAAACCAATTCTGCCGATGTTAAACCATTTTATCTGTTTATTAGTCTCTCAAAGAAAAACGAAAGAAAAAACGAAAAGCAAGCAAAAAGTTAAGGAAAAGCGATTTGTCGATCGCCTCCAACTCGTGTTATATTAAGCCTTTGTAATTATCATTTAGAAAGTGCGTAAATGTTTAAATAATAACTAAAGCTAAGTAATTGAGTTGAGCGTTAAGCTATTGCAGCTATTTCTATATATATATAGTGACATATCCATAGTCGCACCCACCCTTTAACATATCTTAGCACATAAGCATAAGCACAATTATAAACATTTCTAATATTGTAAACAAAGAGCCTGGTGATAACATCGACATTGGTCAAGATCAAACTGTCCCCCTTTGGTAGACATAAACAATTCACCCTAAATATCACGCCACTGTCAATGTTCCCATCAGAGTACTATCCCACGCATAATTGCTGACGCAGCTCAAACTTCACTCAATTTTGACTCAAACTCTCTCAAAGCGAAGTTTGCTAAGCGACCGCAACAGTTAGATAAATCAGTTCTTATTCGGGAAGCAAATCTGAATGTACTCAACAAAAGTAGCCGTTAAGTGAAAATAATAAATTGAAATATATTTTTTATAGTAACCTAACGTGCAAAACTTAATTGGCGCAGCCGGTAGGATACGTCGGGAAAAATTAAAGATCGCTAAAGGATAATTAATTCCCAGATCTAACGCACAATCGCGACCGAAAGTGTTGTCGGAGTGTAATAAAAATTTTCTCGAATACGTATCCGCACAAGAACCTTCGGGTCATTAGTAGCTTAATAATATTGACCCTTTGGGCAATAAAGCTACTACAGTTAATAACGACTGGCTTTGCATATCGTTTGATCCCTGCAATACGTTATTACTGAGTCTTTTTAAGACACACACACAAAAAAAAAAAAAAACATTTGCACAATAATCCATCACAAACTTTAACTTAAAATAAAAGTGCAAAATCAAAGAACAATAAAGTTCAAACCTACAAACTCAAAACTATTCAAAAAAAAGTGTATTACACCAAGATGACAATGGAATTATCAGAACAACACCTCAACCAGGCCCTTTCACAACTTAGACAGGTGCCAAGCTTTGACGGATCAACGGATCAACTAAACGCCTTCATTAAAAGGATAGATTACATCCTACACCTGTATCCAACCCGAGATGTTAGACAACATAGCATCTTATACGGAGCCATCGAATTGCAAGTCACAGGAGATGCTCAGAGAATATCACAAAGGACAGCAGCCAACACTTGGCAGGAGCTGAGAAACGCATTGATTGAAGAATACAAAGTGCAGACACCATTTGAAGAACTCCTTCGACGCTTATACAACACGAATTACCAAGGAAACGTCCGTAAGTTCATCGAGGAGCTCGAGAATAAATCTTTTGTTATTTTAAATAAGTTAGCACTAGAAAATATACCTAGCAATACAACCCTTTATACAAATGCTATGAATAACACAATCAAAGATGTTATTACAAAAAAATTACCAGATAGGCTTTTCATGATGTTAGCCAGACACGACATTACGTCGACACAAAAACTAAAGCAAGTAGCTCAAAGAGAGGGATTATATGAAAATAGCGTTACTGAAAAACCTAAAAATAATAATGTTCAGGGAAATCCAAATAACAATCGTAGGAACATGGGAAATTATCAGCAAAATGCTAACCCAACCACCATTTCAAGTGGCTATTCCAACACGAATCAGAGTTATCACGCACAAAATAAACAGCATAATAAGTCCGAAGACAATCAGAAAGCTCACCACGAGTTCCAACAGAAATTAAGTCAAGGTAGATACCAAAATCCCTTAAACTACCAAAATCAGTCCCATTCACGCTTGAATGCACCAAACCCTCCGACTAAACGTCAAAGAGATAGTAACAGTGGGCAGATGAAAATGGATACATCCGAAAATTTTCATCAGCAAGCCTCGGAACAAACAGAAGAAATCCATTCATAAAATTGATTATGAATGACGAAGTTCTAAAATGTGTCATCGACACAGGTTCAACCATAAATCTAATGAAAACAAACCGCTTAAATTTTCCAGTTTACAACGAAACATTAAAGGTTCACACCATAAATGGTGTTATTGAATTAAAACAAAGTATACGATTAGGAGCAAGCAAAATTTGTCCGAGCAAACAAAAATTCTATATTCACGACTTCTCAGAGCATTATGATGTTCTGATTGGGAGAGAATACCTTGAGGCATGTCAAGCAAAAATAGACTATGCACAAGGATCCGTAACCTTAGGAGAATTTAACTTTTGTTTTAGATATAACGACGAAGAGGTCGAAGAGGACATGACCGCACAAGAGTGCCTTGATCCACCCTCAACAGAGGACAGACCATTTAACTTCGCTATTAATAATGAATTAATAGAAAACAATGAGTTTAGGCTAGAGCACCTAAACTCAGAAGAAAAAGAAAAAATAAAAAAAGTTTTACATGAATTTCGTGATATCCAGTACCATGAAGGTGACAATTTGACTTTCACTAGTACAATTAAACACAAAATTCTAACAAAACATGAGGACCCAATTTACAAGCGTCCATACAAATATCCTCAAATATACGATGAGGAAGTAAATAAACAAATAAGCGATATGATAAAACAAAATATCATACGTAAATCCAAATCCCCTTACTGCTCACCAGTAATAATCGTTCCAAAGAAAAACGATGCATCTGGAAAGCAAAAGTTCCGGTTAGTCATAGATTACCGCAATCTCAATGAACTAACTATTAATGATAAATACCCTATCCCGATCATGGATGAAATATTAGACAAACTTGGAAAATGTCAATATTTCACAACCATTGATCTAGCCAAAGGCTTCCACCAAATCCAAATGGATCCTGGTTCAATACCCAAGACCGCATTTTCGACTAAACATGGCCATTACGAGTACACTCGCATGCCATTTGGTCTTAAGAATGCACCTGCAACGTTCCAACGTTGTATGAACAATCTCTTAGAAGATTTAATTTTTAAAGATTGTCTGGTCTACTTAGACGACATTATTATTTTTTCCACTTCATTGGAGGAACACATTTTGTCGCTACAAAAGGTATTTAAGAAGCTTAGAGAAGCTAACTTAAAACTACAGTTGGATAAATGCGAGTTTATGAGAAAAGAAACTGAATTTCTCGGTCACATCATCACAACTGAGGGTATAAAACCAAATCCCAACAAGATACAAGCAATTGTCAAATTCCCAATTCCAAAAACCCCAAAAGAAATTAAATCATTTCTAGGATTATGTGGTTTCTATAGGAAATTTATACCAAATTTCGCTAATATAGTAAAACCATTAACACTTAAATTAAAAAAGGGAGCAAAAATCAATATAAAAGACAGAGACTACGAACTAGCGTTTGAAAAGCTAAAAGTACTCATAACATCCGACCCAATTTTAATATACCCTAACTTCGAAAAACCATTTTCATTAACTACAGACGCAAGTAATATGGCAATAGGGGCCGTCCTTTCGCAAGAGCATAAGCCTATATGCTATGCAAGTAGAACTCTCAACGAGCATGAGTTAAATTATTCAACGATTGAAAAAGAATTATTAGCAATCGTTTGGGCCACTAAATACTTTAGGTCCTATCTTTTTGGTCGACAATTTCAAATCCTTAGTGATCACAGACCACTCGTCTGGTTAAATAATATGAAAGAACCTAACATGAAATTACAAAGGTGGAAGATCAAGCTAAATGAGTTTGATTTCCAAATTAAATACGTCCCAGGAAAAGAAAATTATGTGGCAGATGCTCTGTCCAGAATTCAATTAAACGAAAACTTCTTAGGCGAAGATACAATTAGCACAAGAGCAACAATACATAGTGCTCAAGAAGACAACAGTAACCATTTACAAATCACAGAAAGACCACTTAATTATTATAATCGACAAATAGAATTTGAAAAAGGAACCGAGAACGAAACAAAAGTTACGAATTACTTTCACAAAACCAACATAAAAATTACGTACAAAGACATGACTAATACGCATGCCAAAGAATTAATAAAAGAATACTTATGCACAAAGAAAAGTGTGCTATACTTCCACAACGAAGCAGATTTTCCAATTTTTCAAGAAGCCTACTTAGAAATAATAAGTCCGAATAATTCAACAAAGGCAATGAAAACTAGTACAAAATTAATAGACCTTCAAACATATGCAGAATTCAAAGAATTAATATTAAAAAAGCACAAAGAATTATTACATCCAGGAATTGAAAAAACTATCAATTGGTTCAAAGAAACCCACTATTTCCCAGATTATCAAAATTTAATTCAAAATCTAATAAATGAATGTGAGATTTGCAACATCGCAAAAACAGAACACAGAGATACAAAATTAACTTTCGAAATAACTCCGGAAATCGCTAATATCCGAGAAAAATATGTAATGGATTTTTACATAGTAGGAGATAAACAATTTTTATCTTGCATTGATATCTATTCAAAATTTGCATCATTAATAGAAATAAAAAGTAGAGACTGGCTAGAAACCAAACGAGCTATATTACAAGTGTTCAACCAAATGGGTAAACCCATCGAAATAAAGGCAGACAAAGACTCAGCTTTTATGTGCACAGCTTTACAATTATGGCTAAAATCAGAAGCAGTAAATATTAATATAACCACTAGTAAAAACGGTATATCCGACGTAGAACGATTTCATAAGACAGTTAACGAAAAACTAAGAATCATTAACAGCGACTCAGACGTCGAAAATAAACTTACAAAATTTGAAACTATACTCTACACGTACAATCATAAAACAAAGCACAAAACGACTAACAGAACACCAGCGGACATATTCATATATGCAGGTACACCAGAGTATGACACTCAAGCTAATAAAGAAAAACTAATAAATAACCTCAACAAAAACCGAAGAAACTTTTAACAATTTAATTGAACAAAGTAAAGAATTCAATAACCTTATACAAATCGAATACCTAGTAGAAAAATTAAACAGAGAAATAAACGGCTTAAAAATAGCCAAACGTAGCAAAAGAGGTTTAGTTAACATAGTAGGAACAGCATATAAATACTTATTTGGAACATTAGATCAAGAAGACAAAGCAGAAATTGAACAAAAAATAAGCAACTTAGCAGAAAACAGCGTCCAGGTTAACGAATTAAATTACATAATAGAAGCTATAAACAAAGGAATAGAAATCATGAACGAACTAGATCAAGAGAAACAAAAAGGAAAGAAATTAGATATCCTTATATTTAACTTACAACACTTTACAGAATATATAGAAGACATTGAGATGGGAATGCAGCTCACAAGATTAGGAATTTTTAACCCAAAATTACTAAAACATGACTATTTGTTGCATGTTAATTCTGAGAAATTGTTGAATACAAAAACTTCCACTTGGTTTAAATCAGATACAAACGAAATACTGATAATATCCCATATTCCTCGAGAAATAATAAAAAGCCCGGTATTCGAAATAATTCCATACCCGGATGAAAATAATAATATTTTGACAGAAATAGCTCATGAAAAATATTTTACCCAAGATAAAAAAGTTTATAGCAGAGAAACAAAAAAATTAATTAATAATGAATGTTTAACAGGAATTTTAAACCAAATAACATCAGAATGTAGTTATACTAAAATTTTGCAAAATTTTCAAATCAACTACATAGAACCAAATATAATTTTAACTTGGAATTTACCAAAAACTATATTAAACCATAATTGTATAAATAACGAAATAACAATAGAAGGAAACAATATAATAAAAATCTTTAATTGTTCATTGCAAATTAATGAAATTTCAATTTCAAACAATATGTTAGATTATACTCAAAGCATTTACGTAAGCAATGATGTTATAAAATTAGAACCACTTTCGTTTGTACAAACGAAACAAATTATAAATGCACATACAAAATTTAACAATGTATTCCAGATAATTACAATAACCATATTTGTAATCATATTAATAAGTTTAACACTGTATTTGACATATAAGTTCAAAAGCATACCTAAGAAATTAATTATAAAATATAAAAAACCCAAAGTAGAAGAAACACCTACAATAATAGGAGATATACCAATTGTAAAAGAAGAAAATGTTACACTATATCCAAACTTAAACACCTGAGGACAGGCACTTTTCTAATGGTTGGGGGAGTGACATATCCATAGTCGCACCCACCCTTTAACATATCTTAGCACATAAGCATAAGCACAATTATAAACATTTCTAATATTGTAAACAAAGAGCCTGGTGATAACATCGACATTGGTCAAGATCAAACTGTCCCCCTTTGGTAGACATAAACAATTCACCCTAAATATCACGCCACTGTCAATGTTCCCATCAGAGTACTATCCCACGCATAATTGCTGACGCAGCTCAAACTTCACTCAATTTTGACTCAAACTCTCTCAAAGCGAAGTTTGCTAAGCGACCGCAACAGTTAGATAAATCAGTTCTTATTCGGGAAGCAAATCTGAATGTACTCAACAAAAGTAGCCGTTAAGTGAAAATAATAAATTGAAATATATTTTTTATAGTAACCTAACGTGCAAAACTTAATTATATATATATATATATATATATATATATACCTATCGTATGTACATTTTTGTATTTTATTGTGTATTAACCTTTTGAAAAAAAAAAAACACGCTAAGCGCTTGTGCTTATTTTTTATTATTATCAATTAGATTGTCACTTACGTGTCCTCGGTATGCAATTGCTTAATGTCAAGGCTCAAGCTAAAAGTATGCGCACTTAATGTTAAAGAGAATCCTTATTGTGTCCTGTATATGAACAATTTACTCCTTTGCATATTCCTCTATAAATATATATATATATATATATGCTTTTTTATACAATTTCTTAAACATTTCCGTGTACACATTTTGGGAAGAATCACGCGCTGGGCCTGCTAAAGGCTAAATTTGACACAATTACACTACATTTGGCAGAACACTTGTAAAGTTAACTAGATTTACTGCGATTTTGGTTTACCATGCCGGTTATAGCTTTAACTAATTAATATTTAATTTAAACTTAATATGGTCAAACGGTTAACAGCGTTGCCACCTGCACAGAATACCTCAAAAAACACAAGAGAGAAAAAATACTATATTGTGAATGAATTGGCAGTGCAACTGCTGAGCTGTAGTTTGAAACCAGCTGGCAACCCGACGCACTCAGCTCACATGTTGTGCGGTAACATTTACAAAATGTGCCGGCTTATTTCTACATCAAATTAAATCGAAAAATGCGTTAAAAGTCACAGCGAAATGTACAAAACAATACGCTGGACGCGTTTGCTAACGCAAACAACTGGCCACAGCACATGGAAACGTCTGGCCGGCTATCGCACACTCTGCACGACCTTGGCCCGCTTGGAAGACAAATCGGATTCGGCGGCGGCGTCCAATTTGTCGGAGGATGCGCTGCTCCGGCAATTCGCCGAGATGCCTGTGCAGCGTATTCGCAACTTTAGCATCATTGCGCATGTCGATCATGGCAAGAGCACGCTGGCGGATCGTGTGCTTGAGCTGACAGGCGCAATTTCACGCAATGCCGGCCAGCATCAGGTGCTCGACAGTTTGCAGGTGGAGCGGGAACGCGGCATCACAGTGAAGGCACAGACCGCCTCCATATTCTACAAATATAAGCAGCAGCTGTATCTGCTGAATTTAATCGATACGCCTGGCCACGTGGATTTCTCCAACGAGGTTTGTTGCGTGTATTCATTCAATCTCTGTCGGGATTAATGCATGTTTCTTGCAGGTCTCCCGCTCGCTGGCCGCCTGCGATGGCGTCATCCTGCTGGTGGATGCCTGCCACGGCGTACAGGCGCAAACCGTGGCCAATTATCATCTGGCCAAGCAGCGACAATTGGCCGTTGTGCCGGTGCTCAACAAGATCGACATCAAGCATGCCCAGCCCGACCAGGTGACTAGGGATATGCAGCTGCTGTTCGGCATTGAACCTGCCAGTGTGCTGCGTGTCTCCGCCAAACTGGGCACTGGCGTTGACCAGGTGCTGGAGCGTGTCATTGAGACAATTCCGCCGCCAAATGTGCAGCGCGAGAGCGCATTTCGTGCCCTAATCTTTGACAGCTGGTTCGACAAATATCGCGGCGCACTCAATCTCATCTATGTGCTTAACGGCCAGCTGGCCGTGGGCCAGGATATACAGTCGCTGGCCACCAAGAAGGTGTATCCCGTCAAGAGTCTCTCCGTGCTGCGTCCGGCCGAGTGCGCTGTGCACGGCCTGCTGGCCGGCCAGGTGGGCCTCATTGCCTGCAATATGCGCAACAGCAAGGAGTCCATCATTGGCGACACGATTCACCTGAAGCATCAAACGGCGACGGCTGCCGGCACCTATCGGCCACAGCAGCCGCTTGTCTTTGCCGGCATCTTTCCGGTCGACCAGTCCAAGCATGTGGCACTGCGCAGCGCCATTGACAAAATGGTGCTCAACGATTCGGCGGTGACGGTCAATGTGGACTCCAGTCCGGCGCTGGGTCAGGGCTGGCGTCTTGGCTTTCTGGGCCTGCTGCATATGGAGGTGTTCTGTCAGCGTCTGGAGCAGGAGCATGGCGCTGAGCCGATCATAACGGCACCTTCGGTCACATATCGGATTGTGCTGCGCAATCCCAAGCTGATCAAGCAGCACGGCAGGAACACGCTGGACATATCGAATGCGGCCTTGCTGCCCGATCCGTCCAACATTGAGGAGTACCATGAGCCGCTAGTGCTGGGCACCATCATAACGCCCACGGAATATGTGGGCCAAATAATTGGATTGTGCGTGGAGCGACGCGGCCTGCAACAGAGCTCGGTGAACATCGATGAGTCGCGCATCCTGATGAAGTATGTGCTGCCGTTGAGCGAGATTATATTGGATTTTCATGATCGACTGAAATCGCTGAGCTCCGGCTATGCCAGTTTCAGCTATGAGGATCATGGCTATCATCAGACGCATCTGGTGCGCCTGGACATACATCTGAATGGGCGGCCCATCGAGGAGCTGTGCCGGATTGTGCACGCCAGCAAGGCAACCGGCGTTGCCCGCCAAATGGTGCACAAGCTCAAGGATCTCATACCCAAACAGATGGTACAGATTGCCATACAGGCGTGCGTGGGCAGCAAAGTGCTTGCGCGCGAAACCATCAAGGCCTATCGCAAGGATGTAACGGCCAAGCTGGTGAGTTGCCACACTGCAAAAAGAGATGTTGCGAACAAATTCGATAACAATACTCTATTTATCGATAGTATGGCGGCGATGTGACGCGTCGCATGAAGCTGCTCAAACAACAGTCGGAGGGCAAAAAGAAGATGCGCATGTTTGCCAACATTCGTGTGCCGCACGAGACTTTTATCGATGTGCTCAAGCGCTAAACGCATATCCGCCGGACACCCGTCACGCATGTCAACTGCATTTTGGGTGAGTGAGATGGGATGAGATGAGATGCTGCTGCCGCTGCTGCTGCTGCTCATTTTTATCGATATCATTATTATTTATTTTTTATACAACCCGCTTATCGCGAGCACAACAAATAATTCGCCTTTCCCCCTGCCCTCGTCTGTCTTGGTCGATAACACTGCCCGCAAGAATGCCCCCTTATCATTTTGTATGCTCTTTTGTCTTGGAATACAAATAAAGCCAACAAGAAAAGAAAAAACATACAAACATAGATGTGTGTGTGTGTGCGCACACATGCATGCATATTCAATTATTTGCATACACATTTATGCGAGAGTTTTTGTGTGTGTGTGTGTGTGTGTGTGTGTGTGTGTGTGCGTATACATATCGGTTTTATAATGCGCGGAAGTGCCCGAATCAGCTGCACACACACACACACACACACACACACAAATACAGACACACTCACAAGTATTGGCACTGTAAGCATTTTTCAACACTTTTTGGTAACAAGCAAACATCTTGCAAATATCTTATGTCCTGATTTGTCAGTTAAATAGATATTTAAATACAAATATATAGAAATATATTCCAAATGTATAGTCTCAGCTGATTATTACATTAGGATTAGGATTAGTATCGGACGCCATTTTAAACATGAGATTATTTATTAAGCTGGGACTTTTAATGTCCCACCAAGTACCTTGCAAATTTCCTTCGTAAACATTAAATTGCCAAAAATTTCCCAACACAGCCGATACTTGCTTTAAACTAATTTCTATGATTGTTGACATTTTGAACATGATTATTTATCTTCTTTCTTTAAAAAAAGATTGATTTTCAAATATTAATTGATGTTGTTTTTTGTTCGATATTGTAACTGTGCGAAAACAATATTAACAGACTGTACTCAGTACAGTTCATTAACATTAACGTTATTTACGTGTCGCATTTTCTCACTCAAAAATTGATTGCTTTGTCATTGTCTTAAATTAAGGCCTTCTCAACGACAACGACGACAAAAAAATCGAATTTCCCTGACCCTGAAAACTAACACGCATACGCACACATTCAATGCATAACAGTATCCTCCCGTAGACTGTGAGCCCCACAAACAAAAACCCATACACGCTTACACAAAAATCACACACACACACACACACATGGAGTATGTGTGATAGCAAGTTTAGATGGTTGTGTGTGTATGGGTGTGTGGCTTGCTCCCGGCAAGTTTTGTTTGCGAGAGCGCAACAATCGAGCAACGCGCGCAAAAGAGAGCGAACGAACGAACGAACGGTAAGACACAACAATTGAACTCAACTGATGATGGCCGGTGGGTGTTGGGGACGTTGTAGCGCTTGCATGTGTGTGTGACCTTGAAAAACAATAACATTGTTGCGGTTGCTGCTGCTGCTGCTCTGCTTTGGTGTAGGCAACGCTGGGCAAATGCAAATGCAAACAAACTGTTAAAATTGATTATGCAATAGCAGAACCTTCCAAATTGCCAAAATGTCAAAGGAAAAAAAACACAGCAATGCACACACACACACAAACATACATGCATGCAGCGAAGAGAAGAAATGTACTTGTTGCAATACTTATTGTAACTGAAAGAAACCAAATTTATGTATGTATGTATGTATTTCATGGATAACCAAATTCTTCCTGTTTGCCCCAATTTGCATATGAAAATCCACTGCACACGAATTTCCATCATCAACAACAACAAAAACAACAGTAACAGGCAGTCAAACAGCTGAGCCTGAGCCCCACACGCAAGTGCAAGAGAGTCGCCAACAACACTGGCAACAAGAACACGAACAAGAACAGAATATTCGCTCTCAACAGTGAGCGAGCGCCACCGGGCCTATTTGCTTGTGCGATTGTATTGGGCGCACAAACACACACACACACACGCACACAAGCACGCTGGCAAAAGCAATAACAAAAACAGAAAAATAAATACATTTTCGTTGTTTTTGCTGCTGCGCTCAATTGAACGAAACACAGGCAACGACGACGACGACGACGACGACCGTTTCTCTGTCGCCGTCGCCGTCGTCGTCGTCGCCGTCGCCGCCGTTGCCTCTATCCGCACAACACAAAAACAGTCAGTTTTCATTCTCATTTGACATCATCAACATTGAAAATTAATTAAACAAGAGCAGTACGAGTTCGATTGCGATTTCGATTCACCGTTCGATTGTTGGTGAAATTCAAAGTAAATTGTTTAATAAATAAATATTTTATATTGTGCTTAATTAATGCGCCAATTCGGTGTTGAAGTTTTCATTTAACAAAACGCCAAAATCAAATTCAACGACATTTTGTTTTTCGTTTTGCTTTGCCGTTTTATTTGCAAAATAATCACTGCGAACAAAATAACAAACGTCATCAGCTGTTTTGTGCTTGTCGACTTTGTGTGTGTGTGTGTGTGTGTGTGTGTGCTTGTTTGTTTGTGTGCGCGCGTCTACATTGCCTGCATATATACATACATCCATATTTATGTGCACGTACGTATATATATATAAATAGGCAACTCTATATATATATATATATATGTACGTACATATATCCATATCTGTATCTTTGTTTTTAAATGAACTACACTGCGAAACATCACAGAAATAACATTAATACATGTATGTACATATTATTGCATGCATATTTACAAAAAAAAAAAAAAAAAATTGTTGCACTCAAATGCAACACACAATTCCTGTCTTACGCCCCCTTTATTATTAAGCCACACGAAACATAACCTAGAAGCGAATTTAGAACGAGAACTTGTTTGAAGGTTACGGCGCGGCGCCACAAAACACCCCCAATCCTCGTGTCTGGCAACCACCTCTCATCAATGGTTGCTCCGACAACGCTTTGGCCTTGACCGTGTATGGCTGGTGCGAAACAACAATAACAACAACAACAACAGCAATAACAAAGCAACGGTGTAACAGCTGACAGCTGTGCACTATGGCTGCACTTTTCACGGTACAAATGCGTCAAGTGGCAACACTGTTGGAGATGGATCCCAAGTTAAAATTTACAAATACTTGCCGTTCACACAACAGCGCTTTAAGCGCAGTACATCTCTCGCACACAGGCACAATCAAGTTCAAAGTAATCGCATCGAAAACAAAACGGCAAATCAACGGCATCGGCATCTCCCGCACACACATACAGAAACTGCGCGCATTCGCACTCTCGCTCTCTCTCTCACACACACACACACACACACACGGTCACACAGCTGTACACGTAGCAATGTTCACAGTAGTTTTTTTTTTTTTTTTTTTTGCTTATGTTGTTATATGAAATCCGACGGTAACGGGCAGTCACAAAAAATATATGTACATGTATAAAAAATAGTCAGCAAATTGTGCAGTAGTGGAATTGGCAAAAGTGAGCGATCAACAAAAAATGCAAATAATGTTAATAATTAATTAACATGTGTTAACTAGGCAACCGCCAGTCAAATATATTCGACTTAACAGTTATTTGCAATAATTGGCTAGCTGGCAGCCAGTGTTTAACATTATTGTCAGTGTTGAAAAATATTCCATGCAATTGGAAACTTTGGTTTTCGCGCTGCGTAGTTGACTTATTGCTGTTTTCCCCCGATGTTGTGTTTTTCATTGTGCGTTCGTATATGTATGTAGATAAATACATACATATAAATCGAAATGAGTGTTTTTATTTATGCAAAATATGCATACCTACATCTTATGTATACGCTGACGTTTCAATTGTTTGTCCGTGTGCCAGTAACATACATACATATATACATACATACATCCAAATACATACATACTTTTGCTGCTTTGTTCATAAGCGCATACATATGTATGTAACATACATATGTGCACATACACATCTGTATGTATATTATTTTTAAAGTTTGCAATGCAAGAGAGAGTGAGAGTTAGTTCAACTTATATCAATATCGAGTGGTCAATAAATTGTCGTCGTTATTTCATCTGTTCGTTTCAAACAATTTCTAATAATATTTAATTAAAATTGAACCTGTTTGTGTGTGTTGTTTTTGTGTTATTTTTGTTTTGCGACTAACGGGCGCGTCAGTGCCAATGGCAAACACACGCACACATACACATTAGTGCATATTCACCGTCAAACGTCACACAGCTGATACATGTTGTTGTTAGTGGTTGGCGCACACAAAGCGAACGCTTGCGAATATCATCTGTGCGCTCGCTCTTTTGCTACCTCACTCGCTCTCTTTACCATACCTTGCCCACCCACTCTCTCCGTTTTATTTTGTAAACAACTGAGCAACTCGCGCAGTGCTGCCAGATGGTTAACAATTTTAAGCTACAATGGTAGCACTGTCATATGCGCATACGTATACAGTAGCGCATACACACACACACACACACACACACACACTGTGATACACATTTGTGAAATTCCTATTTGAATTTGTTGCTTATATTTGGTTTTTATTTCGCAGGCCCAACGGCAATAATCAAACCAGAAAATCCATGCAATTCAGCAGGACGCGACGCGGCGCGCATTTTAACCAAATATGATCAACAGTTTTAGTGTGGCAGGTGCGGGCGCAGGTGCTGCGGCGACTGCTGCAATTACACTGCATTTTAACTACAACAACAACAGCAGCAGCAGCAACAACAACAACAACAACAATAATAACAGCAGTGGCATTAAAATTGTGCCAGCAGCATCAAATGAGCACAAAAGCCAAAGTTTAATCAACAATGCCGCCCCAGCAACAACAAAAGCAGAAACAAACACAACAACCACTCCAAAAATATTTCAAATAACATCAACCGAAGTTGAGGCAAAGCATTTTCTAATGACTTTTCCCCAACAACAACAACAACAACAACAGCAGCAGCAGCAGCCGAAGCAAAAGGCAGGCGCCTCACTGAAATGGATGCCGCCTGGCAAAGTAAATACCTCAGCAAGCACCAAAGAGCCGCAGCTTAGACAAGTCAGCATTCAGTCCAGCAGCAACAACAAGCAGCAGCAGCAGCAACAACAGTTGCAACTAGCAACAACAACAACAGGGTTAGCCAAAAGTGCCTTTATTGAAGCATGGACAATGCCACAGCAACAACAACAACAACAAAGGACTGAGGACCAAGAAAATGCCTTTCGCCAAATCGAAGATGTACACAATTATGCCAAACTGCAGCATCATCATCAGCAGCAACAACAACAACAGCAGCAGCAGCAACAACATCAACATCAGCACAGCAGCAGCAGCGAACTGGGCGAGGAGGATGAAGAGGACGACGACGACGATGACGACGAGGAGGATGAGGATGATGATGAGGAAGAGGAGCGGGGGCGGGAGCCAACAAAGAAAACCCATCTAAATGTGCCCATCAACACAAACAATGATGATGATTCCGAGGAGCATGTCGAGGTGGATGTGGTCACTGTGACGCCAACGGCAACAACTGTAGCAACAGCGGCGGCGGCGGCGGCGGCAGCGGCAGCTACAGCACCACAACTACAACTGCAGCAGGAGCAGCTGATGTCCAAGGTGGATCAGGAGCATATGCGGCCGGAGCATCATGCACGGCGTCCCATGAACGCATTTCTCATATTCTGTAAAAGGCATCGCGCCATTGTCAAAGAGCGCTACAAATCGCTGGAGAATCGGTAAGTCTGGCAACGCTGTGGCAACAACAAATAAATACCTAAATATAACCAAAAATCGTTCAACTACAAATGCAACAGAGCCATCACAAAAATACTCGGCGACTGGTGGGCCGCACTGGATGAGCAGGAGAAGCAGTGCTTCACCGATCTGGCGCAGCAGGTAAGCATTAAATGCATTTTCAATAATACGCCGTTTCGTTAACAGCAATTTAAAATTTCAATTCATTTTAGTTGCACTTTCGCTAATTAACCGTTTTATGCTGCCACATAGCTTTAGCAAACCATCTGGCAATATGTTTGGCTTACATATGTAAATTGTGAACAGAAAATACTAACAGCAATAATGAGCACAACAGCTGATCTTTATATAATCATAGTGTGCTCATTATTTCTTTTGGCTTAAGTAATTTTTTATTTCGCTTTTTTTTTCAATTTTATTTCAATTAATATCACAATTTAGCTACAGCAAATCTTGAGCTGCATTTGCTGCTGCCAAACTTACCAAACATTCATTGGTGGTGCTGCCACATGGTTTAATTAAGCAATCTGGCAACATGTTCGAATTTAAATTGTGCGCCAAAAGTCGTTAGCCGCGCATTTATCTAATCTATGCGAGCTGCTAATTTCGAGAAGCAATTAAGCTGTTTTTGGGCACATATAAAAATGAAAAATGAAAATAATAAAAGATTATGATAGCTATTCTTGCAATATGACTTATATGTTGTGTTGAAAAAATTTTAATTAAAATATTAACAATATGCTAAGCTTTGAATAGTAGGAAGTGCCATAAATGCATGCACACAGATTTGTTTAGGTTTTTTTTTTTTATATATATCTCCCTCTCGCCCGCACTTCCTTTCTATCTCCCTTGCGTGTTGCTCGCGCCTTCTCCCTCTGATCTGCTGCAATGTTTGTTTGTGGTCCGATAAAAGATGCTCTTATAATATAAAGCATAGAAGGAGACAGCTACGATTTGATAGGATATATATACATATATATATATTCTGTAACCTTCTGTGTTTTAGACCTAAGACTTTCGCCAAGAAACTTTTCCTAATTCGACAAAAATTGGATTCTTGTAAGCAACATTTGTTGTCCTTCTCCAGATATCTTGACCCTAGCTTCGATTTGTTATTAAAAATGTTATTTATAATAAATACAAGACAACAGCTTGTTACCATGATTCCTAAATATGACCAAGTTTCTGCTTACATCGAAGTCTTCTTCTATCGTAATCCTCTAGAAAATAATTAAGAACATTTTTGCTTTTGCAGAACAAAGATGCCTTCTTCAATGCCAATCCCAATTTCAAATGGTACAAACTGCCCGCACCGCCGCTGCGCACGCTCGCCACCCGTCCCAGCAACGCGTCCACCGGACAAATTAATGAGGAGCCGCTGCAGCCGCATGCACCACAGCAGCACCTACAGTGGGCGCCCAATGATGTGGCGCATATGCTGCGCAGCAACTATTTCAAGTTTGCGGACGAGACGCAAATGGGTGAGCTGAGCGCATTGCTCAGCGCCAATGCGGGCAGTGTGCCGGACAAGGATTATGCGTTGCAGCAGGTGCTCAGCGAGACGACACAGTTCCTGAGCACGCACATGCCCAGCAACAACAACAACAATAATAATAACAATAATAATTGTAATAATAATAAGCGACTGCTGGACAGCGGCAGCAATTCGAGCGAGGAGGAGGAGCGCGGCACGCCCAGCAAAAAGCTAAAGACCGCGCGCAGCTGCAAGGGCAAAATCTATCAGGAACTAATCAATTCTGGCCAACTGGCGGCCATTGTCAAGAAGTCCAAATGTCGCCTCAACAGTGGCGGCAGCAACAACGATGCCAACAGCAACACGCCGCCAATTTCGCCAACAAACAACGTTGTCGCCTCAGTCGGACAGCTGCTGCCGGAGCCGGAGACGACAGCGGTGCGTGTGGCGGCAAACGAATTCGATTTGGAGGAGAAGATCAGGGAGCTGCCGGCGCTCAGTTTGGATGCCTATTTGCAGCGCAAGCGCAGCACCAAAAAGAAGAAGAAATTCAGCAGCAGCAAAAAGCAACGGAACCCCAACTGCAACACTAACAGCACACCAGCAGCAACTGTTGCCAACGTGTCAACAGCAACAGCAGCAACTGTTGCTGCCGTGGGCAGCCAGAAGCGCAAGGCGCGCAAGGAGAGCATCACGCGTCGCGATGTCAGCGCCATCGAGCAGGAGGTGGCCTCCATATTGCCGCTGACCATAAATGGTTGCTACTATTTCAATGAGACGCGCGCAGCGGCAGCAGCAGCAACAGTTGCCGCAACAACAGCAACAGCAACTGTTGCCGCATCGCCGCCGCTGTCGTCGTCATCGTCCTCGACGCTGTCCGTCTACGAGCCGGCCGGCTATGATGTGACCACTACCTCAGATCTGCTCATTCTCGCCGAGGTGGCCGCCAATCGCACCGAGCTGACCAAGTCCAACTAGCAGCAGCAGCAGCATCAGCAGCAGCAGCAGCAGCAACATCTTTTTGTTGCGACTGTACTTATCCGCATATGTATTTACAGGCATTGACAACCAATTAGAAACCAAACCAAATTTAGACCAATTTTCAAAATAGGCCCTAGTTGGAAAGTCAGACTTAAGGAAAAAACAAACAAAAAAAAAAAAAAACAAGCAAAGCTTAACAACAAATTATTAACAGATAGCTTAAAGAAAAGGCACTTTCACTGCTTTCTAAGCAATTGATTCAATTGACTTTGTTTGCAACTCAACTAAATAGAAACAAATCCAATATTAAAATGTGCACGTAAAAGTTTTTTACAAATTTTAGCCACGCCCCCTAGGGGTCTATAGTTTAAAAATTCTATTTCTAGATATCTCTCGAGAGAGGTAGAAAAAAAGAAGTATGCATCAGTCACGCCTAGATCAATTTGCAAGTCACAGTTTGAGAGACACTGCCAGCAAGTAGATACCTTTTTTTTTTTTTTTTTAGCTGTTTTAACAGGGTATTGCGCTGTCGTGCAGCAAAGTACTTCAAGCAAAAAGAGGAAAAATATTAAAAAAAAAAAAACTATGGCTCGTGTAACGAAAATAAATCAAAATATAATATAAGCTAGAACACATATATCAATCAAATAATATATATGATATTATAAGCTGTGGAATATATGCACATATATTGAAAACAAAACAAATTAAGAATCGCGCATAAATTTTGGTTTCTAGTTTGTTGTCAGGCGCTGTATTTATACATATATATATATCTATATATATATGCATAGATATATATCTAGTAATTGTTATTGTTTTAACTTCCTTTGATAATGATGATGATGATGATGATGATAATGTCAATGATGATGATGATGATGTCAATGATGATGATGATGTCAATGATGAAAATGATGATATATACGTGCCTCTAGCTGTAGCTCTAGATTGAGAGAATTGTGCGGCATTAACACATTGAGAGTAAATAGACATTCGTTGGATCTACAATTTAGTCAATAATATTATGTAAACACACACACACACACACACACATATTTATATATATATATATATATATATAATATACACACACACACGTACACATACACCCAGGCACGCAACATGTTAAAGTTAATTGCAGAGCGCAAAACGTTTTTTTAGATCAAATATTTGTTTTTTTTTTTTCAATCAACATTTATGTTTTTTTTTTTTGTTATTTGTTAACAACGGCGCCGCATAGTTTCAATTTCTGTTTTGCTAGATTTGTTAAGTTTTTTTTTTGTTTTTTCTTGGAAAAGCAAACAATATTACAAAAAATATGCACATGTGCTGCGCTTATTAACTGTTAATTAATATTATTATTATTTCTAATACAACTAGTAGCTATAATTTATTATCTATTATCTATTGTGAAAGTGGAAACATGCAAAACATATACATATACCTAATATAATATATATACATATATATTCATATAAAAAACAAATGTAAGAACTTAAATTTCAATTCAAATGCCGCACAACGATATTTATCGATAATTATCGTGTGCACTTCGTTTTTGTGCAAGTCGGCGGCGTTGCCAGATGCACAGCGGCTCCAGTAGAGTTGCACAGGGTAGTTCATATAAAATGAGTAGGTTTCGTTGTTCAATTCCTAATGAACAAACAAAGCTTTCATTTCAGTGTCATCTTTCGAATTGCTTTTGTTAGTTCCAATATTGTGTAAGTTTCAGTTTAAGTTGTTCGTTTTGTTGGTGTAAGTCGCATAACTGCTCGAACCATACTAGGACGACGAACAATCATTTGAGTCTTCGTTGGTTCGTTTAGTTCAGTGAACAGTTCAAGTGAACCTTAACAAGAACGATTTGTTGCAACTCTAGTGCGTACACAAAGAACAACAGTAAACAGCTAGCCGGTGCTGCGTATTTATACATGTGTGTGTGTGCGAGTGTGTGTGTAATGGTATGTGCAAGATAAGCCTTGGCGAACGCAGCCAACCGTCTGCTGCGTAGATAAGCGACAGCATTCCAATTGGTCGTGAAATACGCGAGGATTGTGTTAAGCAACAAATAAAATGGCGAGCGCGTGATTTATGTGCACTTTGTTAGACCTCACGTGCAAAGCAAACAGTTCAAAAGGCAACAGACAACAACAGCTAACAGCTGACATTGCCGCCATTGCTGCTGTTCGCCGCATTCGCTGCGTCTGTGCTACACGCGGTTTCGGTTTCGGTTTTGACCCATTCGCAAGCTTCGTGTGAGCTTTCGCCAGCAGTTTCGCTTCAATGTTGGCCTTAATTTAGTTGGTGCGCGCATTCAGACCCTCACAGTTGTGTTAAGGTTGTATCTGTATCGTACACGCTGACAGCCGAGCAAACGTGCAACAGCCACACGACGAACAACAAATTTAGAAAAAAACAAAAAACAACAACCAAAATCCATTTGCTGAGGTACGCATATAACGGCAGCAGCGAGTTTGTTGTCAGATCTTGAATCAGAACCTTCTTGTCCGCTTTCATTAATCAGCAGCGCAAAAAGAACAAAAAAAAAAAAAAAAAACTATGGTAAAATGTCTTTTACCGTTTTGGCTTGAAATTACAGTTTTCGATATTTCGAAGAGCGCATCAGAAATTGAAAGTGTTTGAGACGTATGCGCATTATATGTACATATACACATATATGCTTATTTGTGTATATCAATTTGTATGTATGTGTGAGAGGGTAAGTTGTTGGAAAAAGAAACACACACCGAACGGATAGAGCACAAAAATGGCACAAACATTCAGATAAATATAAATAAATAGAGAAATTAAAAAGGCGGCGAATTGGTCAACGGGCGAATTGTGTGTGCGTGCTTGTGCATGTATGGGTAATATAAGGATCTCAGTCAGTGTAACGGAGCGCACGCAACGGTTATATAACTATCCATGCTCAACATTGTGGGTGTGTGTGTGTGTGTGTGAGTGTAAGCTATTCTATTCAGCAGCATAAAACAATTTCTTTTGATGAATTTGCATTTTTTTTTTTGTCCAATTGCGCGACGCCGTCGCAATTTTCGCTCTCTCGCTCTGGTTCTTTCGCTCTCTGCACTGCTCTCACTCGCCGCAGCAGCAACAATAATTAAGTGTAATGAAATCTGTGCGCAATGAAACCCGCCAAGTTTAATATTAATTTGATTGCGGCTGCTGCGGCGGCGGCAACTGCGTCTCGTCTGCTGTGCATTTAGCGTGACGCTAATAAATTAAAATGAGCAATCACAATATTCGCCGTCGGCTTCGTCTCGCTGGCCTGACGAGTGGGACAGATAGATAGATAAAGGGTGAAGCGGGGAGGGGTTGGCTTCCCTGCACGTTTTTGAATTAACACCAATTAGTGCTTGGCCCCGCGGCAATTGTCATTGTCGTGGTCAACACTTGTAGCGCATTTTAATTTAAATTAACGAAAAAAAAGTAAGGAAAGAAACAAAATAAAATTCAGCCCCCATTAAAGCCGCCGCCCCCCAATGGTCTATTTCGCCGTGATTCGCAAGCGGAGGCTGGTGGGCGTGACGTCACACAGCGAAGTTTTGCGTGGGCGCCGCAACCATTATGTAAGCGAGGCGGGTGACAACGATAGCGCAGGATGAATGGCCTGCCTGCCTGTCGGTCGTACGCTCGTGTTTGTGCTCGTGCTGGCCGTGTTCGGCTCGTTGCGCCTTCGGTTGGCATTTCGCCGCTGTCGTCTTGACAGTTTGAACTGTGCTTTTGCCGTGGCCAAACGTTTCGGCGTACGTAGCGCAAAACGCAAAACGAAAAAAAAAAATCAAGAAAATCAGAGCAACAAGGAAACACAAAAAAATACAATAAATATATAAGGCAGGTACAACAAACACAGAAAAACAACGTCAACAATTCAAGCAGAAGCTAAGCAACTGAAATTTAAATTCGCTTTTAATTTAATTTCGTGCACATTGTTTAGTGTGCGGTGTGCGGTGTACGGTGTGCGTGCCTTTGAGTATGTGTGTCTGTGGTGTGTGTGTGTGTGCGTGTGTATTTGAGCACAAGTTGTGTGTGTCAAATTTTCGTATGTTTTGTTTGCTCTCTAACCTCTCCTTTCTCTCTCTCTCCCTCTCTCTCTTTTTTTTAACACGCTCTCTCGCTCTTGCTGTTTCTTCCCCTTTTTGCAATTGTTGTATAACACATAATTCTTGCAGAGAGGAAAAAAGCTTTAAGACAACAGCAAGAACAGCGCAGGCAAAAAGCAACGAAACGCAAGCAAAAAAAAAATAACACACAAAATCAGCTGTGAGATTGTTTTATAGCACCAGAAGCAGCAGCAGCAGCAGCAGAAGCAGAAGCAGCAGCAGCAGCAGCAACAGCAACAAGAACAAGAGAAGTAAACGTGTGTGCAAATTGTGTGAACCGTAAGAAGAAAACAACAGAAGCAGACGAAGAGCAGCTATTGCCCTCTCACCCGGCCTCGCTCTCTCACTCTCTCTCTCTCCCACGCTATATTTATTGGAAAGGAGTCGTAACATCAGCTTGGAATCCACGGCCATCTATTCCGCTCTGTAATGGCTCAACTTCGTTCCTTGAGCGCCCCACGTACAACAATTAAATTCGTTTACTACAGTCGCAACGTTGGCAGCATCAACAGCGTCAGCAGCAACCGTTATTTGGCCACTGCAGCGGCATTTTCCAACAACGGCAAACGTTGCCATAGAAGAAGCCTACATACAGCATGCGCCAGCGTCAACGTCAACGCCAACGCAAGCAGCGGCAACCAAAATGCTGCTCTGGACATGGTGAGCGCTCTGCATTCGCATCGGTATGCGCTGCGCTGGCAGAATCAGTTCTTGAACGGCGCTCGCTGCCTGCACTCGGCGGCGCGTGAGCAGCAGGCGCAGGTGGCGATTTCGGAGGTCGCTGAGGATGGCAGCAGCGCAGCCAAACGGGGCGCAGCCGATGCGAAGCCCTACCAATCGAAGCCCGAGGGCAAGCCTCAGCGCGATCCACTCGATGTCAGCTTCAACGATCCGATAGCGGCATTTAAGAGCAAAACCACATGGGAGCTGGTGCGCGCTTATATGGTGTACATGATCTGTTCCAGCGAGAAGCTGGTTGAGCACAATATGACGGTAAGTTGAGCGGCGCAATGCAACCTATGCATCTGTGTACAATATTATCATTATCTATCTACATCTCTACTCTCTTTAGACTACAGTAGCTCTTAGGCTTTGCTCTTGTCCTATTGGGTATAACAGCTCAATAATGCATTTGTCCTATTTGCCAGTCTTTCTCACGCTCTTTAAATTTGGTCGGTCGGTCGGTCGGCCGGTTGGCCTCTCTCTTGAGTTCGGCTTTGCATGTGTCCTATTGAGTATAAAAGTTGGAAAAGATTTTACTCTCGCTTTTGAGCCAAAGTCCAATTCCCCCAATATCCTTCCGTTAGTCGACTCTCTTATTATGCAAGTTTGTTCTCTTTAATGCTTAATGCATTTATTCTTCAATTCCCACTCATTCAACTCTCTTTAGCTCTTGAGCCTAAGCACAGTCTACTTTAATTGTCCTGATCTTTATGTCTCTTTAATAGTCGTTGATTGCCGCTCTCTGACATGCTAACTGTTAAGTTGCATTGTGAAGCCCAATTTTCTCTCTCTTTTCAGTTCCCAAGCTTTCGTTACGCTCAGTGTTATATAAAGTAATCATTAGCAAAGTATTAGCATCCGTTGCCCATCCCCCCCGCCGCTGTGTTATACTAATATTCAGTTTTCTATTTATATTCTCGACACTCTGTGCACAATCTTCAGTCTATTTCAGTCTGTCATTTGTCTAACTTGAGCTGCCTCTTGTCTAACTGCCTGCTACTGACAGCGCCCTGCCCCCTCTGCTGAGCTGTCTGCGCCTTGATGGCTTTTAAATGACACATCAAAATTTGAGTGAATGCAGCGCTAATTGCCGCCTCAATTGGTTGGCTTGTGTGTGTGTGTGTGTGTGTGTGTGTGTGTGTGTGTGTGTAGTGTAGGGGGGATGCTCAGAGTGTATGCGAATGAGCTTGTGACTCAACGGGTGTGCAAATCAAATGCATTTTATGACCTTGTTGGAGGCCGTTGCTGAACGGTGCTGTTTACTGCGCGCAAGCCAGCCGAGCAGACGCCAGCTGCGTCAGTCGGTCGGTCAGGCGCACACATACGCACATCTCTCGATCTATGTGTGTGTGTGTGTGTGCATATGTAAATGGTTAACAGGCAGGCCCCCAAAAGCGCGCCAATCAAAACGGCAAATGCGACTCTCGCCCTCGTATGTATATGTAAATACATATGCATGTGTTGTTTTTATTACGTATACGTGTTGGTGTGTGTGTGGGTGTGTTTTATTCGCCTTTGTTGCCTGCGTACATATACATATGCTTATCGATTATTATTACAGAGTTAACAGTTTGATCGATTTAATGGAAAATTGATTAACGTGAATTGCAGTAATCGCAGCGCTGCAAATACAACAAATTGATGTGTTTGTTTTTGTTTTCTTTTTTTTTTTTGTACATGTGCACATTGTATTTGTTGGCAACTTAATAGCCATGTTAATTGTTCTTATGTGTGTGTGTGTGTTTTTTTCCCCGATTCTATTTTTACCGCTCGTCTGTTTGGCAGGTCTCGTGACGCGGGGCCACAGCTCAAAATCGAACACCTGTGCTTGCTTTTCAGCATTCGCCGAAAAAAAAAATGAGAACAACTAAAACAAATGTACTCGAGACAACGGCGTTGCCAATTTTTATGTAACCAGTTTTGAAAAACCACACACACACACACACATGCGACATGTACACAGTTAGTTGCTCTTTTTGGTTTGTCACAGTCTGTCCCCCCCCCTCCTGTCTTGTCAACCGGTTCGTTAAGTCCATCACACGTGCCTGTCAAAAAAAAAAGCTCCTGTCGTTTCTTTTTGTTTTATGAGCTTTTACGGCAGCTGCTTGACGTTTACCATTTTAATTACTTGAGCAGGCGCGCGTAGTGCAGCTCAGCCCTGCTCAGTTCCACGATCCCTCGCACTCTCTTTAAAAATATTCGCCGCAAGTTCGCCTCATGCTGTGTCATCGCGCTTGGCCTTGACACGATCGTCTGTCTTTTGGGTTTTTCGCTCTCTCGCGCTCTCATTGCATATGGTGTGCGCTTTGGCGGCATTCCAAATGATTTATGTGCCTTAAGAGAGAGAGAGAGAAAAAGAAAGGTGACAAATATGCCTCGATCTTTGCCCACATGACGTGGGCGGCGTGAGTGTGCGAGCGAGAGGCTCGTATATGAATGAGTTGTTGTTTTGTGTTTTTGTGTGTTTTGAGTTAGGAAAACATGAGTTCTTTTTGATATGCGATATTTTCTTTTGCCCTTCTTTTGCTCGTTGCGTATTTTCTGTACATTGAAATTTTCTGCAATTTCCTTTTAAAAAATAAAAAAAAACCCAAATATATATATAATATATACATATGCCTTGATTTATATAAATATAAAAACGAAAACAAATCTTTAAAATTTTGTCTAAAAACGAAATTATCGCAGCTTATGAAATGGTCAAACAAAATATTGGGTAAAAGGTTATTTACAGCATTGATGAAGGCAACATTTTATGGCCATTTTGTCGCTGGTGAGGATCAGATCAAGATAATACCCACATTGGAAAGGTAATTGTATAACGATTATTGAATCCACTAACACCATATTTTTGTTCTTCTTCTTTTTTTCTTTTCTTTTTTTCTTTTCTTATCTTTTCTCTTCCATTCGACTTTTGCTTTGCTGTTGCGCTATGCCTAAAAAAAACAACAAATATAAACTGCAAAAAAAAACGACAATCAATACAACTGTACGGTTATCGATAACCCATAACCGATAAACGCTGTGCTACGCTTCTTTCTTAAAAACGAAACATTTCCGTACTCTAATCGATGACCTCTGTTATCGATAACCGTTGATATCGATCGACCTTATCCGATTAACGATGTGTCACGCTTCTTCCTTGAAAATAATACATATGCGTGCCGTTATCGATAACCGCTTGTTTCGATAACATCTTCTATCGATAACATTATCCGATTAACGATGTACTACGCTTCTTCCTTAAAAATAAAACATTACCGTACTGCTATCGACATACTCTGCTATCGATAACCTTGTCCGATTAACGCTGTGCTACGCTACTTCCTTCTCATAACAATCAAACGCAATGTTATCGATTAACTCAAACGATTAACGATGAGCAACTGCCTTTAAACCAAATTACCGTACTGCTATCGATCAACTTGAACCTAACAACGGACAATCAACATAACCGTAATGCTATCGATAACAACCACAACCGATAAACAATGTGCAACGCTTCTTCCTTCTCAAAAAAACAAAATCGAAAAATAAAAGCTTTTAAAAGTCGCTCGCGCCGTGCTGGGCAGCAAACTGTTTGTGATACTGATGAAGTCCAGCTTCTACGGGCACTTTGTGGCCGGCGAGAATCGCCACACGATTGTTCCCGCGCTCGAGAGGTGCCCAAATCTCGTATATCCAAACGATTCTATTTACTTTTTTATCATCGCCATATTTAACCAAGTCATTTAACTGAAATGCAAACTGAAAACTTGAACAAATTTTGAAAATCCAACTAACTTGAACTAATGCGACGCTCATTTGTGGCATGTGGCATGTTTATTTTGGCTACACTACCTCCCCACATACATGCACAGCATTAAATATTTATCCCCATCCATACCCCTGCGCCCTGCGCCCTGCCCCGCACCCGTTTTTAGCCTCCGTTTTTATTAAGCCGCATTTCTAATGCTCCATTGTTTTTTTCCGCTCTAATCTCTTGCCAACTCGTTAAACGCCGCCACAGACTACGCTCGTTCGGCGTCAAGCCCATCCTGGACTATTCCGTCGAAGAGGATATCTCCCAGGAGGAGGCCGAGAAACGTGAAGTTGAGTACGTGCCACAGACCAGATTTATGCGCAGCCGAAACAACTTTTCACATACTCACCTCGGTTCATTTTTTATTCGCAGATCTTCCGTTTCGAGCACCGGTGATAATGCCCAGGATGCGGGCGCCTTGCCGCAGTATCATGTGGACAAATCCTTTGCCGATCGTCGCTACAAGGTGAGCAGCGCACGCACCTATTTCTATTTGAACGAGGCAACCTGTGAACGCAACATGGAGATATTCATCAAGTGTCTGGAGGCCGTTTCCGGTAAGCTCCGCCTCCTTCTTCTCTTCAACATCATTTTTTGTTGGCCAATCTTCAAAAAAGCATGCGCCGTGTGCAACCCTGTGCTGCATTCCTGTGCAACCCTGTGCACCCTGTGTTTCCTATTTCCGTTTCTTTAAGCTTAGCTTAATACTGTTTTTTTTTTTGCTTTTCTCTTGCTTTTACCTCGTTCATAAGTTGTACTCTATTATACAGTACTTCTTTTTAGCGACTTTCTAAACATTGAGGTTAGGTTTGTCACTTTTGAGGTTAGAATTGCAAATTTGAGGCTAAACAGGAGAAAGATTGAAATAAAATACATTTAAGCTCGCGAATTGTTATAGAAACACAATGTTAAGTATGTCTAGCATGCCAGTTTGCCAATATTTCGGCCCAATTCCAGCTGTTCCGCCTGCACGTGTTTCATTCCAATGTTTCCCATCGAAATTTTTTGCCATTCACTTTGAGCTTTTAAGCCCACAAATTCCGAGTTCAATGGCATTTTAAAAATTCGATAAATGCCAAATAATTAACATATCTAATTGACATGATTTATTTATTTACAATCCGGAAAATTTATTTCAACGGAATTTATAAGCGGAAATGTGCCTCGGGAACGGGTCGTTAAATGAGTCAGAAACTGGACTGGTAATAAATAAAACTTGGCAAAAACTTGTTTTGCTTGGCTTTTTTGGTATTACAAAGGTTCAAAGATTTCAGATTTTACATTCCCTCGCTTTGTAAGATATTGAATGAGATTATCTTATAAATAAACATTTCAACTCTAGTTGTAGGAAATGTTTCAATGTCTTTTTGCTCATATCAGGAACAGTTGGTAAATGTCTTTTAAGGGGTATCTCATTTTCTGGAATGCCGAAGTTAACAGCACACTTTCTTAGTTTCTATTAGATACATTTGTAGCTTCTAGTTTTTTTTTTTGTATACTTGCGATAACTTTATTCATTAAATTATAATTTTGATTAATTTATCTCTCTCGAATGCATTTTTCTTTCTCACAAAACCAACGGCAACGACTCTTCCGCTCTCTCTCTCTCTCTCTCTCTCTCTGAAAATAAAATTAATAAATTGTTAACAATAAACGCAACTAACAAAATGTGGAATATTGAACTAACCTCAAAAATCAAAATGAAACATTGTGGAATTGAACTAACCTCAAAAATCATACTGAAACTTTGTGGAATTGAACGATCCCTAAAAAATCAAAACGAAACGTGGAATATTGAACTAACCTTAAAAAATCAAAACGAAACGTTGCGGAACTGTACTAAACTCAAAAAATTCAAATGAAACGTTGTGGAATTGAACTAACCTCAAAAAATCAAAATTATGGAATCGAATTAACCACAAAAAATTAAAATGAAACGTTTTGGAATTGAACTAACCCCAATTAACCGTTGTGGAATTGAACTAACCTCAAAAAATCATTAAAAAACCAAACCCAAATGTCTGTGTGTGTGTGTGTGTGTGTGTGCATGTGTGTGTGTATCTAGACGACGATAGGAAAGAGCCGCGTGCTGCGGCAACGGGTAAGCCGTTTAAATTCACGTTCAATTGAGACATAAAAAAAAAACGTAAATTAGAAAAAAAAAACTACTCGGAATCGAAAGCCAGAAATCTCGTATTTAGCATTTTGCTTTGTGTGTTTGTTTTAGTTAGCTTTGCGTTGATTTTGTTTGCGATTTTTTTTATTTCGATTAACTTTTTTTACTGTGTAAACTATATACGTGTGTGTGTGTGTGTGTGTGTGAGTGTGTTAGTGTGTGTGTGAGCTTGTAGTGCATTAATTGTCTTGAACGCCTTTTGCCACGCCTCGTATTGCTACGCGCCTTTGCGTTCATGCACTCTCACTTACCTCTCAAATGCTTCTCATTTCCGAACAACAAACCGATCGATCGAACAACTTGCCATCTGTTGCAACAGGCGCCACCTTCGGAACTGGCATCACGGCCATCAAATTGACCGCGCTGGGCCGTCCACAGCTGCTGGTGAGTATATATATATATATATATATATCTATATACCCTATAGTTGATTTTTGGCTGTGCTCTATATTTAATTGCATATTAATTTGCTTTGTTTCAATAGCTGCAACTATCCGAGGTCATAATGCGCACACGTAAATACATGGAGGCACTTGTCGGCGGCGAGGGCAACGTGCTAACCCATCACAAGACCATCAAGGATCTCGAGAAGTATTATGCCAGCGTTGGCGACAACAAGGATGTACAGCAGTTCTTGCGGAACGTCACATCGGACAAGGAGGGGTACGTATATATTTATTTTCTCTATTCTTACTCCTACTCCTACTCCTACTAATCCTACACCGACTACTCTTACTCTGACTACTCGTACTTCTACTCCTACTTCTACTCCTATTAATCCTACACCGACTACTCCTAATCTGACTACTCCTACTTCTACTCCTACTTCTACTCCTACTTCTACTCCTACTTCTACTCCTACTTCTACTCCTACTTCTACTCCTACTTCTACTCCTACTTCTACTCCTACTACTGCTGCTCCTACTAATCCTACACCGACTACTCCTACTCTGACTACTCCTACTTATACTCCTACTTCTACTCCTACTAATCCTACACCAATTACTCCTACTCTGACTACTACTTCTACTCCTACTTCTACTCCTACTTCTACTCCTACTTCTACTCCTACTGCTACTCCTACTAATCCTACACCGACTACTCCTACTCTGACTACTCCTACTTATACTCCTACTTCTACTCCTACTAATCTTACACCAATTACTCCTACTTATACTCCTACTTCTACTCCTACTTCTACTCCTACTTCTACTCCTACTTCTACTCCTACTTCTACTCCTACTTCTACTCCTACTGCTACTCCTACTTCTACTCCTACTTCTACTCCTACTTCTACTCCTACTTCTACTCCTACTTCTACTTCTACTCCTACTTCTACTCCTACTGCTACTCCTACTAATCCTACACCGACTACTCCTACTCTGACTACTCCTACTTCTACTCCTACTTCTACTCCTACTTCTACTCCTACTTCTACTCCTACTTCTACTCCTACTGCTACTCCTACTTCTACTCCTACTGCTACTCCTACTTCTACTCCTACTAATCCTACACCAACTACTCCTACTCTGACTACTCTTAGTTCTACTCCTACTTCTACTCCTACTTCTACTCCTACTTCTACTCCTACTGCTGCTCCTACTAATCCTACACCGACTACTCCTACTCTGACTACTCCTACTTCTACTCCTACTAATCCTACACCGACTACTCTTACTCTGACTAGTCCTACTTCTACTCCTACTCCTACTCCTACTTCTACTCCTACTTCTACTTCTACTCCTACTTCTACTCCTACTTCTACTTCTACTCCTTCTGCTCCTACTACTCCTACTTCTTCTTCTCCTATTTCTTATACCTCTCCTACTCCTACTTCTACGACGTCTACTGCTTCTACTGCTCTTACTCTTACCACTCCCACTACTATTCCTACTCCACCTCTTACTTCAACTCCTACTCCTACTCTTTCAACTCCAACTCTTACTGCTGCTCCTACTCTTATTTCTACTACTTCTCCTATTCCTATTCGCACTCCTACTTCTACCCCTGCTCCTATTTCTCCTCCTATTCCTGCTCATACTCCTACTCCCAAATATTCCCAGCTGGGAGGGCTTAGGCTTTTCGGTTTAGGGTTTGAACCACTTCGTGAGACCAGCTTAGTCGACGACATTTTCGCTAGTTTTTGAATATAGTTTATGATGTTAATTCAAGAAATTAAATACTATTTAGCACTTTTTATTAGGTCTGCCTAAATTTAACTTCTATTTTTCTCAATAGATAATTTGCGCTTACTAATTTATTCAGCTCAATTTTAGCTTGTGCTAATATTTGGCTGTATTAATAGATTTATGACTTTCTAATGTGACGCCAATTGATATTTATTTGCCCAATGTAAAAATCTAGTCTTATATTAATATTAAAGCAAGCAAACTTTGGTTGAAGACACAATTGAAATAGAAGAAAAATTAGTAAGTTGAACTAGCGTTTTTTTATTGAAAAAAAAAAAAGAAAGCATTTTGTCTTGTTCATTAATTAAATACCTCGCAAAGGGGTATGAATTACTTTGAAGCCGTTTTCTTATCGAGCGATCTGGCAGCACCAAATAACTTGACGAGCACATTAAGTTGGCTGCGCGTGAAATTGATTGTACAGTTAAACTGTAATCAATCAATACTTTCGAGAAGGGGTGAGGTAAGAGAAAGCAAGGTTAGGTGAGGTGGGAAACGCTTTAAATATATTGTGTTAGATAAGGTGAGAAGATGAGGAGAAATGTGTTAGGGTTAGGTTATGTTAAGTTTGGTTAGCTTAGGTTAGGTTGGGTTAGGCTAGGTTAGGTTAGGTTAGGTTAGGTTAGGTTAGGTTGTGTTAGGTTGTGTTGTGTTGCTTTAGTTTAGTTGAGTGCAGTTAAGTATATTTTAAATTAGATAAGGCAACCTGAGGTGAGGCTAGCCTGGCTTGGCTTAGCTTAGCTCAGGTTTATTATAAAGCAAAAAAAAGAAAATAGAGCAAAATATGACTTATCTATCAATTCCTTAAACGCTCAAGGTGCAGACCCTAGACGAACGTTTGATAAAGTAGCTTTTGCACTTTTAAATATGATTTTATCTAACTCTGCCCCGTCTCTACCTTCTAGTATACTGCATCTGTTTCCCTGGTCAGGCATTGTAGATGAAGATTCACAGCTGAGCGACACATTTCGCGTGCCCGATCCTATAACGGGTCAAATGCGTCGACTGATCTCACAAATAGCGCCCAAAGAGGAAGAGATGTTTAGAAACATGATACGTCGTCTAAACACAATTGTAAAGGTAAGCATTGAGAATAGATTGGAGACAAAATAGGAATGAATAATTAATTTTTTGACTATATTTGACAGACTGCCGCTGAGCTGGACGTGCGCATCATGATTGATGCGGAGCAAACCTATTTCCAGCCAGCGATTTCGCGCATTACGCTGGAGATGATGCGCAAGTATAACAAGGAGAAGGCCATAGTATTCAATACCTATCAGTGCTATTTGCGTGAGGCCTACCGTGAGGTGAGCCCAGTTCAACAAGCTCCCTCCTCCTAAATGACTTGATTGTTAATCCTTGAACTGTTCTATATTGCAGGTGGTCACCGATTTGGAGCAGGCCAAGCGACAGAATTTCTATTTCGGTGCCAAGTTGGTGCGCGGCGCCTACATGGATCAGGAGCGTGCACGCGCCCAGGCGCTCGGCTATGCCGATCCCGTGAATCCCAACTACGAGGCCACCACGGACATGTATCACAAGACGCTGGCCGAGTGTTTGCGTCGCATCAAGGTAAATGCTCAAAACAAATTCACACTGAAAGTGCAAAAGGCAAAAAGCCAAAAATTTATTTTGTTTTTATTTGATTAATTTCGATACTTGCAGCTGCTGAAGGATTCGGACGATGATGCACGCAAGATTGGCATTATGGTTGCATCGCATAATGAGGATACGGTACGTTTTGCCATCGAGAATATGAAATCGATTGGCATTTCGCCAGAGGATAAGGTCATCTGTTTTGGTCAATTACTGGGCATGTGCGATTACATCACCTTCCCGCTGGGTGAGACTTTCTATGAACATTTTCCAATGCTATTGGCTCATGCTACTAATCTTTCGCCTTGCAGGTCAGGCCGGCTACTCGGCCTACAAGTATATACCGTATGGACCCGTTGAGGAGGTACTGCCCTATTTGTCGCGTCGCGCCCAGGAGAACAAGGGCGTCCTCAAGAAAATCAAGAAGGAGAAACGATTGCTCGGCAGCGAGATACGCCGCCGCCTCTTCCGCGGCCAGCTCTTCTACAAGCCCAAGGGCAACTATGTGCCCATCTAAACAGCTCCGGCTCCGCCATCGGCTTCGGCTCCAGCGTGTTGCGAGTTAGGCAGGCCATCCATTTGTGTTGTCCGGGCAAAACGACCCACGAATATAGCATAAATAATACACCTGACAACAACAACAACAAAAATGACAACCCGACTAAAGAACACACCTCAGACACGCCCGAGCCTAGAGTTAAATCCCGCCTGTGGATTGTATGTGTGCGCACTATTATTATTTTTTTTTTTTTAGTATTGTTTTGTTTTTATATTCTAAATGTTCTAACGTTAGATGCGTCCGATACCCATACGGAAATCGATTTATATATAAATATATATATATATATATATATATATAGAGAGAGAGAGAGAGAGAGAGAGTTATTTAAAGATATGCGCCGAATATACACGTAACTGCAGAGCAGCATAAAAATAAGATCTAAAGAATGTGAAACTTTATAATTTTATATTCGACATGTTTTATCGTCTATACATAAATATATATATATATATATGTATATCTATATATTTGTATATATATATATGTATACATATATATATATATATATATATATATAGATGTATGTATGCGTATATATGTTATCGAACGTTGAAAGAAAACAAACTCAAAGCAAAGAGAAGCATATTATTTAATTTAATCAAACTGTTGCTTGCATATGTATTTCAATATAAGTCATTAATAATTGTATCTCTTGTTGCAAGTTAAATGCGTGTGTTTTGAAAAAAAAAAACGAATATATATATATATATATATATATATAAAAACAACTATGTAATAAAAGCCGTAAACCAAAATAGGTTTGTAAAATTCTAGCGCGAGTTAAACAAAAACAAAAAAAAGCACATTTTTAGCAAAAAACTTAAAAGTAAGAGCATATAAAATATATATATATATATATATATAGATATATATGTGCATGAGAACAAAATATTTATATATATATATATATATATATATATATATATATATATATATATATTTACTTGGCTGCATTTTAGACTAGTTTCTCGAGTAAATTCTATTTCTATTTCAATTGTTGTCAACTGCTGCTGCTGCTTATTTGCTCGATATGTGTGATCTTATATATTGTTTCCTTAAGCATAACAACTGTAGTTTAGACCTCTATATATATCTATATGTGTATATATATGGAGAGATCGGTAGAACGCCTGCATTTGTTTCTTTTCACAGCAAGCATCAATATATATATATATATATATATATATATGTTGCCGCCCAGGGATTAACCTAAACCTAAACTGAATGTTTTATTATAATAATTTTACTAAATTATATACATATATATATATATAAAAAAATAGCAAACATAATTTCAATTGTTATTTTTATTTAGTCTCACCCCCCTCCCCCAACCCACTCCCCTAGTTTGTTGCTTTCAGTGTGCTTGATGTAATTGAGTCGAAAAGTTCTCCTTTTTTTTCTCGAAATATTCATAGTTATTCAATATACATTCATATTTATGGTATGTGTGTTATTCAATATGCGAAACTATATACATTGCATATATATAAATATATATATGTAATAAACAATAATAAATAATTGAAAAATCAATAATTGTATGAATGTTAACTATTTCAATGACAATAATAAAATGTTAAAAACTATTTTTTTTTTGCTCTGTGCACCATCGAATACCCCCAATATATCACATAGAAATGTGATTTTTTTTTTCTGTGCATAGATTTTGCGTGAATTGGAAAGGGAGCACAACAAATGTTTGAGATGGAAAGAACTCTTTTTTGAAAAATTACTTTTAAAGCCATGCATATTTTTTTTTTGAAGTGTTTAACTAGTTAACAAAAGGCTTTTCTTTTTTTTTACAGATTACATATATATTTGATTGGATGCAGGAACTGGTCAACTTTTAGCGAACAAAAAACTTGGTAAGTAGACTCTTATAATTTATCTATAAACGAATAATACCCGAAGTCATCTATATGACTTAGGGTATCTGCTAGTCGAGCACTTCCACGTTAGGGTTTTTTTTTGTCGCTGCAACGGGTTGGTTTTTTTTTATTATTACGTTCATGTAACAGAGAATGCATTGAAGTATGTAGTTGTCTAGAGAGAGATGCCCATGGCCCGCTCCACGATGATGTGCGGCTGATGCAAGTGCTCATCGTGCTGCGGCTGGCTGAGCACATCCTCGAAGGAGATGTCCTCGAGGCGGCCAGTGAGCACGTGCTCCATCAAGTTGCTCGATCGCAGAAATGGTAGCCGGCCCGTTTGGCGTGCCGCAAAACGTTCCATGCCCCGCTTCAGAGGCGGACCCAAGCCGTCACGATTGCGCAACATTTGCATGTTCGTGTGAAACTTGTGATCCTCGTAAAATAAACGCGAGTCCGGCAAACGATGAGTGTGCGCCAATTCGCTGAAACAGTTCAGTTCGGCGGGCAGCACAGCCCGGCCGGAGGCGCACATTACGTTGTGAAACATTTTTGGAAAGAAATTTCGAAATCAATTTGTAGAGAATTGTGATTTATGAGAAATACTTGACAATGTGTAGAGAGACTTTGTTTTCTTTCCGTTTGTCAAAAACGAATCAATCGCAGCTAGAGATGATTCTCAGCTGCATTGGCCATGAGATCGACGCCAGATCCAAGGCATTCGAATAGCAACAGCTTTCGGGGTTGGAGTTTAATTAGAGGAAACAATAACCACATGGTTTATAGGACACAAAACTTTATTTACAACCAAGTCATATATATATATATATATATATATATATTGATATAGACATATATATATAGACAGAGATATAGTTTTCCGACATTAATACGATTTTGTGCCTCTTACATTTGAATGGGCAAAATGTTTGAACTAAAATTACGCTTAAAGATAACCAGGGCTAAAACTAGAACAACTTTTTGGCCAAGTGCTGGCTGCTAATTGGCAGTTATTTGGCTTTTCGCCGTTTGGGCGCGCCGCGTCGCTTGCCATAGTCCACCTCGCTAACCATTAGGGGATCATTGCTCTGTCGCTGGTAGGCACTTTTGGCGCCCGTCGTGCGCGTCTGTTTGGCTGCCAGTGTGTTGGGCCGTGCGAGGGCGACGCGCTTCAGGGCGCTGGGCAGTATGTAGTCGGGTACATGGGCCAGATGCGATTGCACCTTGATGGTGCGAGCGGGCTTGTCGTGGCGCAGCGCCAGCAGATCGCGTTTGTTCTCCTCGAAGAAGCCCTTCAGTTTCTCACAGTTGAGAATTTCGTTTTTGATCTCTCGTATACGTGTGTCGTGTACAGCGACACGGGTGGCGGCACGCCAGCAATCCTGGGCGCGATACCGGAATGCCTCCACCTCCTCCATTTTGAATTGGTAGAGTCTGGACATGGGAAATGATTAGAATTGGTTAACACAAATTGTTTGCCATTTGACTTACTTGATGATGTCCTCGACAGCGGGCTTTTGCGGTTCGTCTGACAGCGCGTCGACTGTGAGATGCGGCTCCTTGCCCAGGGAACAGCGTAAACGCTCCTCCACAGCCTGGTTAACGGGTAACTCCTTGATGCTGACAAAGGACAGAACCGAACCCTTGTTATTGCCGCGCGCCGTGCGGCCAGCACGATGTATATACGAGGTGACATCGCGCGGAAAATCGAAATTGATGACATTATTTACGCCCTGAAAATCGATGCCACGCGAGGCACTCGACTCGTGATCCCGCTGGGATTTGTCCTTTGCTTTTTGGCCCGCCGGCTTCTCCAGCAGATGCTCATCGGAGGCAATAATGATGTCATAGACGCCCCTATTAAATTGGCTAATGGTGTGAATACGTATATTCGCCGGCAGCTCCGAGTTGAGCACGCACGAGCGTATGCCAAACTGTTCCAGAAACAGACGCACCCTACGGCGAAAGAAAGTGTATCTAGAGTAGCTGGATTTAATAGACACAGCCTACGCAGCGGGGCAGCAGCTGCCATCAGAGAGAAGATTAGTCTATGGTCATGCGTGCGCCAATTGTTGCCAATTGCGCAATCCCATTGAAGATTTGGTTTGTCATCAGCTGGAGCGGATGTCTGTTGTACCGCCGGAAGCGCTTAGCTCTTCCACTTACTTGTAACATCGATCCACATTGTTGACGAATATGATGCTCTTGCCCTGGATGAGCGTTAGCTTGAGCAGGGCGCATAATATGGCCGGCTTGTCGTTCTCCTCGGCGAGTATGCGCTGATGGCTAAGCTGATCAAGCGACACCAGATCCGGCTCCTCCAGCTTGAGTGTGACGGCATTGTGCAGGCACAGACCCTTCATGCGTGCCACATCGTCCGATATGGTGGCCGAGACGAGCACCGCCTGGTAAATGGGCGGCAAATGTTTGATTAGCCTCTTAAAGTCCTTCTCATAGCCAAAGGCAAATATCAGATCCGCCTCATCCACCACCAGCGTCTCAATGTGCTGCAAATCGACGACATCCGCATGCGCCAGCAGCTTGGAGGGCGTCGCAACCACAATATCGGGTCGTTCGGCCAGCGCATGCCGTTGTGTGGCCACATCATTCGAGCTGCCGGCAATGTCCGCCACACGGACCACCTTGCCACACGATTCGGCCAGCTGTTCAATGACCTGGCGAGACTGCCGGCACAGCTCCTTGGTGGGGCACAGCACCAGGGCGCTGACACGCTGTTCGCTGGCGTTCATCTTCGAGTTGAGGATCTTTTGTATCAGCGGCAGCGCATAGGTGGCCGTCTTGCCGGAGCCGGTGCGTGCACGCACCACCACATCCTTGCCCTCGAGCAGCAGCGGGATGGCCGTCGACTGGATAAGCGTGGGCTGCACCCAGCCGAGCTGCGCAATTGCCTGTTACAGGGTATTGACATTAGATTTGCAATGTCATATTATACTAAATGGATGCGTACGTACTTTGAGTATGCGTTGGTCCAGCTCCAGTTCATGGAACTGCAGCAATTTCTGTGTTTGGCTCATTTTGAGCGTGAAAACTGTGCAAAATGCGTGCGGCAGCAACACGCGAAGCACATGAAGGCCGGACAGTGCTGGAAAATGTCAAAGCGAAAAAAAAACGTATCGAAATCACAAATCTTCCGTTAACTGGGCTAGTCGATATATCGATTGCACGTAAAAAGCACGTAACAAATGCAACAAAACAATTAGTCTAATTGTAACAAGGCATTTTAAAAAATACCGAAAATGGTGTCAATGTTTTTGAATACAGTTAAATACGCTAGCTTTTAAAAATAAACAACGAAGTTATAAATCCGAGGACTTAATAAGCACTTAAGCAAAATGTGATATTTAAATTCAAGATAAAAGTATCGATATATATATTTCTTTGAAAATTGTTCAACACTGTCCAAGCTAGCGCACGTGCAGGAGCGCTGCAGCCTCGCGTATTTCTCAATTGTTTATTAAAATTTGGTCAATTTAAAATGGAGCACGATGATATGAAGAGAGTACGTAAATGGTATTAGATAGTCGACATATTCACACGTTGAATGCACTTGCAGGTGATACGATTGAAAGTGGAGAACGGTGTGGTCAAAGATGAAAAGAAGATAGTTCGCCAATTTCACAGGCAATGCAAAAGTGAATTTCTGGAAGAGAACGAATATGCAGCCATCGAAGCGGATCGCTTCTCCGCCGAATGCAGCGAGCCCATACAATACTTTGATCCGGCAATACACGATGCCTGGTTAGTGCAGTGCCCCAAGGGCATCGATATCGATGCATTGGCCGGCAAAAGAATCAAGATGCCCGGCCGTCGTTATGTGGGCGACATCCAGGTGCGGACCACCCACTACGAGCACCCGTTGACAAATTCCGTTGGCTATGCCAGCAACAAGGGCAAATATGCGGTCCGATTGCTGCCACTGGCCGGGCATATGGTAGTCAGCCGGCGCTTGAATATGGAGAGACCCGGCGACGATGGCGAGGCAAATAAATTTCCAAAACCTTGTGGACCTCCGAAATTTCGATTGCCGGTGCGTCATCCGTTCTTTGGACGTGACTACAAGACGCGCATTGAGATCGACAAGAAGACGGCGAAAAAGCTGCGAAATGCGGACAAAAAGTGCACCGAAGTGAAGGAGAAATTGCGCACCACCAGCAATTTCTATAAAATACGCCGGAAATTGCTGAGCAGCACGCAGACGCTGGCCCAAAAGGAGCACGATGTGCGGCAATCGGTGCTGACGGGCGTGGCGCCCAAATTCATGCAGGACAGCGCCCATCCCGATTATGTGGAACTAATGGACAGCGACGAGGAGTCAACCCAAATTGAGCAGCCCGTCAAGAGGAAGTCCACCAAGCACAAAGTCAATGGTGAAATTGAAATGAAAGTGGAAGATGGAGATGTGCTGCCCAGGCAGAAGAAAAAGAAAAAACTGGAGGTTAATGGCAGTTTGCCGTTGAACAGTCCAAAAAAGAGGAGGGTGTAAAGACGCTAGACTACATAAATGATAAACTCTCGTTTTAGCTATGTATTATGTACATAAATCTTTTAAATATATGTAACAAGAGGAATTTGTAGTTTTTGCACGACAAGTGTCATTTGTGCACAAATGCATGCGCAATGTGAGAATGGTTAATTGAGAAGAGCCAGCAGCATGTTCGCTGTCTATCGATATACGATTGTGTTGTGCTTTGAAATAATCGATTCATTGTGTGTGTCAACACAAAACTGGCAGCTAAGCAAATCTGAAATGTGTGAGGTTTACAAAATATTTTGAAAAAGGCAGTGTCTGGCAGAAAAACAAAGAAATTCAAAATTAACAAATTTCACAGGACGCGTCCTAATCAACAGTATGCACTCGTATTGATTAAACCAATATGTTAATTTAATAAATTGCATTTACAGGTCTACGAATCAAAATGGCATTGGCCGGTTACATACGCGAGGGACTGAATGTGGCTCTCATTATGGGCGCTGGCGATATGATCGCCCAGTTGGCGCTCGAGAAGAGAGACTTTAAGGATTGGAATGTCGGTCGTACGGCACGCTTCAGTGCTTTGGGCCTGGTCCTTGTCGGGCCCTCGTTGCGCAAATGGTACGGCACGCTGGATACATTGATATCCAAGGAGCAGTCGACAGTGCAGCGCGGCATTAAGAAGATGTTAATCGATCAGGGCTGTTTTGCGCCCCCATTTACATTGCTATTGACGTATCTGGTTCCCTATATGAATGGCGAGAAGCATGACACGATTGTGAAACGTATTAAGGAGAACTATATTACGATAATGAAGGGCAGTTTTATGGTTTGGCCATTGGCTCAAACAATTAATTTCACATTGATTCCCGTGCAGTATCAAGTGATCTATGTACAATTAATTGCACTATTTTGGAATTGTTTTTTGTCCTTGATACTGAACGAACGATAACGAGATGGCCAATGAATTCGTATCTCCACAAAGACGTGAATAGTGTGGTTAAATAGACTGAAAGTTAATTAAATAGCAACTCGCAGAAGTTCACTCATCAAATTGTGCTACCAATTTTTTTTTTTTTTTTATGTTAATCAGAGTAAACTCATAGATTTTCCAAACTTTTGAGTTACATTTCTGGGAGCACGGATGACTTTTTGAAAATGTGCGCAAATCAGCTGTTCGAATGCCATTCGCCTGTTCACGTTGCGCTGACATTACTATCGATAAAATACGAGTTTAGTCATTAATCGATAAGAAGCACGCTTTTTGCTGGCCAGTGCGCGCGTTCCATGACAATTTGTGCTTAAATTGATCATAATTAAAGTACAACATGGACCATACACGTGAAATACTGACATTTCAGTTTGGCACATATGCCAATTATGTGGGCGCACACTTCTGGAATCAGCAGGTAAGCAACAATACCAAATCTTTCGCACAAATGGCCCACATTTTCCACTGCGTCATGTCCATCTAGGAGGCAAACTTTGTGTACGATCAGGAGAACGGCGGCAATGTGGCTGAGGAGCAGCTGCCCCACAATGATATACTCTATAGAGAGGGCCGGAATGATCAGAAACAAACGACTTATACGCCGCGCATGCTCTCCGTAGATCTTGCCGGCACGCTGGGCCATCTGCCCGTTGTGGGCGAGCTGTATGGCAATTTTCTACAGTTGGCGGATGAACAAAACGCTGATGAAATCCAGAAAGTCAAAGAATTGGCCGAACAGAATAAGCTATCCACGCACGGTGAGCTGGATGTACGCAAGCAGCCAGCGGCTACATTGTCCGAATATCAGCAGGATTTGCTTAAGGGCGCCGTCAATACGCACGATAAGGACTACAATTTGGCTGGGACTTGCAACAGCTGGGCGGACTATCTATATGCACGTTACCATCCACGCTCATTTAATTTGCTGCACGGTTTGGTGCGTCAGCCGGACGTTCAGGTGCTGGGCACACATGCCGCAGGCGTGGAACTGTGGCAGTCGGTGTCCTTTAACGAGGACTTTTGTGATCGCATACGCATGTACGCCGAGGAATGCGATGGTCTGCAGGGCTTCCAGCTGCTCTTTGACATTGACGACGGCTTCAGTGGATTGGCCAGCAAGTGTCTGGAGCATTTGAATGATGAATACAGCCGCGCCAGCTTTGTCCTGCCGCTGCACTATCCACGCAACATCGCCTATGCCCAAGCAGGTGGGAAATATTTATGGTTTTCTCTGTTAACCACTTCGATTAAATCTTTGTTTTGTTTGTGCCTTGCAGATCCACGCACCGCCCACGGCATTCGTGTGGCGAACAGCGTACTCAGCTATTATCATCTCAGCGAGCAGGCGAATATGTTTACGCCACTGTCCACGCTGGAGACCATTTGGCGCAATAATACGCTGCAGTCGCGTCGACTGCCCGGTCTGCATTGGCAGCCAGACAATCTGTACCAGAGCTCTGCCGTGCTAGCGGCATATTTGGACACAGTTACGCTCGGCTATCGTCTGCGCCAGACGCCCGAAACACTATTGCGCTTCTGCGATCGCGTCTGTCCCTCTGGCCGCAAAATGACGGCGGCTGCTTTGGCTCTGCCCTTGGGCATGCAGCAAGAACAGGATCTCATTGATTATTTGGACCAGGGGGCGAGTGGTTCGCTCTTCACACAGCTTACGCCTGGCTGTGAGCCGGGCAACTCGCATATTGTACAGTCAGTTGTAGCGCGCGGCATACCCCATGCACGGCTCAAGCGTCCCCTGGAGCTGGCAGGGCCACAGCTGCGCATGTCCGCCTATAAATGCGACAGCGTCTCCCAGATGCTCCAATTGTATTATCAGTGTGCCTATCATGGCAGTCTGACGCATGCTGCCGCCACGCCACTACCCCTCAAGACGCAGCTGCCGTTCCCTTACGAGATCTTTGAGACACGCGTTGCTGCCGATGGCTTTATGCTGCCGGGTGAGGCGCAGCGTGAGCCGAAGTCACGTGTGGCCAGCGCACCAGCCTTGGCTGCGATACAGAACTCCAGCAAGCTGGGTGAGCATCTCGATGCGCTGCACGGCCAAACGCATCGCGTTCAGGTGGCCAAATTGCAGGGTTACTCGCAGTCGGGCTTCGAGCGGGATGAGTACGAAACGGCGCTCGATAAGCTGCTCGAGTTTCGTGACAATTACGAAGATTCCCAGTACCTCTAAGGCGGGAATCGTCAACTGTGATAGACAGACACACACACACACACACACACATTTAAATAAACACACTATTAACAGGATGCGTTCCTGGATTCGTAGAGACCCAAGCATTAGCACACACAAATAACATGTTCACAGGTAAATCTATTAAATATTTTCATTTGTCTGTTAGCTATTATAGAACTTAACAGTCGCTGTTAATAACATGTTAATGCTGTGATCCCAACTGTTACATGTGATCCAAATGTACCTAAAATGGTACTTTATAAATTTATCAGACACCGTACCAATATGTACGAATGGGTACATTTTATGCCCTTGTAAAGGGCATAACGCCTTAAAAGAGATATCTCCGACTCCGTTAGGTATATATATAAATTCTAGATCAGCATCAACAGCAGAATTGATATTGTCCATGTCCGTCTGACTTACGAACTAGTCTCCCAGTTTTTAAGCTATCGTCCTGAAACTTTGCATGGGTCCGTCGTTCTGTTGTGGGCAGTAAATATGTCGGAGCCGGACATATGGGACCACTATATCATATAGCTGTCATAGGAACGATCGGTTGAATATTTAGTTCTTGTATGGAAAACTCTTTGTTTTTCAAAATACTTGGTCCAAAATTGGCATTTCATAGTTTTACTATGCACCTTAAAATTATATTGATATAGGATAAATATATCATATAGCTGGTATAGGAACGATCAGGCATGAATTAAATTCTTGTAAGAGACAATTTTTTTGTATTTTTCAAGATAATTTGACCAATCTCGGCATACATTAGTTTCACTATGCTGCCATAGGAACAATCGGTTGAATATTTAGTTCTTGTATGGAAAACTTTTTTGTTTTCAAAGATATCTCAATCGAACTCAGCATTTAATAGCTTTACTATGTTCCTTAAATATCCGCAAAGTCCTATTAAAATCGCATAACTATTTCATAAAGCTGCTATATAAAAAGTATATAAACACATTTCCGATTTCGCGCTATTATTTAATTGTGAAGTTCAATTTACCGGAGTTTACCTTTGATATGTTAAAAAAAACTGCATTTTTACTGCTCGACACGCGTTCGGTCAAAAGAGCGAAACTGTCCGAAAAAATGGGGCTGTGTCGAGAAAAAAGTGTCGGCTGGTTAAAGGAGCTACCCGCCAAAGGGAGCTTTCATTGTACAGGACGAGGTTTCCATTAGCTTTTCTGGTCGCTACAAGTCAAAGGGTTAACCTGAATGGCGGCACTTCGTCCTGTCGCTTCATTTGATTGACAAGCAGCTGGTGTAAATGGGCGGGGGCTCAGTATATTAAGGGCAAGTTGCAATTTTTAGCTGTAAAGTTGTGCCCGGCAAAACCGGGTAATATCCACTAATAGCTTATATTAACTTGATGTTGTATAGTTCAACAAATAACTGACAGCTAAAAATGGGTTCAACTGCAAGTTAAATGAATGTTTTCTTTACGAAGATCAGAGAAAACATTTGTTCTGTTCTGGCTTCAACCATTCGAATCATTTGCACTTGAAACACAAATATTGTGGAAGCTTTTGAAAGTAATTTGAATTTGGAATTTTTATAAATCATGAATGTGAATGAAATGAGTATTTATATGTGTAATGAGTATATATATATATTGATGGACTGTTATTCAAGTGGATTAACAGATATTTGCATTTGTTTAATTGTTTCTTACGGAACGGACACTCGCTGGCATTTCGATTCGAAAGACTCGTTTGTATTTGACTTTTGCAAATGCAAGCATTCGTTTGATTCATTTGAGCGAATAGCTCGAGCTGGTTACACTCGTTGAGCAGCGAGTGATTTCCTTTGCTAAAATCCCACTCTGTTGAGTTATTAATAAAGGCAAAAGTACTTCAAATATTTAAACGATCTTTAAGATAACAGATACTAGATATTTTTATGAGCATATCAATATTTATGAGTTAGTTTTTTTTTTTTTGAGCGAGTACTCGTTTGGCATTTGGTATTCATGTCAAATTGAATTCACGACAATTGCTAATAAAGCGGCAATGCTACCCTTTAGCTTGTGCGAATAGAGGGTAGCTAAAGGATTAACTCTCTCCCTGCCGAGTGGCCTGATTTAAAGAGGCGTCAATTGATTTCACGGCAAAAATCTTTTTGTATAGCTGCAAATTTTCAAGGACTTATTTTTTTTGCTGCAGCTCTTTGAACTTTGACTACGTGCGCGCGGCTATTCAAGCCTTTCGTTTTTTTTTCTTTTTTTTTTTTTGTTAAGAGGAGGGAGGTTTTTGTGTTTTTTTTTTTTTGGTTGGGTTTTTCGGCAATTCGAACTTTTCATTTGCCTAATTTATATGAAAATTTATTGGCAATAAAGCGGCCGTAATTGAAATCTCAACGTAAGTAAATCACAATTTGATGGTCTAACAAAGATGAAGTGCTGCCGTGCAGCCGATAAAAGGCCGGACTATGTCCATCCAGGACACAACAATATGATGAGGTTAATAATTCTCCTATTTAAAGGGTTCAAGTTGGGGTTCAAGCGAGGGCACGGCCTCGATTTGGGCGCCAACCTTTTGCCACATTGTTGTGCAAATTAAATTTCTATTTGATTGGCATACAATTCCTTTAACTCCCACTCTCCTCTCCACTTTCGCTCTCTCTCGCTCTCTCTCTCTCGCTCTCTTTCTCCTCGCATTGCCTGGGAAACAAGAGCTCCGGCCCAAACGTTGATATTAAAATTATGCCAACATCTTTAATGGAAGTTGTGCTTCGCATTTTCAATTGAATTGCATTTATTTTATATACATTTTTCTCTCCTCCTTATTTTTATTACGTTTTTTTTTTATTTATTTATTTTTTTTTTTGTTAATTCCATTCGTTTAATTTCGTTTACGTAGAAGGTTAACTGAAGCCAGCTGCATTAATATGCAGCAGAGTCTCTCGCTTTCAAATAGCATCCTGTGCCTGTGCCTGCAGCTACAAAACACTTGAAATATTATCTTTTAATTGCACCTGGTCGATGTTGTGGCCGTTAATACCCTGTAAACAAAAAATAATGTTTGAAAAGGCATATACTCAACATGTGGAATTGTAAATATGGGTTTGATGGAGCTCGGGAAAAGGCTTTTGACCTGTTGTAGGTTAAGTTGTTTTCATATTATCGATAATTATCGACGTTTCGTTTAAATCGATTAGTGTTGATAAACAACACTGGCCCTGTAAGGTCCATCTCTCGTGCATAAACTGCATTCAAAGTTTTCTAACATTTTAAAATGACCTTGTTTTTGTTTGCGTGTGTATGTGTGAAAAGATGGGTTAAGGCAAATTCAAACTGAATCTAGGGTATCTGCTAATCGATCATATTGCTGCGTAACAATGTTCAGCATGTGTTAGAATCGTATGTGATCTTAGGTTCTAGAAGTAAATTACAAGGCCCCAATGTCTCTATTTGCAACCACGAGGCATTGCCTGTCCGCATCGAGTGGGAGAAAGCTTTGAAATTTAAATGTAAATGTAAATAATGTTATTGTTAGTATTTATTAAGTAGTTATTTATGTTTGCCTATCATCAATAGCCGAGTTTGTCTAAGTGCTGGGCATTTACAAATTTATCACGCACGACCTTTTGTCTGGTCAGGTGGCCCAGGTGATCATGTTAGGGTGGGCAACATCGGGTAGCTGCTCTCACATCAGCACAGTATGGAAAGAAAATATAAGAGCTACTGATTCTATATCATCAACATACATAAATCCATTCTTTGACTATCGAATCCTTGACTATCGAATCCTTGTCTATCGATTCCTTGACTTTCGATTCCTTGACTATCGATCTTTCATAGACAACTAATTTGATTCAATCGAACTTGATTTATAAACAGCATGTGAATTTTGATATTATATATAAGTAAAATTGTCCTGGTATAGCACAGATCCCGAGTATTTCACGTATGCGATACTTTTCTCCCCACTTGATGTACTTTCGAGTTATGGTCTTGGGCTTTGGTATTTACACATATTCGATTGCCATATTTATGCCGAGAAAGTTTCATAACGATCGGACAATGAATACTCGAGTTATCCAAGAGCTTACAGATAGAACTAAGTTTGAATGCATTTAAAGGCAGCTCTACGTTGTATCTCCTAATCAGGTAATCCCGACTTGTCTACTGTGATTCCAAGTTGGAGATGTATGTATTTCTAAAGGCATTGAGATTTGAACAGAATTTGATTCCCGTCAGATGCGCGATATAGATTTTCTTGTTGTCGAAATTTCGAGGTTATGTGATCATTTTTGCAGCCTATTGTGAACTATTTGTTTCCATTGTCATTAATTGTGATAAATTGTGGTTCACATGTGATCTTGAGTCTCGGTTTTTATCGAAATACCTAAACCTGACGTCAATTTACACAAGCTGAATGGTTGGGTCAGCAAAATGAAACAGCTGTACGGCGGGTAATTTTCCGGCCGTAGAGCCAAAGCAAATGCTATATAAGCGGCCCCACTGCCTGAGTTGGGCATAAGTCAGCTTTGGAATCGACTAAAATGCGCGCCTTGATCTTGATAACTCTGCTTGCCCTCGTGGCCGTCGCAGCCGCCCAGGGACCTCGTGGTCCCAGACGTGATGATGGCCCGCCCGGCGGTCGTCCAGGTGGTCCACCTGGCGGTCGTCCTGGTGGTCCGCCCGGCGGTCGTCCTGGCGGTCCACCCGGCGGTCGTCCTGGCGGTCGTCCCGACGGTCCGCCCGGCGGTCGTCCATCCAACTCGACATCCACAACCAGCACAACGGCAGCCCCAAGCGACGATAGCAGCAGCAGCACGGAAACTTCCACCGAGATCTCGACGGAGGATTCCACGGCTTCTGCTTAGTTTACTACTACACTTTTTCACTGGATTCTTATCTCCGGCTCCGCTTCAGCTCCTTAAACTAAAATCCTATATTTTCCGATTAAAGAACATTTTTATTTGAACGCACCAAAATGGTATTATTCGAAACTTTAAACTTTAATAGAACTTGCAACAAATGAAAGTTGGTGCGATATTTTCTTACTTCGTCAAGAAATTGGTTCGAGAAATTGAACATCAAAATGAATGAAGTAAATAATGGGATTTCATGGGATACGATATTTGTCTTAAGATCGTACGAAAAGCGTAAAGAAGAATAT